TAATGTATTTAAGCATTTTATTCAAAATTTGAATCATGGAAAAATAAAAATGAATTATTGCATTCAATTGAAATTTTAGGAAATTATTTTAGTTTAAAATTAATTAGTATTGATTATGTATTGAATTTATTATATACATCAATTTATAAAGAGATGCAAATTAAATTATCGAATTAAATATAATTTTTCTATTCTTCAAGGTAATAATTTTTTTCATTAAATTATTTAATAATTAAACTCTCTTCTGTCTTTTTTCTATTTATGAGAAGAGATTTAAATAATTCTTTAAATTAGTAAACAATAGAAAACATACAGCCTGTAGGAACTATGTAATAAGCATTTAATATTTCAAAGATTTAGATATGAATAAGCCTTTGAGTTATTGAGTTAAGCATTGCTTTCAAATTCTATCTATGCAATTGCTGTATTGATTTTAAGTTTTGAACTTGCATACAATGGAAATATGTTATGTGCGATCTATTGTATTTATTCAAAATTAGTCTTATAAATTATACATCAAATATACTTTTATAGGGCATTTGCTAATATGAAGATGTAAGAGCACATTATTTATGATTATTTTTAAGAAAGTACAATCAAGCTATTATGAGATTATTGTCACACTTTTTTGAAGGATGCTATATTTTAACACTAAATATGTATGTTATCACTCGAACAAGTGAGTTATTGCTATTTTCAAACATATTCCCTGTGATAAATATTTTTATTTCATTAATAGTCAAGATTAATGAGGGAAATTAGTATTTTAAAGATTCAGTGCAATAAATCAATTTGTTTTATGTATTTAGAAATATTTGTATTTTGCTAATATCTATATTTTTCAGTTTAAAAATAGAGGGATATTTTGATATTGAATGGTTATACACACTATGGATGCTGTGGCTGTTATTTAGTCTCTCAGCATCAATTTTTTTGTATTACATTTTTGTTGTATTGGCATTATGCATTCAAGTTATTTTAGAATAAAGCAATCGTTAAAAATATTTGGGTTTATTATTATAAATTATAATTAGTGATAACAAATGTTTGGATATTAATATTCATGCTATCTTGTTCCTCAATGTTTCTAATGATACCAATATTGGTGTTGAATTACAATTATGGAAATTATAATTTAGCCATTTAAGTGAATAGAATAATCTTAATTGTTAACTAAATTATTTTCACTTACTTTACTGTAAAATTTAAGCAAGAATTGATATCTGCATTATAAATGTTCTTATCTCTTAATGATTCTGTAAATCCTCTCCATACTTTGGCCACTCAATAAGTGGACGCATAGCTTCAGCAATTTAATAAGCAGGATTTTATAGAGAGTTAAGTTTCGGAAGCATAAATGTAAATACCAAAAGTCGTAAAAAGAATTTCGAAAACTTATTTTGGATTCGATGACCTTAATTCGGATAAAAAGAGTGAGACTAAACTTTAAGAATTAAATAAAAAACCCACTCATCAAAGAGCTTTATCATCTCAAATTTAAAAAAACACGGAATTAAATAATGAAAAGATTAAACTTGCATCGATGATGAATTTTAAAATTATTGAGAACTAACACATAGATGAATTGAAAGGAACTTCCATTTTACCTGATAAATAAGTAGTATAATTGATCCTAATTTGATAGTAAGATTAACCAAGATCAATTTCATTGTCATCAATCAACTAGTGTTGTATTTGCTTTGATAATGAACCAGATGCTTTATTTATGTAATGTGGGCATGGTGGAGTATGTTATCATTGTGCTTTAGACATGTGGAAAAATAAAGATGAATGCTACTTATGCAGAAAGGTAAGATGAGAATATATAGTAATTTTAGAAAATAGAGAGAGTATTATAGATTTAAGTTTGTGAGAATGAGAAGAATATATATTAAGTAGTTGGAGCAACAGAATTAAATTCAAAATTGAAAAAAAGACATAAAATTAGTTAATAACATGAATAATGATGAGTTACTATTAAAAATTATTAATTTGAATCAATTTCTTTTTTTCTTTCCTGTTCCTGCTCTTATATGCTTTTCTGCAATGTCTCTAAGTTGAGCTTTTGAAAATTGCTATTCCGAGAGTTCAGTATCCTTAAATTTATCAACTAATATAAATCAAATTCGATTATTACGTATTCTTTGTAATAATTCATCATTTGGATTATCTCCTTGATTATTTCCATCATCTAACTTAGTAAAATTAGATTGTTTAGCCTAATTTAATAATAGTAATACATCTTTCTTCATAAAATTATGACGAGGATTTTATGCAATATCTTGCATTTGCAAAATATCATTCGTTCTTATTTCAATGACGCCCAATACTTTTAATAGTTTATCTTCATCCATTTCTTTAAAACTCTTATTATATAGAAATTTAATTTTACAAATTTAGGTCCTAGTAATTAACTGTATTCCTTTAAATTGCAACCAATACGTTCAAACATAATAGGAATACTGATCATCAACTCTTTAAGAATTTTTGAGATTTCATATAATTTTTCTTGCAATTTCTCTTATTTTGCTTTGATTTTGACTAATTTTTCTTCGAATTACAATTTCTATTTGTATTTTTAATCAGCCATAATTTTTTAATCTCTATTTTCTAATTCTTATTTCTCCATTAATAATAATTTATTTTATTTTTACAGCATTTCCAATTCATCAGATTATTCATAAATATATTTAAAAGCCCCGTAATTTTATTCTTCCTATTCCACAAATATATTAACAATTTCATCAATTTATTCTGATTTAGTTTAATTGTATAATTATTTTAAAGTTTAATCGTAAGTTTGAACTTCAGATTGTAAATCCACTAATGCTTATTATTCTTATTAATTTTATTGAGCCTTTTATTCTCTTTCTAATATTTTTTTCTTTTTCTTATCAGCTGTTTCATTAATATGTAATATTTCATATTTCAAATCTTCAGCATCTGCATCCTCTTCAGATCCACTATATCTTTCATAACTATCACTTCTATGCTTCTACTTTTTATAATTATCAGTTTCTTTTTTGCCTCTGCTTTTCTCCCTAGATTTAGATTAATGTTCAGGAGATTTGGATTCTTTAAATTTATCATAAATGCTTCTAAATTCTTTGCCAAATTTTCTTTATTCCTAGGCTTCATTCCATCTTAATGATTTGATTGTATTCATTTCTTGATGTAAACTTTGGAATGCTTTTTCTTATTCTTGACTTCTTAAAAGCATTTTCTCATGATGATCAATCCAATCTTCTTATAGTTATTTGAGTATTTTTTTAAACATTTCCTTTTCCCTTCTCATTTTATTTATATCATTTTTAAGTTAAACTGTTTCATTTAGCATTTCATTCTCCTTTTAATATAAATAAGCAAGATTAAATTAAATGTCTATTTATTAATCATTAAATACTTTAAGGTTGTCTTCTCATTTTCAATTTTTTGTCCATTTATGAATTTTATTGGTTTTATTTTTGATTTTTATTATCTCCCCATCTGCTACCCCTTTCTTATTCATAAATTTGTCTTCTCTTCTTCTCTATCTCGTTTTCTTTTATCTGAATTTATTCCTTTAATTCATCTCTCTTTGCATGCAAAGTTTAGAGTTACTTATTCAGACTGGCCTCTTCTTCTTATTAATTTGTAATCTTAGTGAATGTTTATGATTTTAAATCCTTCTCTTGACTTGATCGAAAACTACAATAATTGTATATAATTACGCATTCCCAGCAGTCTAAGTCCTTTTAAGATAAGCAACTTTATTCATCGATATTAATTAATTTAATTATAATTTATATAAACATTTCCTTAAACGACAATCAACAATCTCAAGAATCACTCTTTAGAAAAGTACCAAGCTCCATCTCCCTTATGTTCAACTCCAACTAAACTAGCACACTAATAGAGAGAAGTCAAAAGAGGCTTCTCATCACAATGATAAAGATCTCCAACTGCTTTTTTGAAATATAAATTAGCTTCCTAAAATGATTTCAATTGATATTACATTAGCATGATAATGTGGTAATTCACTGAATACGTGATGTAAGACATGTGTTGTTCCAATCTCAAAATGTAAAGAATCAATCCAAGCTGGATAATTTCTATCTATTGTACTCAAGGCACCTAAAACATTTCAAAATACAAATACCCTTCAACCAATTCCATGAAGTTGAATCATAGTGTGGAATACTGATATCTGTGTGTTATAAAAATGTAATGATTGTCAACCACATGTTAACTACTAAATATGGACCTATGTAAAGTGCCATCACTTCAGCAAATGAGGTTGCCTAGGCCCATTTATATAAACCAAATATCACAAAACAAAGCCCTATATTTGAGAGTGAAACCTTCACTAGCATTCTTGAAGGGAAGAGCTTGTTTGGAACTATAAAATGACTTGTAAACCCTCTTGAGGAACCTCCTGTTACACCCAAAAGTAAGTAAAGAGGCCATCCGAGAACTGTTACATTGAATATTTGAACTATTGAAAAAGACTCAACTCCAATGATATCTTTTATTTTTTAGTAAATTTTTCCCATTTTTGAGTTTAATACTACTGGACAAAAAGTTTCTCCTTCTGTAAGGTGATTTGTTTTGGCATGATGCAATGCATGGGAATGTTACCAAGAAAAATATGGAACCAACAATATTTCGTGGAGGAAATATCCCAAAATATCATTCCACATCTTATTGTCTGAAAATGCTGAATGACCACATTCATGGCCTAAAACCCCTATTCATTCTAGATTTATTATATTTTACATATTCCCATGGCTACTGTGCCTAATAGAAAGTCAAACACGATCCAAATTGGAAGGGCATACCAAGTTAATGGAATATATCTATAACCTATATAAGCCAAAAGAGCAGTGCTTGAAATTGCCTAAGCCACTGACACCAAAAACCTAGATTCACTTTTCTTAAATAATGATTCAGGTATAGCTTTACGAATTTCTAAATTAGTATAAGAATTACATCCTATGTTAATCTGCTCTTGAGCTTTACTCATAAAACCAAGTTTTAATTTAATTTAAATTCTGACTAATATTTAATTCTTAAAATTAACTAAATATTATTAAAATTTACGATGATAAATCATAATTAGTATTATAAGGCAAATAACTGGTGCAATTTACAATTGTTCAATTTGTTTTAGATATTCACACAATCACTTTATAAAGGCTTCTGTGAATTTTATGATATATATATATTAAATAATTAAAAAACATATTTGATCAAATTCAATTAGAGTATGGTAATGTAAAAAGATATTTTTTATCTCAACGTTATCGAGTATGAATAATTCAAATCAAACAAAAGAGCAAATTTAATATTTTATAAATAATTTTGTTATTTCTATTATGAATTAGAGATTGAATAATATTATTGGGCAATTTTCAGTCTAACCTGCATAATTGAAGTAAATAGCTAAGAGGATATTTCTTTATTTTGGATGCCTTACTCTAGTGGTCAATTTATTAGAGTGGAAACTACTTTATCTTCCTAGCATTGATGGATAATTCGCTCACATGAACCATCCTTTTTTTAAATCACCCCAAGAAAGGTATTCTATTCTTTAATATTGAATAGAAATTTACCCTTCGAAGATATAGAAATCTAACATGATGGTATTGTATTGAAAGGATGGTTTATAAAATAATAGAATTATCAGACTGCTCCAACAGTCGTATTCTTCCATGAAAATGCTGGAAGTATATTTATTGGTTATTATTTAGACATTGGATGGAGGTTAGAGTATGCTCATTAATATTATGATCGAGTAAAATGCAATTTTGTTATTGTTGCATATAGAGGTTACACTTATAGCACTGGCACTCCACACTAAAATGGCATTCAAAAAGATGCTATTGCTATTACTAATTATGTTTTTAACAATTTAAATATTGATAAAACTAATATTTTTGCACATGGAAGAAGTCTCGGAGGGGCTGTTGCTACATATGCCTTCTATCAAAGATAAGAAAATGCTAAGGAGACAGGAGAGATGCAATATAAAGGATTGATTATTGAAAACTCTTTCACTAAAGTAGCAGATGTAGTTTCAAATATGAATGGCTTTTTTAAAATTTTAAGTTCTTTTATTATGTTTAATACTTGGAAGACGATTGAGCTTATACCAAAGATTTAAAACCCAATCTTATTCATTTCATGTATAAAATTTAATCAAAATACAAGCTGGCCAAGATGAAGTTATTCCTCATTAATAAATGCATAAACTTTCTCAAGCTGCACAGAATACAAGTTAAAAGTTTCATTATCACATCCCTCAAGGAGATCATAACTCAAATTGGAATTATAATCGAAATGAATATTTTGGTACTATCGAAAAATTCATAAACTCAATAAATTAACTTTGAATCAAATATGAAATAATTTTATTATTTGTGCAAAATTATATAAATCATTTTTATTTTTTACTTACCTCACTTATTTGGCTACCTGGCTTATTACTAATTTAACTTTAATTTATTCTAGATTCAGGTTTGAATTTATCCAATTAGTCCTTTAAAAGTTACCTTTCTTTAGCTAGTTTCAAGATATCTTCTTTGTATTCATTGATTTCCTTTTATTTTTCTTTTAATTGATCCTAAAATTTATTTTTTTCTTATTTTAAGTAATCCTAAAACTACTTCTCTTTTTATAAACTCTATTGTATATCTTCTTAAGAAATTAATAATTCTAAACTAATTTAATCATTTAAGTACCTGTTAATTTTTTTTCCATATTTTAGACTTCCTTTTTCTACCTAGAAAGAGCTATTTATAATTTCTGATTCTCTTGACTTTATTTTTTAGTCTCTTCGATTGATTGTTTTTCTTATTCTCTTTCTAATTGAGCCTTAGCTTCATATTCTTCTCTTAATTTATCTTGTAATTATTTTATATCTTAAGCACATTCTAACCTAATACTTTAAGCAATGCTTTATTTTTCAAATTCAAGTTTTTTGACTTAATCTTCAAGATCTCTAAATCTCTTATCTTTATCATTATCAGAATTGTTGAAAGATTGAGCCTTTTAGATTTTATCATTTGAATTACTTTTATTAATACTATAATTTGGTTTATTATTAGGAGTATTGCTATTAGGGGTTTTAGAAACATTTAATTTTTTTAACTTTTCAATAGTATTTTTTGCTTCCTTCAATTCTTATTATAATTGATTTATCTATTCATTTTAAATTTAATTAGTTGAATCTTGCTTTTTACTTGAAGAATTGTATTATTTGTTAGAGCTAGCTTGAGAATTAAGTCTTTATGATGGATTGTCCTATTTAATAATAGATTGTAATTGTTAATTTTCTGTTAACAATGTATTTAATTTAGCCATTAATTCTTGATTCTTTTGTTTAATTTCTTGATTTTCATTTTTTAGGACTAAAATTTCTTAGCTTCTCTTGGCAGCTAAAACTCCCAATGCTGCGTCAGATGACCATTTGGCTTCATTTTTTGGTATTTTTTATTTCAATTCTTCTATTTCATCTAATTGTTCTTGAATCTATTGTTTTAAAGTGATATTGTCTTCTTTTATTTTATCAAGCTTATGTAAATCAGTTTCTATTTTTTAGATTGCTTTGACCAATTTCTTGTTTTCATAAATCAATTTTTCAATTTATTAGTCCTTTTAATTTTGAATTTAAGTAAAGGTATTCTGTTAATTTTTGGATTTTTATTTTTCTTATTTCATTTCTGCATTCTAATCATTAAGTTGATCTGTTAATTTTTAATTTGTTTATTCAAGGTGTTTTATAGTATTTTCTAAATCATTTATTTTTTATGTTAACAACTTTTGATTAGCAGAGGCTTTCGAAAGTTCTGAAACTTCTTGGGAGGTTCTGCATGGACTCTGATTTACTTTATTCATCTTTAAAATTATATTGAAATAAAAATTTTATTAAATTATTCACAACAATTAATGAATTATCTATTTTAATTTCTGGTTTTCCTCAATGATTTAATTGATTTAAGGATCAATCACATTCTATGGTTGTTAGGTTGTAAAATTGAAAGCTAATTTAAACTTCTAAATTCTCTTTTTACAAATCATCAATTAATTAGATGTATACTTAGCTTTCTTTAATGGTTTAGTCTGTAGCAATCTCTTGGATTTAAAGAGAATCTACTCCTCACTTTATAATTGATGTTCCTAAGGTCTTTTAACAACATAAACTTTTTGAGCTTGAAGTGTAACTATCTTTCTAGAAAGAGTAGTTTAATTACCATCAACTTGCCAAATAAAAATCTAACCATCATCTGAATTACTAGTAATAAAATTGTGACCGTCTTCAAAAAATAATTTAACACTTTTAATTTCACTTAAATGACCTATGAGTAATTTTCTTTTATTTATTTATGTCGTTGGTTGAATTGTGTAATTAATTGATTATTGATTGTATTTAATTTAATAAATGTTCTTATTAACACATCCAACATAAGCGTAATCAAGATCAATGTCTAATGCTAATGGTTCTGAATCTAATTGTGTTTAAAATATTCTATTGATTTAGATGATGTAAATACATTTGGGTTGTTGCTACATCAAAAATGATCAATTCTTTATCCTTGGAAATAGTAGCAAGGACATTTTTGAATACAAAGTCATTAATTGCAGAATTATTTCCAGTGAATACCTTAAAAGGCTTAGTTTTCAACAGAACAATATCATCCAAAAGAAATAAATTAACATCTAATTATTAGAATATGTTTACTATTTTATAAGTCATCCACAACCAACAAATATTATTAATAATGATAAACTTTGTTGATCTCCTTGGCTACAAAATCAAGAGTAGATTTCAATTCTTAAATTTATGTGTATATCCTAAAATCTTTATTAGCATAAATGATGCCGTAGATTGAATGGTATTCAAAGGCAAAAACAATAGAAGATTCTCCTCCTATATGTTACTTCCATAATTCAAGTCCCTAGTAATCGAAACAAGATAACATATTTTTGGATGAGAAAATCAGAATACTTTGATTGGAGAAGCAGATGGTTTTGATGTCTGATTCTATGGTTTATAATATGGAGCTAGTCTTAGGATCTATTAGTTTTATAGCATTTGTGGTTTGCACAGCTATCAAATTAGTTGATGCATTGATTGCCATAGAATAATATTGTTTATATATATTTATATGATTTAATGCTAAATCTACATTTATCATTATTACTATTATCTTTACAACATTTGTGGTGGAATGTTACCCATCATGCCTTAAGGAGGTTAAGCGAAAGCAGTCTTTCCTAATAAGTTGACAACTCCTGTTTCAATTGATTTCAATAACTCCATCATATCTGGGTCTTGGAATAATTCTAAGATTATAATTTAGTAATACATGGGTTTTCTAAATTAGAAATATAGTCTTCTTCCTCATAGCTATGTTCTTCAAATATCATATCTCCCATAACCAAGTTCAAGACCATAGGCACCAATTATCCAGATTCATAGGTAGTTGGTAATTTATCAATCATATTTTTCAAGAAGTCTTGTTTCTCATTTAATAATTTGATTTAATATCTAATAATTTCTTTGGTGGCATTCATTTAGACCTATTTTTGTTTTGGCAACTTGTCCTTAATTCTTTATCTGGCTGAAGCTTGTAACATGAATACATGTTGACCCAATCCTCTTTCCATCAATAACATTTCACTTTATTCCAAGGTCTATTGGGAGACATCAATCTTTTTGCAGATTTCCTCTTGAGCCTTCATTAAAAGATTTTCAATGTCATTCACATAGTCCAACAATAATTAAACATATTTGGCTCCATCTGAATATAAAACTTCTCTTCTGGCCTTTCTGTTTTCAAGGGTAATTCTAATAAATTCTGGTTCTGCCAAATCTACACTACCTTCAACGATTTGAGTGTAGGTTTTAATGCTTATCATATTATTTGTGCTTGGAATATGCATTATTTGAATTTAAGAAGCAATCTCATTGAGTTTATCGCTCTTGAAAGTATAGTTTGCTAAAATATTAACTCTTATATTCATACATTTATCATTTCCTTCACTTTTTGGTTAAATTTCTTATGTTTTAACCTATTCTTAGGATTCCTTTGGTTTGAAGACTTCTAATTCTGCCAATTTTTAATCAAGCCATTCATTAGTCTCCTTTATTTTATCAGTTACTGATAAGTTGTTACCAACCCATGGCAAAACAATGCTATTCACCTATCCCTTTATAAGTGAAGGATTCAAGAGAATTTCTTCTTTGTCATTCTTGAATGCATATTAGGTGAGTGATTTCAATACAACAGGCTCAAGCTTTTTATCCTTTACCTTTTATGCTAAATCTTTGGCATCATATTATCTTAAATTTTTGATGTTAATCAGAAACACTCTTTATAATGAATCTTTAAGAGTGTAGAGTCTTTCGAAAAGCTAATCAAAATGCTTCATAAGGTTAGTCTCTGTTTACTCTACAACTTCCCAGTTAACCCTAATGATTTATCTATGTTGTACATCTTCTCATCTCCCAAAGAGGCTAAGACTGTTTCGATATTAGCTGCCAAGTCTTCTACTGTAATAGACATTCAACCACAAATTAAATATTTAATTTATATTGCTTCTCCTATTTTGGCTAAATAATTCATAGTATCTTTATCATTATACTAAAATTACATTCTAATTAAGATCCTATATTGAAGATCTAAAAAATATTAATTTTATCATAACATCAAATTAATACATCTAAATTTATTGACAATTGATTTATACTTAATAAAAATAAGGTTATATAAATTATTTTATCAAAATTTGGTTAACGAGAAAATCTAAAATTTCAGCATAAATGAAATTTATCATTGATAATTATTTTAAAGAAAATAAATACATTTACTATCTTAATTGGTATGAATTTAAAAAGTCATTCTAAATAAATTATGAAGTTCATAAAATAACAGAGTGATTAATAAAAGTTTTATTGATTTTTAAAATCTAGGAATTTAATACTTTATTTATTTAAAATATTATGTCTAATTATAGTCTGATGCTTAAGTATATAATCATAGGAGATACAGGTATTAAAATCAATATACAACAGGTGTTGGGAAATCCTGTATAGTTTTACAATTGATTGAAAATTAAATTAGATAAGAACATGATGCAACAATAGGAGTTGAGTTTGGAGCTAAAATTATCAAAGTTAATAGCATGAACATCAAACTCTAAATTTGGGACACAGCAGGACAAGAAAATTTTAGATCGATAATCAGGAGCTATTATAGATCAGCTATCGGTATACTTTAAGAATTATGATGAAGGAGCTCTACTTGTTTATGATATAACAAAAAGAGATTCATTCCACAACTTATAGAGATGGATGGAGGAAATAAAAAATAATGGAAATGCAAATATGGTAATTACATTATGTGGGAATAAAGTTGATTTAGAATCCGAGTAATAGTTTCTTATTTATTTAGAGACGAGCAGTGACATATGAAGAGGGGTGGTAGTTTGCATAATAACATTAATTGATATTTCTAGAAACATCAGCAAAATAAGGAATTAATGTACAATCTGCATTTTATTAATCCACACAGAGAATTTTAAATTAAATCGATGATGGCACAATAGTTCTTGGATAAGATGTAAGAATCATTATCATTTCATAGCCAGGAATCAAAATCGGTGGTTAATATAAAAAAAAGGAGAAGGATATAAAAAGTATCAACAATTACGAAGAAGCTGTTCAATTAAAGCCTGTAGAAACTCCAAATGGTATTAATAACTGTTGTTGATATTTATTCTTTATTTTATCTATATATTATTATAATATATTCCATATTATAATAATAAAATATATAAACTATTACTAGATGAAATTCTAAATTTTAACAATCAATTAATCATTAATCAAATCTTCAATTTTTTACATGCTGATTCACAAGCTTTTTCTTTTGCAACTCTCTCATGTTCATGTGTAAATCTACCAACAATTTGACCATCTATTCTGATTTCATAACAGAATTATCCATTCTCTTATTTAAAGGATTTGATATCCATATGCCCTTATTTGCTAGCAGAGTATTGATGCACTCTATCAATGACATGATCATCAATATCATTTAAATAAGTGCATACAAAAGGAATAAATTTCAAGTAAACCTTTTTTAAAAATTTGCAAACCGGTTGCCATCCTCCATCCATAAATATTGCTCCTACAAGAGCTTCAAAAGTATCTGATAGCACTTTTGGAACTCTAACGAAATTTCCATTGTAATAAGTAAACTTCTCATCTAATTTAACTGTTTCTATAAATTATAATATGGCAGGATCTTAGAAATTATGCATAATATTGTAACAAATAGCTATTTTGGACAAAAATGAGTTCGATAGTAAAACCATCTTAATCTTATATAAATTTGTTGGAGTAAACTTAAAGATTATTTAATTAAAACAGTTGCACATAATGTAGCACTCCAACACTGCATCTCCAATCAGTTCCAACATCTAATGTCCTCTCGTAGAAGGTGTGTTTGAATTTAAAAGAAATTTATAATACAATTCTAATGGTAAATCAAGATCCATATTTGAACCTTACACTCTAAAAGATTCGTATAGAATATATTTATTATGGAACTAGTACTCAATCACTTCAGTTTGTAAATAATTTAGATATTCCAATTAATTCTTTTAGAAATGCTATTTTTCGGCTTCTGACAATTGTCTGACTGGATTTATTAAATCTTTGAAACTCATATAATTATGCATAATTGGAAATTAATATTATTGGACAATTGGCTTACGAGGGTAATATTTATCAGTTGCTGGGTAATAAGAAACAGGATGTCGCAAATGCAAAAGAAATTTATAAACATCATATAAGGAATCTTTATCTAAAAAGACAGTTGCTATGAGTGATTCAAAGATATCTGCTAAAAAGGTTACAAGCATAGTTGCTGAAACTTATTTTATAGGTTCAGGTTAAATATGGTTTGAATGAATGTTTTAAAGCACTGGACTAAACCATTTAGTTTAATGCCCAAGTGATCTCACATAATAAAATAATCCGAAATATTAGTATTTAAAGAGATGCTTTCCAATAAAATTATTATTCACTATTTATGATCTTTAATCTGATAATATGTTCTCATTTGTATTCTAAGGTCCTAAGCTAACTGAAACAGTGGCCAAATATTTTAATATTGAGTCTCCTAAAGTCTCCAATAATTCATAATTAATATCTCTATTATAAGAAGCTCTGCTTATGGCTCTTTATACTCTTAAGTTAGGTTCGATTCCTATCGAGTTTGCAAATTCACTTATGATGAACTATTACTCAAGTTCTAATAAAAATGTTGGAAGCATTAAAAAATTATCATATTGATTAACAGTAAATGGGTAACGAAATAAATTTGATATAGGCATTATGTGAGTTGATAAACTATTCAGCTCCAATTTTGGTTTACAAGTATGTATCTTAAAATTTTATGATTTATTTTCAAGACTATTTATTTAATCTTCCGAATAAAATTATACTCTTTAGATAGTTGTTACCTATTTAAAAATAGCTAGAGCTGAATCTCTCTAATTGTATTAGTTTTGATAGGATCTTAATTATAAAATGGGATTGATATTCTCAGTTTTAGCTTTGAATTAATGTTCGTAAAAAAAATATCCTATTGTTTTTTTTAGGATGGTCTCATCAATACAATAATATTCCTTAAGCTATTCTAAAGTGAATTTTGAGTTTTAAATTACAAGGTTAAAGTACTCATCAACAGTTTATTTCCAAGGTTATGAAATTATTGCATAGATACAATTCACTTATTGAGTTTTAGGAATATAGAATAATTAGTCAGCTATTCCTTGATCATCTAAGTTTATATCTTTTAAACACAATCCATTCACTAATCCTTCTCTTTATTTTATAAACTCCTACATGAATTCATAATCAATTTAGTCGTTTATTAGAGGTACTATTAAATAGTTTCTATATCCTCCATTTATGAAGTTGTGAAAATTTATAGTATGAGCCTTGATATTTTTAGGCGATAGCATGTACCAACTCATTTGTAATCTCACATTATAATCAAAAACTTTGCTAATTGAAACATAATCAAACAAGATTTCTTAATTTACACTTTTAAACAAGATTTCTGTGTATTCCGGTTGTGGACCGTCTATATGATATATTTTTATCGGCCTATAATTTTAAAGGATTGGCCTTGAACTCACTAAACCAATATTAGTAGAAAGTATAGATAAATAGGCTTTGTCATTCTTATAAGATGCAGTAAAGCAATGAGGAATTTCATATTAGAAAGTATTTTTAATAAACCAATTATTGATTTCTTAGCATTCTAATTTCAGATCGCTCATTTTCTAAATTATAATTATCAATCTGGTTTCATTGTCTTTATAAGGGAAAAAAAATTGCTTGATTATTATTTCAATTTTAATTAATTTAAAAAATTGTATTGGATGTCTTTAATGAACTTTAAATTTTGGTTTGTTGAAGTTTAGTTTATGAGGTAAATTATGATTTCGATTTTGAAAAGGAATCCAAAGAACATTAAATACTTCAGTAATGATATTAATTTATAGTATGAGTTGGTTAAAAATATATGGATTAAAATTAACATTTAAATCATATTCACATAGATACATGATAAATTATCAATCAAATAATGATCCAGGAACATTTGCTCTTCTATTTGTTTATTTAGCTCTCTATTAAGAAGTTGGTTATTTTGGTATTTCAACTTATTTATCAAAAAATTACTAGAAATTAGTCTGATTACTAGTTTGAAAATATTCTTCTGCTCCCTAATATTCAAAAAATGGGTTATTTGTTTAAAGATTTTACTATTAATTCTATTGTTAATTATGATTATTCTCTTGTGCCTCAAAAAATGGGTTATTTGTTTACAGATTTTACTATTAATTCTATTATTAATTATTATTATTCTCTTATTTGTGTGCCAATCTGGGATGCCCAAATGTAGCTTAATTTTGTTATTTTTATTGACTTGGCTTTTTGGGCGGAGGAGGATGGTAAGTATTTTCTTGAATTTCATTATTAATAATATTTGAGTTTGGTTATTGTTGGTCTGTGTGCAACTGCTCATTTTATTGCTTATCATGCGTCATTTTCTTTTCAATTTTATGTGATATTTCATTATTTTAGATTTACTCTTCTTAGTGTTATTAAGATAAATTTAATGATTATTGCTACTGTTATTGCTATTATTAATACTATTATTATACTTATTGTTATTGATGTTATTATTATTGTTATTGTTATATTTATTGCTATTATTATTGTTATTATAATTACTGCTATTATTATTATAATTATTATTAATTTTATTATTATTATTATTGCTATAGATGTTGTTATTCTTTGTGTTATTATAATTATTTAAGGTGAGACTAATTTTCTATCGCTTATTATTATTCTTATATAGCATGTTCATATTAATTAGTTATTTTATCAAATTATTCATTCACTTCTTGCTCATCTTATTAGCCTTCTTAATCGTATTAGTCCTAATCCTACTACTCAAATTATTATTATTCATCTTAAGCCCCTTATTCATCTTATGCATCTTGCACATCTTAAACCTATACTTAGTTATATCCAGTTTTCAATTAAGTTGATCCAGAATCTGCATTTACAATTTAACCTTGTATGTTAACCTCATCCTCATTCGCCCAATATTATTAGTTTTACTATTAGACATGATGCTAATGTGGAGCAGGAGCTTCAACAACCTAAGTTTGGACGACTTATTATTAAGTATTTGCTTGAACTTAAATTGGTTATTAAAATTACTAAACCCTAGGTAATTAAGGTGGCTATAATTTTGATAATAATCCTTATAAAATATTAATTTAGTCATCCAAATTTGATTGGTTTTACTATATGCGATATTTATGAATAATATCTTTTCTTTATTATGTATTTGAATGCAATTTTTCAATGAAATGTTTTTCATTTTATTTTTCCATTTACTATATTTCTTAGAGTTTTTAAAATTATTTTCTTTCACTCTAAATTTATTCTTTTAACTAATTAAGTTATTTCAACGAATTTTATTCTTAATTTTATAATGATGTTCTCAAAAGCTAATTTTCATTTTGAAGTTATTGAATTTAAGTCTGATAACTCACGTGCTTTGTTTATAAATCTTATATCGTTTTTAAATGATCTTATTAGAACTGAGTAATTGAATGCTAGAGGTCTTTGTTTTGTTTAATTAATTGATTGATTTATTTTTCATAATAAATATCTCTTTATTTTATCATTTATTCAAAAACAGCAATATCAATCTATTAAGATTATTATGGTTGTAATTAAATGGTGAATTTTGGAGTTTATGTATTAAGATTTAAGCTTTCAATTAGCTCTTCTTACTGTTTGACTATTTATTCATTTGAAAAATTTAATGTTTGCTTTTAAGTTGAAATTGTTTATTATTGTTGTTATTATTATTATTATTATTATTATTATTATTATTATTATTATTATTATTATTATTATTATTATTATTATTATTATTATTATTATTATTATTATTATTATTATTATTATTATTATTATTATTATTATTATTATTATTATTATTATTATTATTATTATTATTATTATTATTATTATTATTATTATTATTATTATTATTATTATTATTATTATTATTATTATTATTATTATTATTATTATTATTATTATTATTATTATTATTATTATTATTATTATTATTATTATTATTATTATTATTATTATTATTATTATTATTATTATTATTATTATTATTATTATTATTATTATTATTATTATTATTATTATTATTATTATTATTATTATTATTATTATTATTATTATTATTATTATTATTATTATTATTATTATTATTATTATTATTATTATTATTATTATTATTATTATTATTATTATTATTATTATTATTATTATTATTATTATTATTATTATTATTATTATTATTATTATTATTATTATTATTATTATTATTATTATTATTATTATTATTATTATTATTATTATTATTATTATTATTATTATTATTATTATTATTATTATTATTATTATTATTATTATTATTATTATTATTATTATTATTATTATTATTATTATTATTATTATTATTATTATTATTATTATTATTGTTATTATTATTATTATTATTGTTATTATTATTACTATTATGAATTAGTTAAAGATGTAATATTTTAGTGTTTTACTTATTTATCTTAGTTGTTTTATTAAGTTAAACTTTCTTCTGATTTTAATTGCTGATGATGAGCTTCCAATTAATTATGGATAGAAGTAATTTATGAGGTAATTTCCTTTTCTTTAAATTCTTAATGATTTTGTTCTTAGAAGTTATGTATTTATTATTTTATTGTTTCTTATTAAAAATCTCCATTTTATTATTAATCTAATTCATTATTATTTTATTTTTCTGGTTCAGTTTGATGAATATCCCCTTAAGAATCCTCATTACTTTATTAGTTTAGAGTATTTTAAAATTGCACTCCCAGCTTTTCTTCTTAGTTATCTGTTTATGAGTTATTATTATTTTCTATTTGATTTAAGTTTTCTTGATTTTCAATATTTGAGTCTTGTGATTCTTATGATTCTTCTGATTCTTCAGATCTCAATTGTTCTGCTAATAAATTCAATTTCTCTTGATTTTATTTTAAAGAATCAAAATTTGTTAAGTCTTCTTCTTCTATATGTTCATTTTCTACTTATTAATAATTCAATTAATTAGTTTATTACTATTAAGCGATTGGAGGAACAATTTCGTTTTTTTAGGGTTCAGCTTTTGATTATTTTGTGGGGATATTGGATGATAATTAATTATTTACTTGAGTGTTTAGGATTTTATCTTATTATTATCTTTATTATTGCTATACTCCAAATTCTTCAGTTTAATTATTAGGGAGTTGAGTTGGAGCCACTTGTTTAGATTTATTTGGAGGAGGAATTTATTGTTTAGGGGCTTAATTCTAAATTTAATGATTCTAGTCCTAAGGTAATGTTTGTAAATTCAGTTGTTATTCTTAGTTGGGTGGTTGAGGTTCAGCTTGGATTTGATTATTTTAATTGTCAAATTTAGTCTAATCTTGTATTTATTATTGATTGACAAATTGCTATGAGTTTTATGGAGTGGATTATGGAATTGGAGGTGCAGCAACTTAATTTTTGACTGGTGGTATTCCTGAGGCAGGTGGTCTGGTAGGAGGACCTCTTTAAGGAACATTCTTTTTCATAGTAGTTTAGGGTTGGGGGAGACCTCTTTATTCCTTCTACAAGAATGCTTAAACGCTATCTTCACTTAGCTTTGACATATCTAATGACATTAATTCTTTGGGTGTTAGAATTTGTTCAACTAAAGCAGTTCTAATCAATAATCCTAGAATAGTATAATAAAGACACCTTTAGTTCCCTTCAAGCGCATTTTAACAGTATTAACTCTAGTTCTATAGTCTCTTGTATGATCACCTCCAGAAAGTGTGAATGCTTCTTATTCAAGAGATGTAGCTAATTATTCTGCAATCTAGGATGATATTTGATCTTCTTCCAATATTTTTTTGAATTCATTTTTCTGATTTTCACGTACCCTTCTGTCGTAATTAGTGTTTTCTACAGGTTTGACTTCTTCGAACAACATATTTAATGAACACGTATTTTTTAATAAAATATCTTAAATTAAATTATTTATGTTACCATTTTTTCCTGTTCCAGGATTACAAGACTTAGACATTCCTTAAGGAGCACAACAAGATTTCTATCCCAAAAGTTAAATACAAGAACCTTAAGAAGCTAAGAAATTGTTCATAAAGAACCTCCCTCAAGAATTAACCAATGATAATGTTGAGAAACTTTTGAAAGTAAATTGAAATATGATAATTAGGAATGTGGTCAATTAGTATCATGGAAGCGATCAAAAGGTACTCCTTTTGGGTATGCTGAATTTGAAAATATGGAAAGTGTATTAAAATGTTTGCGCCTTCTTAATGGTATGATTCTGAACTAGAAGGACTTGCTTGTTAAGGGTGGAGAGAAAGCTTAGATGATGATTGATGGTTGGATGTACAAGAAGGAGACTGAATGGGAAGAGAGAAGAGCTAAATTAGAGGAGAAAGATAAATAAAAGGAGGAATATAGAGCATTATTTAAATTTACATCTTTTTAAGAGTACATTACTAGAGATGATGATAAAATAAAAAAGAAATTAGAAAAAATAATATCAGAATTAGAAGGCACTGTCACTAAAACTAAAAATGACAAGAAAAGGGAAGAGGAAAAGAAAGAACATCCAAGGGAGAGAGAAAGAGATGCCAAGAAGAATAACACTAGGACGGAATTAGAAAGAAAATATAGGGAGAAAATGGCAGAATGGAAGAAGAAGGAAGATGAAAGAGAGAGAGAAAGAAAAAAGGAAAAGGAGAGAGAGATAGATCGAGAGAAAAATTTCTAAAAATATCTTGAAAAAGAATTAGCTTATGACAGTGAATAAGAACGTAAATAAATTGGTAAGATTAAGATGAACGAAAGAAAGAAATTCAGGTAAAGGGAATTTGAAGAAGATGAAATCTTCAAAAAGAAGGAATTATTAAAGACACAAAAACCTCCTGAACCAGAACCACCTTAAATGGTAGTTATTATTTAAGAGCCACCTGAACCAGAACCTTAGCAAACATAATAGTAATTGTTATAGCAATAAGTAATAATTAAATATTATATTTGATTTAAAACTAGCAATAGATGGAATAAGCAGAATAAATGTAATAAGAGAAATTATAAAAGGAAATTGATTTGAAAGAAGAGCTTAAATAAATATTTGCGACAATCCCAACGGAAAAAGAAGAACTATTCAATACTCAAATTAATTGGCAGCTGTTTGCTTAGGTATTAATTATATATTTAGTTAATCCCAAGTCTAACTTATTGGAGAAAAAGATCCGTCCATGGTTAAGGGAGAGGTGCATTGAATATTTATCTTAAGAGGAGAGAGTATTTATTGATGCCATCATCAAAAGATTATTTAATCGTGAGAAGCCATAAACAATTATAAATAAAGTTGTAAAGAAGGTCTTGGATGACGATAGTGAGCAATTTGTTATAAGAATGTGGAAGATGATCATCTTTGAATTGAGAAAATTAGAAAGAGGTCTGATATCTTGATGATTTATTAAATAATTTAATAGTTTTATGAAGTTTCTTAAAACAACTATTAATATATATATATTATATTTCATGAATAAACCTAGCCCTTAAAAACTATAATAAATTGATATAGATAAAATATAGTTACTCACAAATATTGATAAAACACATTAATCCACAGTATCCATTAACCTAATAAAATACGAATCGCAAATAATGGTCTAAAAAGTAAATTATTAAACATCATATCAAAGAGTATATTACTCAGCTCTTTACAGACTCAACAATAGATTTAGCATTTGCATAATGAAAGATAAGCTTTGCAGGAGCTTGATTACCCATCAATTAATAAAATGTAATAAACTCTTTATTACTATATTTTAGTATTGCTACTAAGAAGGATGACTTAAACATTCATTTATTTTTGAAATTCGAAAAAGGAATGCCATTACATAAATTATTAAGAAACGTAGGTAAAATTAATAAAAAATTTTCTACTCTATTTTTTATTCAAATATTGATCACTTTTAACTATCTTCATGAAAATGGTTGGCTTTATAGGGATTTAAAGGCTTCTAATGTGATCATCACTTAAGAATTTAGAGTTAAATTAATTGATCTTGGAATGGCTAAAAAAATAGAAAAGGGTAGAACCTCATCAATTTGTGGTACAATTCATTCAATGCCACCTGAGGTTATAAAAAATGATGGATACGAATATGATTATTCTTTTGACATCTACACGATAGGCATACTGTTTTATGAGATGTTGGTAGGAAAACCTCCTTTTGGAATGAATGAATAAGGCTTAGAATAAAGAATTTTAGAAGGAATTAAAGAAGATTAATTATCAGTAATAGAAGACATTAAAATAAGAGAATTATTAAAGAATCTTTTATCTCATAATCCAAAATAAAGACCAAATTGTTAGTAGTTATTGTAAGAAGAATTTATTCTATAAAATAATTATGATGAGATTAAGAATTTTATGGAAAAGGAGGAAGCAAATCTAAATGGTTACAAGTCTGATTTATATGACGAAGAGATATGTAATAGTAATTATTTATTCTTAGATTTATATTGTACATAATTTGCTTTCAGTGAAAACGATAACAATGATTTTGACTTTTGATTTATTCTTGAGATAGAGGTTTATATTATTGAAAAATACTGATTTTCATTTCTTAATTTCTTTCTATATTTTGAATAATTATAAAACTGCAGGAGAATCTACAAAAATGTTGTTTATCATAATTAAATTAATTATAACTTAATTTCTTAACTTAAAAAATTTTCATAACTCCTTTAAATAATATAAAATTTCAACTCTAGATCTCATTTAAAAAATAGAACAATAAATTATAACACAATTTCATATAAATTCTCCCAGTAATTCTGTTTTACTTGATAAAGCTATAATGATCTTCTAGTATTCAAGACAGTTGCGGCAGAAAATTCATTTAAAATACAATAATTTATTTAAATAATATGAAGATCAATTAGTAGATAATTCAACAAAACTCGGCTGAATTTCTCCTTGTAAAAAATCTTCTTGTAATACTCCTAAGAAAGGGTGAGTTAATGAATTAAGCTTTCCTTTTCATTCTAGATTTCAATAAATAATCTTCTATTTAAAAATCTCTATAAGTTGTAAGAGGCTAATCATCCATTCTAGGCTTAGTTGGCGAATATCTCTATATGCTTTGATATCTCCTTAATTATTTTGGGAAATTTTTCATCATTTTTTAATACTATTAATTCTCTAATATTTAATTAATAGATTCATTTGTTTCAGGATTGAGTGATTTAAAAACCTTCTTTGTTCTTGCGCTTTACTTATTATTATCTATTACTTAAGCTGTGATAGGCTTAATCTTATCTATTGCTCTAGTTAATTATCAACAATTTTTACTTTTAGGTACGATGTATTAGTGATTAAGAGACAACTAAGGATCTTTGCGTTTACGGTTTGGTATTTTCATTTATATCCACATTATTAATTTTGATTTTCTCTGCTGTACTAAGCACTCTATCAGTTTTGATTACCCATGAAGCTTCTTCGGCTTTCGACATTTTTAATCCAATTATATTGATAATGGAAATGTTTTTAGGGTTATCTTAGATAATTTTTAGTTATACTGACAATAAAATGAACTTCCATCTCATCTATACATAATTTATGAAAGGTTTATGTATAAACGGCTATTTTATGGCAAGTATATTTAAAATACTCTTTTAAATCTAAATTATCTGAATATTCTTTTTCTTTATTCCATTATCTCTAACCTCGAAGTGAAGGATCTGTAAGATATGACTGTTCAAATACTATATCACTAAATAGTAAACTATCTTTTATGTATTTATATTTATGAATAAAATAATCTTTAGGATTTCTTTTATTAATTTCTATAGAATCTAAAGCTGATTTTTCATTGTAGAGATATAATTATAAATGAAGTAGATTATCAAATATAGGATTTGTTTTAGATAGAACTACTAATTAATGCAATTCGAATTTTCCAATTAAAGTTGTTTCGCCTGTTTAATATCTTGCCATTAGAATACTTTATCCATTCAATAAATCAGAAATTTACTAAAATAACTTGTAAAAATACTTATTTTAATTTAGTAGTTATTAAATTACTATTTTCATGATACTAAGAAAATTTGATGGTAGGATGAATGCCTGCTTTGATTTGCTTAATTTAAATATCAACTTCAAACTCAATTTTTCTATCAATAAGATATTTTTCCATTTCCGTATGAAAAAAGGATTTATTTTTTATGCATCTGAAACCATTATCATAAAAAGCATAAAATACAAATTCTCTGTCTTTTAAAATAATTGTATCTAAAATATTAATATTTATTGATCTAACAACTTCATCTTATTTTTATAATAATTGACAGATAGTAAGCAAATCATCTTTAAATCCACATATTGAAAATCTTCTTTGTCTTGGTTTGTTAATTATTATTTAACATTTCTTTTATTCTTCTGGTTCTTTTATTTCTTGCTATTTTTTATTGCATATCTGACAAGAACATAGATCAGAACAATTTGTAATTGGGAAAGGAATTACTTCCATCTATTTCAGAGTTAAATCACAAAAGGAATCCCAACATTTAAGTCCACTTTATTTTTATTAAAATGACATAATTTATTATAGATATTCATTTATAATTTACATCTATCTTTATTTAGTTAATGTTTATGTGCATCATCTTAATACAAACATTAAACTACTTATTAAAGATCAGTATTGTATTAACTTTTTTTAATGATTATATTGTTATAAATTTATGAACATTTAATTGGCATAAAAAGTTGTTAATTAATGGAGATTGTTTGTAGAAAAAAAGAGAGAGGTAAGAAGCATTCTTGTGACATAATATAAGCAAAGCTATTTAAAAGTTTATTATTCATATAAGGAATTTAAGAAAAAAAAATTTTAATAATACGTGGTTGCTAATGCTTCCAAACTCATTTACAAAGCATTAAAAATCAATTTATAAAGAGTTCAAAATCTCAAACAATTTATCCAAAAAAATAAAATAAAGCGATTTTATATTTTAAAATAATAGGATAACTTATTCCGTAAGATTACTAATTTATAATCATAAAATGCAATAATAAAAACAATAAGACCTCCAAAATCTGCTAAATGTGAACATAAGAATCTAATACCTTTGATTTTTAGAAATGTTCAAAAAGCTGTTATATTGTTTAATTTCCACTATATGAAAAAGTATTATGGAGAGACTACTATGGATAAGGACATGATAAAGAATGAGTTTTTATTTTATTTTACTAATTATGTTACAGTTAAACGGCCTTAGAAATTATACTAACTTACTGCTCCAGAAAATGAAAGATATAAATATGTACTTTAAAAAGTAGATACATTTTAATCTGAAGAATACACATTATTTAATTATGTAGAATTAAAAAATATTAACGTACTCAAAAAAATATATATACATAACAGAAAGAATAAGGATTAATAGTTATAACTCTACTTTGATTATTAATTGAAAGAAATTGGAGCAGCTTGTAAAATTTAAAAGTTTTTTAGAGGAAAAAAAGATCGAAAAAGAAAAGGAATGATATACTCTCACATAGTTGGATTAATCAATTAATCTCGTGCAATATTTGTAATTTAGAAATGGTTTAAAAGGATAAGATAATTCCATAGAACTAATTTTTTTAAAGACATCTCATTTTACATTTCCTAGATACCTACAGAACATTTGTATTTAGACATGGAAATTTATTAGAAAATATAATAAATAGTCTAAGATTAATAATATACTATAAGATTTTTAGAACAATACAATACGGTATGCAATTATCTAATTTTAGATAGTTTCAGATGCGGAAGCTGTAAGATTGATATTCTAATCATCAAAGACTCAATGCTTGAATTTATCAACTTACTAATAAACTATATCTTAGTTTGATAATACCCCTGTTAAAATTATTCCTTCATGGTTGATTAAATAGATCTAGATGGTTCCAATTTCCTAACAAAAGTTTATAGATTACTCTATAATCAAGTAGGAAATGAAAAGTTCTAAATGGAGTTGTAGAAATAGATAGTATTAAAAGAAATAATTTGAAAAATTAAATGATTTGACTTTTTAAAAGTAGTGTGATATTTATGGTTTGCTTCATTTGGGTGCTAAAATCTCTTTTGATCATATTTGCAAAAGAAGCTATATAAGATTTACTTACAAATCAACAAGTGAGGCTAGGTATAGAGCTTTGGCTTTAGCTCTTATAACTTATAAATTTAAATTTAATGGAGTATGCATTTAAATGCTAAATGATAACTTGTGGGAAAGCCCATATTAAAAACAAGAATAGTTTCTCTAAAAATATTATTCAAAAATTTAGAAAGCTTTTAAAATAGAATCATTAGAATTACCATCCTCAAACTTGCAAAATTAACCATCAAACTGTTTAATATTATGTTAAAATGAATTTCAAGCAGAACAATTTAAATTAAAATAAAATGAAATCCAGTTGCAATTCTATAATGATACAAGCAGAATACCTTTAAACTTTATTTGGATGAGTACTTAACAAATAATAAAGAAAGTGCCAATCAAAATACAAAATCTATAACTAAGCTAAAATAATACTCTAAAATTAAGTTCTATTCTATAAAAGAGTTCAATTTTATACAAAAGGGATGCAATTGAGGGGGATCAACAATTTGAGTAGAGTATTTAAAGCAAATTTTATGTTTCAAATGAGTTGTCTCCTAGATCTCCGAAAGGAGAAGCAATTAATAAGTCTACACATTCACCTCTCAAATTTTCTATTTTATGTTTGGATAATCCAGATGTTCAATTTTAAGAGCCAAAATTTAAGAGGAGAACTGAGTAAACCTATTTAGAGTTTGCAATGACAAGCAAATATAAAACATAAAATAACCCTCTAAATAATTCTAAAGTAAATGGACTTTATGACTTTGAAGGTAATAATGCCTAAACTTTAAAAAAAAAGAACAATTAAGATCTCGAAAATATTAGCGAAAATACTGAGTACTCACATTTATAGAGAAGATACAAAGAATTCATTTAGAATGAGAATAAAACAAAAGTAGAATCAATAAAGTCTTATAAACCAAATGAAAAAATACTATTAAGTGAATTTTCTAATTTGATAAATAAAAAAGAAAAAAAAGTCAAAAACAATTAAATATAAACTTATAGAGCAAAGTCCATAGATAGGCCGACAAAAAAAAAATACATTTATTCTTAATTTAGTTAATCTGTGACAAAAAGAGAAGATTATAAGGATTATTCTTTAGCGTTTCCTAAGATATAATAAAAAAGTTCAAAAAAACAGACCTTAGATTCTAAACTATCAAATTACCAAAACTGCTGTAATTTTCCTGAAGATTAATATACAATGGTTAAAGATACTATAAAATTTTGATTCTTCATACAAATATTTAATTCAATTTGAATTATGGTATATGTGATTCTCCATCCAATTTTAGTATTTTTTTTCAAAATCTGATTTTTATAAATTATCTATTAACAATTAAAAATATTCTTAAGCTGCAACATTCTTTTCATATTAATCTTTGATAGAATTAACACAAAGAAGAATAGTTTTTTTTTAAGGGATCGTCTTTAAGGCATTTTTTTTAATATCTTTGTAGTTTTAACATATTTAGTTCTGTTGTAATTCCTGCGCGTATTCCAAAAATTGAGTTGAATTCCTGAAACTTAAAATTGAACTTCTGATTGAGATTAGCAATTAGCAATTAATTGATGCCATAATGAAAATGCCTTTCTAAAAAATTATATCCCAAAAATGAAGACAAGCTTATTTTGGGATATTGTACAAATATAAAGTAAATATCCATTTGCATAACAAATAAGAATCGTCGATATCTAAATTCATATAATGTTTGTACAATTGGACATCTTATTCTTTGAGAATCTCTTTAGTCACACTACAAATTAGTCTCATTAAAGGAAATTCAGTCATATAAATTGCATAAAGCATCCATTTTGAACAATAAAACATCAAAAAAGAAGCAGACCAAGTTTCTTCCATATTTCCACCTGATTACATTAACATAAATGCTAAGATGAAATTCATTCCCTAAGTATACCCTATTCCCTTAAAAGTTGCTCCGACCAAATTTAATAATTAACTTAATAATTGGGAACTTTAAGATTCCAATTAAAAAAAGGGATGGCTAATCTTAAATTTTATAATACTTTGGAAAAGTTCTTTTCACATCTCTTTCAACTACTGATAGTCTTTCGGTTTATCTAATTTTCATTGCCTTGTGTTTTTGTTTAATGCAACTATATAGCAAAGTTTTCCAAACAAACCATCTTATTTAACCGCCTCCTGCCTATTCTAAAACTTCTGCAAAACGCTCGGGCTCATTTTTATGTATTGTATATAAAGCTTTTTATAAATCGCCAGGACCTCCTGAAATTTGGCGGCCTGGATTCCCAACTAAACCTTCCCAAAGTTAAATGCATATTGCTTAATCTATAATTTCAGATTTATCAAAACAAACACCAATCTACAAATTATTTTCTCTATCAATTTTATTTTAAATCTAATAATATTTTCTCTTAAATACAATTGGCTTGATAGGAGCATATGGTTAGTCTTCAATTTCTGAATAATAAGTATTTTTTAAGGAATTACTTAACTATTCGTCCTTTTATTCGCTATTACAAATATTTCCCATATATAAACAAAATAATACAAATAAAACCAATTATCTATATATTCTAAATAAAGAACAATAAATTTTATATGTAGTATATATAGAATTTTATATTATATGAATGAGGTTTGGTTTAATATACAAGTGGTTAGAGTATAATAATTAAATATTTTTATGTCTCAAACAAATATTAACTTATTATTTGAAATAATAATATTAGAATGTTTTGAGAATCAGAATTTTATATTAATTTCCTTAAAATACTCATTCTCTATACAGATAAAGATGCTGATTGAATTTTTAATTGAAGTTTGAAAGGCCAGATCAAAAAGAATTTATAGATTGGCTAATATGATCACCAAACTCACCAATATATTAATGATAAATCTATATTGCTCTTTAAATAATATTAAATATTAAATCAAATGGGATGTGTTACAACGAGAAAGCAGCATATGGTTTAGATACCCAAGCATGCTTTAAGATAAAATTCGTAGTTAATGGATGATGATGATCAACCTAATTACAACAGTGCTCCTTAAAGTCCTGCTTTAAGAAAAATTGTGTAAATAGACGCATTTACACCTGACGAAATGAAGGATTTTATTTTAGAGAGGAGAAAATAACCTAATAATACTAAAAGAATCGAACTAATGAAAAAAAGTGGCAGATATACACCCACTCTTATCTATAAAAGTAGAAAACCTTCACCCTCCTAAAGGAGTCAAACAAAGGTTACTATTTTATCACCAATCTATCCTACCCAAAAATGATATGACCTTATTTATTTTGTAGTAGATATTGATTTATTTTCTTATTTTTTATAGGATTTCAAAAAAAAATATCTCCATTTTAAATTTTACATATTATACATTACAAGTCGGTTTTAATTAAATTAGATAACTCTATGTAATAATGTTATTTTTATAATAATAATCACTAATTTTATAGCCTGCTTCTTTTACCTTATTTCTTGAGAGTTTGTAGGATCGATTTACATTTCAATTCCAAATATTGAATACTATATAATTAAAATGAAATATATATTTGATATCAGCATTTCTATTAAAAGAAAATGTAGGATTTTTATTATTTAATTCAGACAGTTTTATCATCAAATAGAAATTATAATCTTTATTTATCTATGTGAGATAATATTAAAATTTGTTGAAATAAAAAAACAAATAAAAACATTATTTTTCAATTCATGGAATATAATATAAATTTTAGGACAATTCTATCTATATTTATCATATGGATTAGATGTGATTCTTAAAATTTCTAAGTTTTGAATAAATAATTTAAATCTATCAAATTTCTACTTTAAGATATTTAAATATAAAAGCCAATAATTAGGAATTAAGTGTTTTCAAAATCTTAAATGAATTTAATATAATAATATATTGAAGATGCTGATTATTTCGAATTACGCTATCAATTTTAAATTTTATGCTCAGGCGAATAAAATATTCCTACAAAAATGATTTATTTCTTTGATACTAAAAAAAATATCATTTGTGTTATTTATTATTTCAAAAAATATACAATAAAATGATTTTTAGATTTATATAAGTAAAGACTTTATAATTTCTTCTGTTTTATATGATTTACCCAGAATTTTTGTATAATTTATAACATCCAGCAGTTTTAAATTAACCTTTAGGTGTTTAAATTTTTTATAAATTATATGTTCTATCATTTTTATATTTTATGATATCATTCTCTATTAATACACAGAAATATACAAATCTGCCTAGCAAATGACTATTTAAGATTAGGAAACAAATAGAAATAGAAACCATAAATGAAAGTTGGTCATTCTCTATTTTTTATAATCATATTTGGATAAACCTACTACATTAGACAAAAAATTCCAAAATAATCAAATAATTATCTCTAAACTTTACTACTGTAATATTTATACTTACAGTAGCATATTCCATAAATTATTTCATTATTGGAAATGATTTAATTAATATGTTTTCCCATAATCTGTGAGCAAAAGGTAGGTCAATATCATTTCTATTTTATTATATTGTAAAAACAAAATAATTTTTATAGACTGACTTTAATACGTTTCTATTATGAAAAAGATCATCCTTTAAACATTTAATCTCTTTGCACTTAAGAAGTAGATTAAACTTTAAATAATTTGAATCAAGAGGGAAAATCAAAATTTTGTATAAAACCCCTTAAATCTTAAATAATTTAAAAATTGGCTCACTTAAAGATATACAAAATATTTAAAATGACAGGGTTTATTAAATCAATTCTTACATCTTTAGAAAATAGTGAAACTCCATTTTCATCCATTTAATATTTCAGATGATTTTTTAATTACATATTTTTAAAATAGTTTATTCTAATTTTGTTCCTTATTTTGAATGTCTAAATCTTAATTGGTAGCATTTTATCAATTCCATTAGGTTTATTGAGAATTTCTCTTGCCTGTATTTGGTTTAATAGAACACTTGTTATAGGCCTTTAATGATAATATCTTCATGAGCTTAAATTAGATCTTGATCTCATTAATTAAAAAATAGAAATAATCAATATTTATATTAAACTGTTTTTGAATGAATGCGAGGTTCAATCGTAGAATAAGCACTCTCATCTCTAGATCTACAGATATCAAGAGTGAGTTTTCTCTTTACTAACTCTAAATTGAAAACAGGTTGTTAATTTTTATTTTTTCTTTTTTTAAGTATAAAATCATTTAATTGTTTGCATTGATTTTATTATTCGTATTGCTTCTTATTATAAAATATGTACTTTAATTTTATGAAAATAATCAGCTATGAGTTATTATTATTCTTTTAGCTAATCTTGAAGTTATTAAATTAATGCTTACTGTTTTTAAGCATCCAAATTTGAGGTTACATTGAATCTCTTGATACATCGTTTTAGATTCAGATTTTCTTTTTTTAATTCAGCATTTTCTCTTTCTTTTTCTAGAATTTTAGTATCCCTATTATTAAATGTCATAATACTTGCTATTCAACTTTTTATTTTAGGGCTCTTTCAGATTCTTATAAACTGGAAATCAAGCTGGTATGATCTGGAATTTTTGGCATTACAAGTAAATTATAATCAAAATCGTCTTATTGTATTTTTAAACCTAATTCTGGATTATACAATCGCAGACAAACAAAATAACCGCATAATCGATTAGCCTTTTATCTAAGCCTATTTGATAATGCTGTAAGGGATGTAATTTCTTATTCAAGCTCAAGTAGTAAATCTTAATCCACATTGTTTTGTTTCTGAGGTAATGATTCTTTTTCTAGTTCTTATAATTTGAGCAATAACTATTAGATGATAGTTTCCTGCTCAATAATGAGCTCATTTTTAGAATCTGCTTATTTTTAAAGTGCAATGGTTTTAGCTTTTTGATTTATAACTTCCTATTTATCTTTGAGTATGGAATCCTACATCTCCTCTTGAACTTATGAAATCATGATTTAGATGGTGTCTAGGAGCTAACCCTTTTTTTGTGTAAATTTGTTTTCGAATTGAACTTTATTAGAGGCTTTGATTCTATATGCTTCCTGCATTTTTTTAAATCAATTTAATTCATGAGTAAAAAAGCAGAAAAAAAGAAGTAGGAAAAAATAATCGAGGACAGAACATTTGGACTAAAAAATAAAAATAAGAGCAAACAAGTTTAAAAGTATGTGAGATAAAATTGATTTTTAGTTTCTGTAAAGGAGTTGCCCAATAAGTTAAATACAGTGGTGTTTCATTATCAAAATTGTAGACAGAGGAGTATGAAAAGAAGAAGTTAGAAAGATAATTGGAAGAGGATGAAAAATTGATTCAATCTCTGTATAAAACAGTTGAATAAGTGAGAGATGAGGAATCTGAAGAAGAAGTTGATCCAAAATCAATATTGTGCGAATATTACAAATAAGGTAAAAAGTAATTTAATGGTAGGTCTTTGTTAAAAGGGTAAGAAGTGCATGTACTCTCATGATATGAGTCTCGAATAAAAGACAGCAATTCTTGATTTATATACTGATTAAAGATAATAATTAACTGATGAATGGGACACTTGTTAAACTTGGGATGAAAAGACATTGAAAGATGTGATTGAAGCCAATGAGAAAACTTATAAAAGGTATTTAGAGATATTAAATAAAATAGTTAAATTCCCTCAGCCAAAGTTTGTGATTTTTTTTTGGATGCTTTAGAAAAAGGTAAATATGGGTGGAGATGGGTTTGTCCTAATGGTATGACTTGCCATTATAAGCATTGTTTGCCATAAGGATATGTATTTAGAAGGAAAGAAGAAATTAAATAAAAATATGATGGAGATATTGAAGAAGAAATTGATGAGGAAATTTAGAAGTTGCAAAAAGGAGGAACAAAAATTACTAAGGAAGTCTTTGAAAAATGGAAAATAGAAAGAGCTGAGAAAAAGAAATAGGAGATGGAAAAATAAAAATTAGAAGAATAAAAGAAGAAGGGTTTAAATTATTTAGTTAAACCTAGGTGCCAAATAAACAGGTGGAAATGCTTAGATGACCGGAAGAGCTCTTTTTGTTTATGATCCAAGTTTATTCGTTGATGACGACGAAGCTGAAAATCAATATGAAAGAGAGGAGTAAATTGAAGAGAATGACGAGGAAGATGAAGATGATAATGAAAACAAATAAAAATTATATGAAGGAGATGATAATCAATAATAAGATGAAGAGGAAGAAGATTAATAATTTAAGTAACAATAATCATGATATATGTTTATTGTAAAATATTATTTCTAATTTAAGATCTTCAATCATATTTTTATCATTACCTTTTAAATTAATAATTGCTCTCATACAATAATTCAAGCAATATCAAAAAATTAATGATCCATCACCTTTCATCATTAATTCTATCTTTTTTCATTTCAATCTCTTGCTTTATTATAATTTCAAAGGATAAGAATTATTAAAGATAATATCATTAGTCTTGAGTTAATCATGCCTAACGAATGATTTTTGTACCATTTACTATTCAAACTGTAATTTTGACTACTTTAAAGTCAGTGTAATATTTTCTAGATGCTTGTAACTTGATTTTAGTTGAGCTTCTTTTTCTTTGAACATTGTAATAAGACTCTTCCTTTCTAAACTAGGACAATTGATTAGGTTCCTTTTTCAGAATTCAAAGTAAATCTTGATCTTACACTAGAATAACAGTTCCAAGCTTGCTTTAGTTATCTCGAATTCATTCTCACATTTCCTAATATTATAATGTCTCCTATTTTTAAATCTCTAGGCTAATTATATAATTTTATTTATATATCGATGGATGAAAATTAATTGCCATCTAATTTCAATGCTGCCCATAATTTATAATCCTGCTAATGAGATGACAATTTATATAAGCATCCTATAAATTCATTGTAATATTCACTAATTCAGTTGAATTTTCAGCATATTCTGTTTAGATTGTTATTAAAGCTAAAAGTTTAGATCTTATTAAAATACACGAAAGTCAACTTCGATTTCTTTAACAAAATATGATTTGGAATCAAAGTCAAATAAATTATGATAATTCTTTGGCAAAAGTAATGCCACTATATGAACTCTAAATTAATAATTTTGTCCTACTACTTGTACGGCATCAAAGTTCTGTTTATTTCATAATTTTTTACTTTAGATGATGTGCAAACTCTCATCTAATTATTTATTTTTATTATTAAAGTAGGAATCCAATTTTCAATAAACATAAATCAATTATTAATTATTTAATTATGAAGAATAAAGTCATTAATTGTAATAACTTGTATTAGATTATCGTTTATGTATTAATAAACCCTAATTACTATATAGTTCATAGATAAACTACTTTTGGAATTTTGTTTTTTTGAAATTGAGTGTTGTTATTATTAAATTCATCCGATTTTCTCTTGAAAATGTTATAATATTCTGTGTTTTCGAGACTTAAATTTTTAGTATGTATTCTTATATCCTACTAATAATTTGAGAGATTAATAATTAAATTTATAATGTCTTTAGAACATATGAGAAAGAGTTTCTAAATAATTTTTGGAATCCATAACCGCAAAGAAATAAGAGAACCAATTATTTAGGAGAGAATTTAACAAGAGTTTGTAATTGGTTCTCAAAAGAATGAAGAACATTAAAACAAATTTTTAATGATGAATCCATAAAGAAAGAGAACTAATCAATACTTGTATGCTTTAGACAGATTAAAGTCATTTTATAAAGTTAACATGCAATCTAACGAATTTGAAAAGATTCCTGTCATAGCTTATCCAAAAGATAATACAGAAGTAATTGGATTATTTCAAGTAATAGAAAAAAGTAAATTTGAATATGAGTCATGCTAGATGGAATTAGTAGGATTGTTTTCCTCACAAGGACAGTGCAGATATTGGTTCATCATTTGGTGAAAAATTAGTTCAAAAAAGTTCAATTATAATAGCTAGTGTAAGCAAATAAGACTTTAGACCTTATTATGCTCAAGAACAGGATCAGAATAATATTTATATCTAATCTTAGTCTTCAGAGCAGCAGAAAAATAAAATTAAGTAACCAAGAAAATAATAAACTATTTTTGGCCTAAACAAATCTAAAGTAGAATTTATATGGGAAGATTAAGGATAAAGATCTGAATGCAATCAGTCAAAATCGCCCTTCAAAAAATTAGGTGGAATACTGGAGGATGACTTTCTATTGCCTTCTTTTTTAAAAGATGAAAATGTTCATAGCAAAGAAGTTCAAGATAAAAATTTTAGAGGAAAGGAAGTTCAATCTAATAATAAACTTTCAGAAATATCAAAATAGAATTCTTCAAACTTGAACAAGATAAAATTTACTAATGATTTATAGTTTGAGTTAAATGATTCATTCTAATAGTTTGGTTTTAATAAAACTTATTCTTAAATAAATGCTGATAATTAACCTAGTTAAAAGCCAATAACACATAAAAAATCAAATCAAATTAAATTTTGTAATGAACAAAATCCATTCATTATTTAAAATGATGATAATCTTTCATTAAAAAATAAATTTTAAACTCCTTGGTAGAGTTCAAATCTTATGAAGGATCTTTTTCATGAATTTGATGATAATAGAATTTCTGAAAACAATGGAAAATAATTGGATAATCAAGTAAATTAATCATCCTCTTCTATTGAATAATATGGAAATATTTCATTTGGTGATTGCGATGTCGATTTAACAAAAGATCAATAATTCAGAAAAAATGAAAATGAGGAGCCATCTCCTAAAATTTTATAAATATTTGACGCTTTTGTAAACTCAAAGTTTGATTTTGAAAATCATACTCCCTTATCAAAAGAAAAAGCAATAAATAGATAACATCAAATAGATTTCTCAGAAAGAACACCTGTATTTAAATAAGAAGAAATACGCAATTAAACTTTCTATTAAGATAAAAATCATAATACTTAAGGAGAATCACAAAATAGTCCAAAAACAAGAAATAATAAGTTTTTAGATAAAAAAGGAGAGAATAGAAATGTTAAAGAATAAATAAAAAAAAATCTTGCATTGGAATTTGATTCTCAAGAAAATTAATCTCCAAATAGATCTAAAAATAACTAATTATAAGTAATTCAATGATCATTTGTTTTGAATGTAAATAGCAAATTTGTATTATTACTATCAGTATGATGTGATTTTTTCTTTTATTACCATTGTTCTAATTCTACAATTTTTTAATCCTTTCTGGATATTTATCTCTCAAATTATCTTTTTAATCTAGTTTCCTATTCTTCCAATTCAAATTCTAAAAATTAATTTAAATTATACACATTTATTGTTTTTGATCATTTAACTACTTTGAGAGAATTTCTTAAAATAATTTTTATTATTCTTTTAGGTCAGTCTCTAATCTTTACACTTGCGACTCTAATGATTATATTTAGACTTTATCATTTTAAGAGGTTCTGAATTTATTTTAAGATATACTTTCTTAATTGGGTGTTTTCTTCTTCCAATATCTTGATTTTATTTCCATAATGCTATTCAATAGTTTTTAGTCTTTCAACGATATTAATGGAGGAACTTGCTTAATTTGGTGATGAGACTCCTGAATTTATTGGACTGTTAACAACAATAGATTATTGTTATGGCTAATTCTTTTCAAAAGTTTATGTTTTTATTTATTGTCTGCTTCTAAAGATTCTATAGGAATTGGCATTTTCTAAAATCTCAGACTTTTTTAATTGTGAATTTTCCAGATTTGAAACAGGTGTATATTGAATATTGTTAATAATTTCATCTTACTGCTTCGTATGTTATTCTGAGTTGGCTATTGATTTCGGTTGTGTCCTTTTTATTGTATTTACATTTGATTCCTTAAGTAATTTTAGAATAGTTTCATCGAATTTGTGGAGATATGTATTCACCTATTCTAACTTCTTCATTTAAATTATTAATATATATATAATTGATATCATTTTTCATTATTAGCTTCTTGAGTAGGCTTATCATTCTTTGTTTAATCGCCTTTCTTCCAATAATTATCTAATGCCTATTCCATTTTGGATTTTCCTAAATAATACAAGATGTGATATACTTTGTAAATCCTTGGCTATTTTATAAACATCTGAATTAATTCTATTCTTTCTTCCAGTTTTGATGAACCTTTATTTCTTTTCACCCTACCCAATAATAATACGATTTACATTCTAATTATTTTATTTGAACCCAAATCTCCTTCTTCGCTATGTATTTTGTTATGTAAATCCTTATCCTTTTTAATCTCCTCTTCTTCTCTGAGGTCCTCCTCCTCTACTTTAATTTTAGTTTCTTGATCTATTGTAACCTGAACTTTAATTTTAATTTGATTATCTCCTAAACTAATTATTTTTAAAGTTTCCTTGTTGATTATTGGGCCTCTAATTATTATTTCTATTTCCTCTAAAATTTTGATTTCCACCTCTGAATGGTCTATTATTAGCATTTCCACCTCTCCTTTTCCAAGTCCCGCTAAATTATCTCATTAATAAATAATACAAAATCAATTAATCGATTTTTCAAAACTATATATACATCAGGGATAAGAGATTCGTTATAAGAACATACAAAAATAACAGATATTTGATAACAATCATAATTTAAACTTCTCCAATTGTTCCACCATCTATTATGTGTCAGTGACTTAAGACTTAAGCTTCATGATCCAATAACTTAGAAAGCTTTGTAATTCGCATTTCATTTGACAAAATCTTTATTCATAATTTTCATCGGGTTTCAATTTCTTCTTTTGAGTTTCACTAATCAACTCCTATGGCTATGCCTTCTTTATTATTTTTATTTCAAATGTTTATTTGTTTGGTTGTTCCGTGCTAGGCTACGCCAAGGTCTAAGTTGGAATTGCATTTTAAGTGTTTTTCTCACTTTATTATGTTTGAGAACTCTATTGCTATTCAGACACATTCTTTAATTACGAGGCCATAGCCACCTATTTATCCAGGTTTGCCACTCCTTTATTATCCTCTATTATTTATAACAATTGTCTTATTTTTTCACTTTCAGATCTAATCACCGTTTGAGGCTTAATCTTTTTACAATACGCCCTTTTGATAGCTTTTTTTGGTTGATTCTGATCCATCTTTCTAATATAGTTTGATTAAGCAACTTAAATAATATATCATGTTATCTCAAATTCCTAAATTGAAAAGGTAAAATAAAACAATGCTTTGTAAATTGCCTTTATTTAATATTCAAAAATAAACATATTATTTGTAATAAATTTTTGACTTTTGCAAATAACAAGAGGTAATACCCTCTTAGATCTTTTATAAAGAGGATAAAGAATTGAATAATATTATTAAATAAATATATTTCACTTTAAAATCTATCTAGGAGTGTTCAGGGTATTCAATTTAGCTAAAAGGAGATTTTTTTAGTTGGCATCAACATGTACAGTTGTATTTTTATTTGCCAATAAACTCACAATCAAATTTCTAATTATAAAGCAATAATCTACTTGTTTTATTGATTTACATGAAAAGTATTTGCTTTAAATTCCCTCTTTTAGTTAAACCTTTATTTTTAGTATTAGATATTTCTTGTTGTTTTTGGTGATTCAATATGCCTTTAGAGACTCCTTAAGGAAGTATTACCAGTGATTGGTTTGGTTTTCATTTGATTTCTTTATTCTAGTTTTACTTTAACTCTTTATTGTACTGTAATAATAATTAATTTTACATAAGGTTAAAATCTAAGCATGGTTAATTTTAGGTGAATTACATCTATTTTTAGTGGTCGAACAATTTTATTTTAGATCACTCTTTTTCTATAGTAAATTCTAAAATTTATATTGTCTAGGTGTTTCACTGGTGGCTTTTTATAAATTTATAAGTGAGTTAATATTTTTAAGTTTATCATGTGTTATGAATTATTGCAATCTTTCTTCTTATATAATGCATTGCTAATTATGAAATATTTATTGTAAATTTTGTTGTTTTTTCATTGAATTAGCATTCAAAACTGAAACAATTACATTTATATCACTTTGTTAAGTTTGTGTCCTTTATTTTAACTCAGTAGCCAATTCATCCAAAACATTACCAACAACGACTCCTGATTCCTGGGATGATTTAGGAGAACTTGAGGATTCTTGAGGCTATTCTCCTACAATCCCTTTTGGAGTTCTGTTTGGATTTAATTGGTTTTCTTATTCTATGATATGTTGTATTTTATAGTATTCTAATTTCCTCCTTTGGTTGTAAAATTCGTTTAAAATGAAAACAATTTATTCATTAACGGCCCACCTTGGAATATCCTTATGAAACTGCAAATGTTATGAGTCATGATTACCTTATAGAATTCCACTAAAATCTTAATCTTCTTTGGATACGATGATACTGTGTAGAGTTTCTTACAGTGTTCTGCTTCTTCTTCATATTATTACAAATCCTTTGAAAATTTGAATATAATGTACTTTAAACCAAATTGTAGCCTTGGTTGGTTAGTTGATTATCAAATCATTAACTACTTTAGTGTAATAATAGTTTTGAGATTCAGCATATTTATTATAAAGGGAAGAAGTGATCCTTTATGATAGAGAGACTTTCTTAAATAATAATCTAACTATGCTCTACCTTTAATTTTAATCTTATCTAGGTTTTTCCCATACAGAACCTTTCTGCTTGGAATACAAATAAGGCATTCCATTTTGAAACAAATAAATTTAAATTAAATCAAATAACTTGCATAAAACTATAATAGTAAATAAGTTACCAAATAATTTTAATTGAAATAAAATTATTAATAGAAGAAAGGATAATAAGTAGCTTTAATTGAAAACTAATAAGGCTTAAAAGTAAGTATCTGACTATGTGATTCTGATTATATTTTTGATTATATATTTGTAATTTATATTTTTATACTCATCATATGAAAAGTATGTAATAATAAATAGATTTCCAATTTATTAATTTATGAAATAATCCCACCAGAATAGAATGCTCTACAAATTGCTTTAATCAAAGTCATTACGCAGTATGTTTTCTCCTGGTAAGGCATCAATCATAACGGATCCAAATAGGGTCAAGGAAAAATGTCTTAAACACAACTTGAAAGTATTGATACTAATAGAATAGGCTAGATTTAGTTACAACACTTAATAATTATGTGAAATATGTGCTATCGAGTGTGCATATGATCATCAACAATTATAGCATATAAAGAGTGGAATTATTTTGCATCCATTTTAAGAATTAAAGAGTGGGACGACGAAAACAGAATTTGTGCAATTAGGTGAAAAAGTAAAAGAATTAAAAAATTGCAAATAAAAGTAAAGCATCTTAATGCAATTTACGAATTAATTGGAATTAGTTTAAGCTAAAGTCCAATCATTATTTGAGTAGGTTAATGTGATTAATACATATGGAATAACAAGATTTTAGGAAATATAAATTAAATAAATTTGTAAAAAGCTGGAGTATAGATTATTAGAATTAACACGTAATAGACAATCAGTTTCAACTCACAATTATCATTAATTTTAAATTAAATTAAATAATTATTAAGATGATATATTATTGATGAAAAAGGATATTGAAGACAATTTAGAGAGCATCATAAATAAGATGGAAATAATTCCATTAAATGAAATAATCCAAAAATATCAAATGAAATTAGACTTTTATGAGAGTGAATGTAATTAGACAAGGCAATTATATTAATAAATATTGAATATGTTTTATATAGAATTATAGAGAATGAGTAAATAATGAATATAAATAATTTTATATGAATCATCAAAGATAATTTCAAAGTTTGAGAAGTGTCCCAGATGTCCAGGAATCTGATGAAGTGGAAGATCGAATATTTTATCAGATGGTGGGGACAACGCAATAAGAATCCCACATAGTAGTAAATAGTGATCGCGCATCTATTGAGGAATGGATGAAGTTACAACAAAGTCTAAAAGAAGAGCAATACAAAATGAGATAAGAGGATGAACTAAAAAATAAATTGTTAGATGAATTAAAGCAGGAGAGCAAGAATTATTACTAAACTTACATAAATGTATTGATGGAGAGCAACTTGAATCAAGAGCATAAGACATTGGAAGAATCCACATCAAGGCTTTTTAGGAATGCAGAAACCAATGTTAAACTGATATTTGAAAAACTATCAAATACAAAGGTATGTTCTGCCATATTTCAACATCACAATAACACAAATCGGACTCCGGAAATAGAGACACTCATTAGAACATTCATAAATAGTATCTATGATAACATAGCATGTGGATCTATGTGGAAATAGCCAATTTTGAAATTAATTAGTGAAATAATAACAACGGAAGTCAATAGATAAGAATTTCCTGAATTTTTGTGGGATCGAGAAGATACTTTGACTCAATTTATTATGAAAGAATTTACAAAAAGACCTGAAAATGTCAAATATACTAAAGTTATATTCAAAAACTCTTTGATTCAAATCACTAAAGTTGATAAGTTTCTTGATTTAGACAAAAGGAAAATTGCAGACAAATTACGTGAAATTATGAAAGAAAAAGATAAAAAATTAAAAGAGGAAAAACAATCATTGAGTTCATCTGCTTTTATTGTTAAGCAAATACCCATGATGTTAAATTCCTCTCAAAAATTACCTCAAAGATAAATACCAATCATTACACCAATCAGAAACATAGAAGTGCCCTAATAAAATATGACACTCTATTATGCAAATTTAATTAAATAATATGATCAATCAAAGAAATCTAATAACAAAAATTCAAGAAGAAACTAAAACTAATTAGCTGAATTTTCATTAAAGGTGCTCCAATTTGGAGAAGAATAAAGGTAAGCCAAATTCTTAACCATGGAAAGAAGAAGTGTTGGACCTATTCAAGAATCTCAATCTGAATCACCTATTCGAAAATTATCAGAAGTTTATAGCCACAGCAGTAGATCTGATCAATATATGAATAATGAGATTAATAGTGTATTGATTGCTTGTATAGATAAATTTAAACAGCTTGTTAATAATATCATGGAAAACATCTTTAAGAATATCTACCTAATACCCTAAGGTATTCGTATCATCTGCAAAATGATTCAAATTACAATCTTAAAAAAGTTTCCAGATGCCACTGAATAATAAATCCAAGAGAATATCTTTAGCTTCTTATTTAATGTTTGGTTAATACCTCAACTAGTATTTCCAAAATAATATTCTTCTTTTAAATATATCCGTGAGGATCACGAAAATACAATTTAGCAGATTCATACTATTATTAAAAAAATGATTAGGAACCAAAAGTATAATGAGGATCCCCAATACAATAGATTAAATTAGTATATGTAAGATTTGCAGCCCTCTCTTAAAGATTATCTTCAAGAGATTTTAAATTTATGTCCTGATTCTGTTAATGCCATAATTAACGATACGAATAAAATAGATGGAATACAATCTAATTGTGTTTGCATAGCTTTAGATGAAATAAAAAGCCTCTGTTTATTATTATAGGATATGAAAACTTTCAAAACAGAATCTCCAGACCTTTAAAAAGTCATTAATTAACTTGTAAGTTTGGCCACAAGAACTTTGGAAATTGATAGACATGAAAACATATTTAGACAACAACACAATTTATAGGCTTAATAATAAATTTATGCACTTATTCTAAACTTTTCTATTCCCAATAATATTGTGTATTAAGAATAGGTACAACCTTTGAAGAAGATAAAAGATGAATAATTGAGAAATTAAAGGAAACTTATAAATGCTTTAATGAAGTGTTTGATTGATATTTAAGATTTAGCTACGTCTACATCTGGGAATTAAGAAGAAGCTAGTCTTAAACGAGTACTTACTAATTTTGTTGATGTATATATTTATATTATACCTAAAGAAATACACTTATTTAGATGACAAAAAAACTGTATTCTAAATTAAATATGTATTGGAATAGCTAAACTTATAAAATAAAGGGGATTTGTAAAGTAATTTAAAAAATATTTACTAAATTTTGAATTAAGAATTTCAAGAACGCTCAATGATGTTGACTGAACACATTCAATAAACTAAATATCAATTATTGAGTGCTAAGTATAATATTAAGAAAAATTATGAAGTGATGAGAGAGTCTTTTGAATAATTAAGCCAAGAGAAACGATAAAAACAATTATATGAATTCATTGAAAAGACTCCTTTGACTTTATGTGTCACATCTCCAAAAACAAGGGAAGGCTTATTTTCAATGAAGGCTCACAAACTCAGAAATACTAACAATGAAGCTTTGGATGATCAGTAAATCTGGGTAGAACAATAGAGTGAGTGTATTCACAATGCTATCAATCTGGAATTCATTAAATAAATTGTTGGAGGTGCCAGTCCTAATGACTAGAAGAAGAATTCTGAATTTTCTAATTCGCATTGTTCTGACATCAAATAATTTATAGAAAACTTCTCCTCTCTTTAAGAAGTAAAAGAAGCAGTGATTTCTGGAGAGGATAAAGCTGGTGTGAAAAATGCCTATTTTGAATTCATATAAGCTTTAGCTACTTTTTTGAAAGGCAAGAATGAAATGAAAATAGATGAAATCTAAATGATGGATATGCTTGAGAAGTATGTTAGTAAGCGTGTTTATGACAAGTAATATTTAACAATTATTGAGATAGAGTCTATCCAAGGGAGAGAACATACAAAGATGCAGGTCTATATTTTAGAATTAAATCTCTGGAATGGGTGGGCTATGATCATTTAGAAATAATTAAATAAAATAGGGTAGATGAAATGTGGGATTTAGCAGTTGAAGGTAATCAATATTCTCCAATGTTATATAGCTTTGTTGAACATAGATAATTGCAAGACTGCTGTGAATAAATTAGAAGCCATGATTCAGTGTTCAAAAATCATGAATGATGTTCTCAAATTAACATCATTGAAGGAAGAGGCTACCTCTGCAGACACTGTATTACCAATTCTTATTTACATTCTGATTAAAGCTGCTCCTCAAAGATTACATAGCAATTTAAACTTTGTTTCATTATTTTTAGACAAAAGTAAAACTGTGAGTCAGTAAGGCTATTGTTTGACATAATTACAATTGGCCATACAATGGTTAGAGGAAGTAGATTATAAACTATTGAAAATGGATTAGATGAACTTCCTTGAGTAATTCTTTTCTTTATTTATAGAACAATAACTAAAGCTGAAATTAGATATGGCATTCACTATTTGAAGAGAAGAAATAGATCAGAGAGAATTTCTATGCCTTTAAATAGAATTTAAGCACTTATCAATTGATTTAAATTTCAAATTATAGATATTTATCTTAACAAATTTTTATTTAAAAATACATTTAAAACATTCTATTAAAGAAAAACTATTAATAATCATCTTTGAACTATATCATGATAATATGCAATTAATTTGTGATTGTATAAATCATAACAAATTTCGTAAGAGTATTCAATAATTGTAATTCTAATACTTTTATAAAATAATAAAATTTATTTAACTAAATAAATAACTATTTATATATATATATAAAATATTATTTTTATTTTATCAATCTTATTCTGATAATTAAATTAAGTATCCTTGATCCCATTTACCCTTAATAACTTATCCATCAGCAGTTGTAAATTCTCCTTCTCCATGTACCATGCCTTCTTCGAACTCACCAAAATATTGCTCTTGATTTGTAAGAATGAGTGTTCCTTGTCCATGCATTTTTCCTTACAAAAAGTTACCTTAAAAGATTAGTATACTTATTATCTACCTTCATATGAAGCCCATCCATTGCCAATAGTAGTCATATTGTTCCAATCAATTGGTTCATTCAATTCTTCAGTTTGAAGATTAGTCAATCTTCCTTGACCCTCATAAAGATTATCTTTCCAATAGCCTGCATAAACTTATTTCCCATCAGCATCTGTCAAAATGCCAAATCCATTTCTAGTTTAAGGGGGATATCCTTATCCTCTATAAATATATCCATCTTCATATTGTAATGCCAATTCTAGAATAATTTGAATTTAAATACCTTGAATATTTTCATCTTCCTCTTCGGCTTAAGGTTCATTGGCTTGGTTGGTTTAGCGACCTTTGCTACCAGAATCGTCCATCTTATATTTTTTGATGATTTCTTCTGTGCTTTTGAGAGCATTCTAATATCTCTTGTCTAAATCCTCTTCTGGTTGAGATAATGGAACTTAGGGTTTTTTCTGAGGAGGGGGAGATTTTTGCTTTTCGTAATTAGGCTAAGGAGGATGAGCATCTACGAAAATCAAATTTGAACTTACTCTTATGTGGCTGTTATGGTTTTTAAACTTGAGGTTGCTAAGCATTTCTCAATCTCTCTTAAACTTATTCTAGAGTCAGAAACTACCTTTAAGGTGACTACAGTTTTGGAGCAGGTGATCTGGGAACCTATTGAGATTGCATGAGCACATTTCTTTGGGGTGATTGTGCTGCCTTCAATCTATCTGGAGATTGGAATGTTCTTTGAGGCGAAGCCATAATTTGACTCATCATTGGCTAGGGTTGATAGGCTTAAGGGATGATGGTCGAGGCATATGGATTGTATGGATAAGATGGGGGGGCATATCTAATACCAGAGTAACCGTATTATGGAGCATATTAAACAGGAGGTCTCCATTGCTATGGTATTTGTGGAAGTACACCATAGGGAGGGTATCTGTATTATGGATATACTTATGGGTAGAAGTGTTAAGGATAATACATTAAATTTAAAAACTTAATTAATGAAATAGATGAGAGATCGATCTTCTTCCGAAGAGTACGATTAAATTTTTGATGCCAAGAAGTAATCTCCAGTTTAAGAAAAGAAGGGCAAGAAATAGAGTTATACATTCGAAGATGGACAATATTTTTTTGATGTAAATATTGTTCTTTAGAATATTTAAAGCTTACAACTTATAAAAGAGTTACAGTATCCAAATTCAAAGGAAACACAATGATTAGTTTGCGCGAGTACTTCGATAAGGATGGACAAATGTTGCCAACCAAAAAGGGAATTACCTTATCAATGGAGAATTGGGAGAAATTCAAATAATATATCGGGGAGATTGATGAATGCATAAATAAATTAAAAAAATGAATTATGTTTCACGCAGTCCTTAAGTTCCCATCTATCAACAGATAAAGACGTTCGTGCAAGGTCTAGCCCAAAAACGAAACCAGAAGGTAGTGTTAAATGAGGTTTAATCACTCATTAATCAATTGGGCATACCTGGTGAATAGTACTTCCTGCTTCAACTCCTGGAAAGCATCGAAATACAGAAGGAGAAGCAATCACTCACACAGAAAGGGCAATTTCTTGTCTAATGGCTCCAATAGGCCTCATCCAAATCCCACTTTATAGATTACTTCTGTGGTGTGGTTGAAGCAGTGTGTCCTTAATCCTAATCCATCACTGAATATTTGTGTGAATTGTGCAATGCTCTTAAAGTGCCTGCTCTGGTCCAAATGATTATGTGGTTGTCCATCACTTTTTCCTCAAATTAGAATTTCTCTAAGGAAGGCATAAAGATGCTGAAGAAGAAGCTATAAGAGCCATTTTAATAGAAAAATAATTTATAGGTGCCATAGCACGTAACTCATACATTACTGTATCAACTTAGAAACGTACCTGAATTGTCGGTAAAATATTTAAATAATGTTAGGATCTTGAATAAGAAATTAAAAATTTCAACGAGTACGTATAAAATACAAAATAGGCGGATTTAAAATGTTTGTATGATGATGGCAAAAAGTACATGAAATTGGATCCAGTTAACATAGAAATCCCTAAAATTAATGAGTGCATTAAGCCTGTAGACATTCTTCGAGAATTAGGACCTTATACAAGCAATTTGTCATAAATCTTTACGGAATATACTGATAGCGATATTATGGATTGCCTATTGTATTTGGCTAATAATCAGGGTGAGGATTCTTCTAAAGATGCTCTTAAGGATGTTCAATAGTTGTTTAGATCGACATCCAATACCTAACAGCCAGATTGGGACTAATTATCATCCAATGATACAAATAAACAACCAGAAGATGATTTTATTAAGTTCTTTATTAATGACAACAACAAACGATAGTGGTCTTAAGTATTTGAGAAGTTGGATAAACCCAATTTAGAGTTGTCACAGTCAGGATATAATAATTTAATGGGATTCTTAGCCAAAATTAAGAAATAATAATAGCAATTTTAATTGCCCCATAGATTATTATTGGACAAATGGCATAATAAGAAATCTTAGATCACTTTTCTTACCTGTATGTTAAAAGCAAACAAACCAGAATAGTTGTTTTGGAATGAAATTTAGCCTAAAAAGTTAGTAGTAATGGAGCATAATACTAATTATAAGAATCAATAATAATCACAATTCTGGTAAAATTTAGAGTTTGTTCAAATGCTAATAGAATTGAGTGAGTATGGATACATCGCTGAAATCAGAGAGTTTTTTGAATCGGCAATCAAATAGAATCAAGATCTAATTATATTGGCTTTATTCTAAATTTCACCTACTTAAGGTGGAGCATTAATAGATGAACTATTTACATAGCTATTTCCTAATTATGTATCATAGCATGCCAATTCTTCACCAGTATTGGAATAGATGTGGAAATTCAATTAGAATTTATTTATAACTGGAATAAGCGAGTTATATAAGAAGGAATATGGCAAAAAAGAAAATTCATGTTTAAATTTATCAAGAGTCTTGGATATAGTTTAACAGCTCTTCCAAAATTCCCAGTAAAACAATACATCTTTGTTAACAATGGCTAAATTTGATGATTATCAATTTTCAGTTCCTTTGGGTATTTTAGCAGGTAAGAGAGAATACTTGAATTTTGATATTTGGTTGAATGAGAGAATTAAGTCTTAAGGTATTCCTTTTGTTAATGTACTCTTACAATACATAGATGAAAATGTTATTCAATAGGTTAAGGAGCACCAAATAAAATCTGGATTACCAATTGGGTAGTTGGGATAGATGCAAATTTAATAATTGGATCAGATTTTAGATAAGGGATAATTGAAATTAGAGATGATAACAATCATTTTTGAGTAGTTGATGAATTAAGGAGATAAATTGGGAAACAAGATTAAGCAAACCACATAATAATTCTATAAGGAACTTGTGCAAGTATTTCCTTAATTGGCAGGATAGCCAAATCAAAAAACTAATTAAGAAGTTGAAAGTAAGACCGACAGTTATTTTGAGAGTTATTACAATGAGCAAATCAGTTTGGAAAACTTCTTAAATTAGATGGTTTAATGGAAAACACAGGGAAGCATATAGGAGAAAGAAGTATATGCTTGCATAATAACAAATTTGTATAATGAATACCAGTTCCATTTGAAATACCCTAAGAAGGAATTGGAATTAACAGGATAATTATTCGGAGGAGTATTGGAAAGAGGATTGGTAGAAGGTCAAAGCATTTAGATAGGTTTGAGGATAATTTAAGTGTCATTAAAGAACAACACATAGAGATATGAGTTTGCTGTTAAAGCATTGGAAGTTATGAAAAATAAAATATATGAATGGCCTTGGTTTGCCTAAGAAGTTATGGCATGTGAACAATTATCTTTTAAGAATCCAGATCTTTTGGCAGATATTATAAGAGTGTGTGAGAAACATGGAATAAAATCCCCTTTGCAACCTGCTCCACCAATATAAACTGTTTTTCATAAGCCACTTTAATTGGTCGCTTAGAAAGACAAGCAAGATGAGGAACCCGTTTAATTGACTTTAAAGAAATCTGAATCAGTTCCTGTTCAATAGACACAACCAACTCCCATCGTAGTTCCAGCAGTAGTCCAACCTATACAAATACCTATACAATAAGCATAACCAGTGATAGTACCACAATAGCAACCAGTCGCTTAGGTTCAATAGCATCAAATAGTTCATTTGCAATCAGTCACTCCTCCTCCAACCTTATAGAAGTCCTCATAATTACCAGTTTAACATACGCCTTAACCTTAAAAACAGAAATCTGAGGATAACAATACAAATATTAATCTCACTTACAAACAAATTTTATAAGTGGAATTTGATGAGTTTTAAAGGTGCGGAGCTGATTCTGAAGTCAAGGAGTATTTTACTTTTACTTTGAACAGCATCTCTCAGAATAATGTTGAGTAGAAGGCAGCTGAAATAAGACAGAAATTAGAAAACCAAGATGCTTTATTCTATTTCATTAAAACAATTGCTTATTTGCGTTCTCCAATGGCACAATAATAAGCATAAGGTCCTAATGTAATGTGTTGTTTACTAGCTGCATTGAATAAATCCAAATATTTCTCTGAAGTAGCCAAGGAGGTCAGCATAGGATTAACTAGATTACTGACATTCAATAAAACTAGTCCTTCTGCAGATGATCGAAGTACCATCAAAAACATGGGTAGTTTCTTGGGTTAAATAACTGTATCCAGAGACAAACCTTTCTTGTTTAAGTATTTTGATTACAAGACATTACTAAAATAAAATCAACTCACTATTTATCCTTTATGCAAGATCTTGGAATAGGTTAAGTCTAGTCAAATTTTCACAAAGAATAACAAGTGGGTTAATAGAATTTTGTAAGAATTGGATGCTGCTAAGGAAACTTGCAATACTATGGCCAAGTATGAAATCATGAATCTACTTAAATCAATCGAATACACAGTCTAACCTATCAATCCAACACCCACTCCTATTACTATTCCAAATCCGGTTGTCCCAACGATAACGTAACCTATTGTCTAACCAATCATGGATATGGATCCACTAAATAAATTGAATATCAAGAATCTACCTCAATATGTGATGGCTGATTCTAAGAATTTAAATGACAAATTGAATGAGGCTGACTGCAAAAATCTAGTGGCTACAGCCTTAGATCATGCCATATCTGATATCATTCCACCTGTTATTAGCAGGAGTGTTACTATAGCATTAATTACAACAAGAGAATTGGTTTTTAAGGATTTTGCACTTGAACCAAATGAAAAACACATGTTAAGAGGAATGCATATGATAGCTTCCCATTTATCAGGTAGTTTAGCCATGGTTACTTGCAGAGAACCCTTAAAAGTCAGGATCACTCATTATCTTAAAGAAGGCATTGAATAAATTGATCTTGACAATAAAACCAAAGAAACCTTCGTATAAACTGCTGCCTAGGAGAATTTAGATCTAGGATGTGCTCTGATAAGAAAAGCAGTTATAGAAAGAGCATTGGAGGATGTCAATTAAGATCCTTCAATTTTGGAATAATTAGAAAAGAGACAACGATGCAAAGAGAAGGGTTAACAATATAGAGATGAAATTACTTAAAATCAACTAAAATTCTTACCTGAACCATTGCAACCAAGAATCTCTGGTTTGACTGAAGAAGAAATTAGAATCTACGAGGAGTTTGGTAATAAGAAGAAATAACCTAAATAATCTGTCTTGTAAAAGGTTTCCACTCTATGCTAATTGCTGTAAGACCCATAAAGCAATGAAGAAAAAATTTAACAATTAATCCAAGACTTAAATGAATAAGAGTAATCAAATCCTGAATAATTCTATAAGGATTTGGCTGACAAATTTTTACAGGTTATCTTAACCAATAACTTGACTTCAGAGAAGATCTCCATCTCCTTGGATTTGATTACCATTCTTATCAGAAAAATAAATGAAAAAGTTGGTAAGAAGTGGAGTGAATTAGTTGCTGAATTCATTACTAAAAACATTGAACTTTTGGAACATAGTCCATTATGGTGGTAAGCATTCCCTATTATGTTGAATAAACGATTAATCTAAAGTTAGGAGGCTGAATAAGTGATGACCTAAATTCTCACTAAGGACAATCAAATGAATGTTGGTTCTATTGTATACATATTAAGAAAAGTTATCATTGAAGAGGACAATAATTTAATTTTAAATTAATTCAGAAATATTATTAAGGAACTCAGCAAAAAGAAGGACACCAATCCAACTGTCTTTAAATTCTTTACTGATCTATAGAGTTATGTCTCCAATTAAAATTAAGGAAAAGTATTCTAAAAGAAATTAAATTTAATCAAAGGGTTCTATTAAAAGATTGATGAAGAATTTTCAAATAAAGTCTCTCTCAAATTGAAATAATGGTATTAATTAAGTTCAGAGGAAGAATTCAGCAACTTTTTTAGAGTTGAAGGCGAAAGCTAGTTCTTTGTTGAAGATTAATTGAGTAAGTTCTGTGCTTATGCAATTGAATTGAGTATGACCGATTATAACAAAGAATACATGGATCATTCCTAAATTGAATAATTAGGAAAAATGCTTACTATTATGGCTAAAGGACTCGAACCGAAGATGAAACCTAAGTTTTTTGAAAAGCTTTTTGATGGTTGCTTAATGGTACTCACAAAGTTACATGAAATTACTAAGTAGAGATTTAATTAAAGACAATTATTCAAACTATTTTACAATTTACTTTTTGATTTACAAATTTTGGATGAAGAGAATATAAGATTATTCCATAATAAATTTGCTGAATTCTTAGAAAAGGTTGAGCCAAGTCTGTATCCAGGATTCTCATATTCTTGGTTGGAATTACTGTGCAATCGATATTTCTAATAGATTATAACTACAAATGAAAATGCTTATGCTAGGTTGATCATTAAATTGTTAGAATTTGTAAGAGATACTATTACTGAAGAGACTATCCAATATCATTATGTCTAAGAGTATCTGAAGGGAGTGACCAGATTGTTCATGCTTTTATTGACTGATTAGAGAAAGTTCTGCAGTAAATATGCTTTCAGTTTTGCAGATGAAGTACCTTTCAATCATGTGTAATTATTAAATTTGAGTTTGGCTGCTTATCCCAATGATCAAACTGATGATCCTCAATCTTGCACTAATATTTATGACATTGCAGATGCTCAATAATTTGGATAGATTGTTCATGCTTGTTTTGAAGAACCTACCTAAACCAAAATCAAAGAGGAAATCCTATTAATGTTGAATTTGAGTGATGAAGATCTGAAAATCAAGGTAAGCAAGTATTTTGATTATGATCAAAAATCCAAGTTGCCATGGTCAATTTCAGGTTTCTTCCTTATATTACCAAGACATGAAAATCTCACTATCCAATAATAAAGAGCTTTATTGACAAAAATAATAAAGCATTCAAGTTATGCCATTAGAAACAATGTGATGAATGTAATATTGAATTAAATTCGTTATCCTGAAAGGGCCACTGAATTCTATATTCGATACATCTTATCACAGTTTATTGTTGGTGACAATTTCTAAATCTAAGAATAATTTACGACGTACAATTAATTTTTATTATAATTAGATTGATCACTAAACGTTTCTTATCGGAAAACCCCAAGACTTGGGGAATGCTTTATTTGCATGAGGAATTAAAGAGAACTCAATCTAATAACAACCAATACAAAATGTATTAGATTCAAAGGCAATGACTTATTAATAAAATGTTCATTCAATAAAATCACTTTTATTGTAAAATATTAAAGAAATATTCTACTTCTAGTATGCCATCCTCTTACAAATCAGTGCAATGAACAGCATTCTTAACTCTATCGATACCAAACTTGGCTCTTATTGTTTAAGGTCTCAATGTCCTTGCAATTTCAGGATCATGAGGTCCGCATAGATCCCTAAAAGATTTAACCTAAAAATTTAGTGTATTAATTTACAGCATTTTCCTATCTGATTTCCATAGCAATACATGGACCAGACGTTAGATGTTCAGCCATGGCTTAGAATTCAGGCAGGACACCCTAGTTGAGATAAGATTAAAGATATACTTTATAGACTTCAAAGAATTCCTCACTAGTGGCTCTGTCTAAATAGAACATTTGCATAGCTGAAATTTCAAAGCCTTCGCTTAAAATGATGTCTATTATTTATCCTGCCCTTCCTTCCAATATTACATGTGGTTTTATGATGGCACAAGTGCAATTATTGAATACTGCTGTTGATTTTAGATTAGATTTATCAGAGAAAAAGAAATCTAATTCTCTTTGTGCTGATCCAGCTATTCAATATAAATTAGTCATATTACGAGCATCACTGCCGTGACAAGCATTCCTGACTCCTTCTGTACCATAGAGAGCTCTCATTGAATTTGGTGCTTCCACTCTAGCAACCTAACATTTAGTTGGACCAATAAGATCTCTCCATTTCTTCACACTATTATCAGCTATCAATTCCAATCCAACTATAAAATCACTACATATGAATTAAGTAAGTTCATCAAAGAAGGGTTTGCCCTATTCAAATTGATTAATTATTTACTCTATGCTCTCCATAGAATTGCTAAGCATCTCCAATTTACATTCTAGTCATTTTCAAATTACCAATTACGAAACCGTTCTTTTCAACTGCAGTAATTATCTTCCCAATGTGTGTATATGCATCTGGTTTTATCATACCAAATGTTCTAAATAGTAATCTCAACCACTTACTTTCCTCTTTAGACTTCAAATTTCGATCTCGTAAACACATCTGCATAATCAACTATCTTTAATTATCTTGAAAAAACAGTCACTATCGACCCTACATACAAATCCTTCAATTAAACAGAAGGATACTCACATCTTTTAAGAAATATTCTCTTGTTTTTCAAATCAAACTAAATCCATTAATCATTTCTTTACCATCTCTATCGTCTTATCAGCCATAAAGTAAATGAGGTTATAGCTCCTTATCAAAGAAGCACTTGTGTCAAACCATTCCACAATAAACACGTATCTCTCATCGTTGACTGCCATCTGTTAATAATAATATATAAATAAATTATAACTATTTTATCATCAATGCATTTTATTCAGCTTTATCTACTTTTTCATTTAAAACTAAGTAATATCATTTATGAATCAAACCTAGTCCCATTTTCAACAAATCTCAATAGTATAACATTATCCATCTTTTTAATAACAATTAATTGATAGAATTATTTATGAGATAACCTTATTGTTATAACTTTCTCCATATTTTTCTTCAAACCCTACGATTGATCTAAAAATTTAAAGAAATAATCTAATGGTGATGATTCATGTTCCAAAAAGATAATACCATTTACAATTTTCACAAAATCAATAAAACTACATGCACATTTATAAACCTTGACCTCCAAAATTTAGTGTTCATTAAAATAAATCATCAAACTGAATCATAATATAGAAAGAGGTATTATCTAAATTTAAATAATTACAAAAATTTTATGGTATGTTATCTTAATACCATCATTTACTTATCCTTGAACTTTTCTTTACCTTCAAACTAGATTCAGATTAATATATTATAACAATTGAGTTCTAAAATTATGTAATATTGATTAAATTAGCAAATCAAAAATCAAAAAAACATAAAAATAAAAAAAGCCCCCTGACGGGGTCGAACCGTCGATCTTCTCCTTACTAGGGAGATGCCTTAACCACTTGGCCAAGAGGGCAACCTATTCATTTGTTACATTTGCTTCTATAAATTCCCATCAGAGAATTAAATGCTCTATATTTGCTAAATTTTACATTTACAAAGCTTTACTTATTTTGATTATTTATTTGTAAATATCTATTAATTACAAGATCTCCTATTATTTTATTATGATTAGCATATTATTTACAATACTTGAGAAAGTCTAAATAATTACTTTCGAACCTAAATTAATTTTAGATATTTTTAATTTAATAAATTTATAAAGAATAATCAGTATCATTAATTGATCTTATCTCATAGGTGCTTCACTTTACTCAAGGTTAAAAATGGCTAATATATTTTGTTATGATAATCTTGTGGGAAAAATTTCGGTTAACATATAATTCTTTTATTTTTTCAAAATTAATATTTCTTTGATTTAATTATTTTAAATTATTATATGAATAATTAATATTAGAAATTAATTCTTGTAAATAAGGAACTTTAACCACAATGAACAAATAACACAAAGGTTTGTCCTCATATTTATGATTATTCTAAGATTTAATACAAAAAGTGATCAATATCCCATTTGTTACCTTACTTTGTAAAGAAGTACTTAAAACTGTAAATTTTGGGCAATCTTGTACTTCAAATTAGTACCAATAGGTATTTAATACATTTTATCTAAAAATAGTATTTAGTTTGAAATATTATTCTCAATATAATCAAACCCCAAAAATTATTTTAATTGAAAAATTTCATAACATTATGAATATTATTTTATTAATTTAAGGAATCAAACAAGAGCTAGAAGGCGACCAAATCAATTAGTTAGCACTATAAATACTAAAACTATTGAAATAGTAAAATTTCTTAAGTGCTAACGAGCATAATTTTTAATAATGATGATCAAATTTGAAATATTACTATCATTATCAATATTTCAACAATAAACAAGCTCAATCAGGAATAAATGATTCTAAAACCTTAGATGTGCTTATATTAATTTATCATAATCACTTTGATGAAAAAGACGATATCAAGAGGTTAAGAGTTATTTATTATAATAAATTTTATTTCGGTCTCATCTACTTTAGATTAAACTGCCTGAATATTTATAGTTAGATACTATAAATAATAACTAAAGTCAATATCTAAAAGTATGTGTTATTTAAATTAATCTACTAGGTATGTGGGTATAAGATATGAAAATCTAAAATAAATTATTATGATTAAAAAAAAAATTATTAATCATCATTCATTAAAGAATTAATAAAAAAGCCTAGTGTTGATTTAATAAAATTTGTTTGGCTTCTTTAATTTGTTGAGAGATTAATTTATTTTCTTTAATTTAATGTCTATCAAAATTATATAAGTTTTTAGAGTGAGTAATTTAGTTTTCTTTGATATTAAAATTTTAACGTGGCTCGTTAACTAATTATTATTAAATTTAAGTTAAAGATTTGCAATTTAATGAAGATTAAATTGTTCTTACCTTTTTTAAAAGACTATTTGATAATGTATTAAGACTATAATTGATATTTGCTTACTGGCACTCCTGATCATCATGGTAAATCTCAGAAGGAATATCCTTTAAATTATATTAATTCAAAGGAAAATGACCACCCTGCATAATCTCAATATGCAAAAAGTCAGACCCAAACTACAAGTCTAGTTGGCCAGTTTATTTGCAAACTTATACCATTGATATTGATCTCTTAAGGAAAAATTTTCGATTTCTTTTTTCTTTTTTCTTCAAATGTTCTTCACCAATAGAGCTATTCTCTATATTTTAAACTATTGAATTGTGGCTGTATTTTTATTTTTAAAGATTTTCTTCATCTTTCACTATTTCAGAGCCTGATGTATTCATTGAATTATTATTTAATTAATCTAATACAAATTTATAAAGATTTAAATTTTTAAAGTCTTCCTTTATGAAATCATTAATAGTAAAATAATAGTCATTTAATTTAGATGATGTAAAATAATTTTATATTATGAGAAGGATTAATGAGTAATTTCTAAATTTTAAACTGAATATCGTTCTTACTAATTATCACCACTTACTTTATAATTAATTTTTAAAAAATTGATTAAAATAAAATACTTGATTCCAAAATATTCAAAGAACAGAACAATTCAGAAAAATTTGAATCTAATTTTTCGGTTTTTGCATAAATCCTAAAAAATATTTAAAAAAAAATTATCAAATATTTCAATCATATAAGCATTTTCAAATATTGATTATTTAACACTTTTTTTATGTTTACTAATTATTCATCCAAACTAAGTTTTTTACTATTATTATGATCACTCCTTGTATTTTTGATTTCTGAATATATTTATTAAGACAGAATGTTAAATATCTGGTTATTCAAAGCATTTATGTTCTTCTCTTTCATATTTATCAGAAAAGTATTATTTTATTCAAACAACTTAACTTCTCCTGTGACAACATCAATAACAATATTTTAACATTTACATATTTATCTTTTTTTTCTTTATTTCGAAAAGAAATTATTGACATCTCTTTGATAATTTCTAAAAATATGCTTTGCTGTAGAATACTTTAATTTGTGAAGCTTAGCTGCCTAAATTAATTAAAGATGAAAACAACCTAATAAACAGTCAAATGATCCTTGTTCACACTATGAATCAAATTGAATTTGACTTGCTAGTCAATATTTAATCTTTTTCTTTAGAAAGGTTTCTGAGAATTCTCCACTTTCTCTTAAATTTTAATCATCTTTTAATAATGAATAATTAAGATTTTAATAAATATGTCTAATTAATTTATGTTATCACGTAATTAGTTTTGATTAAAAAATAGTATAATTAATATAAATTCGTTTAGAAAAAAGTCAACAAAAAATGTATTTATCTCAATTTTCCTGGTTAAGGTTTATTTTTTTAAATTGCTTCATTCATAAATAATTTCAAATTCTAAAAATATTATTTGTGCAGAAATATCTTTTCTAAGTTTATCATAGGAAACAAAGCCAATTAGTAATTGCAAGGTGATGATAAATACCTAAAATATATATTTGGACGTATACACATTAAATGAGAGAAAAATATAAGGGCAAAATAAGAAGTAATTGTAAAGTTGAATAACTTTTTTATAAGTATCAATAGGAAAAGTAAAATATGATGACCCATTTTTATCTTGAGAAACATTAATATTTAATCCTCATTATGTTGGCAAACAACTCACAACTCCAAACTATGGAAAGTGTCTTAATAATCCAGTATTGAAAATAAAATGAAAGCTAACTTTGTGGAAATGGGTTGTATGTTATCTAATAGTTTTAACTTAACCTAAAATACTCTGAATAGTTACTCAAATGGTTTAAGTTGTTTAATGAATATTTATTTTTAATATTTATACTCAAGGATTACAAATATATTAGATGTAAATAAAATTTATTGATGAATTATTATGAATCAATTTTGGGTAGAAATAAAATTAACCTACTTGAGTATCTTCGAAATCTAGTGAAAATTTCTTTATAAAATAAAGCAACATTTATAATTCATTTTATTTTATTTTTCAATAAATGGACTTAAGATGGTTATAGGATGATGATAACTTAGCAAGTATTTAAGTTCTTAATTATTGATAAGCTGCAGATTAATGCGACCATTTTAATGCATCTTTCATTAGTTCTCCAAATAGATCATAAATAGGAAAAACAATGAAAAATTAATACACTGCAGTTGAATTCACAGACACTTTGGGGAAGATATTTTAAGTAATAGATTAAATTCATACATAGGCAATAAAGGAGAAAAATTTGAAACAAGTGTAAAACTTAGTGAATACACATCAACAAAGATCAAACAATTTGGGAGGAGATCCAGAATTCAGATGGGACATCGTTAATGATTTAAGTCTAAATTGGTCTCCTCTTCATCATTCTATCTATTTGGGTTGCGAACAAATATTTATGTGGTTGTTAAGCATAGGAGGTGATATTACATCAATTACTTACGATGGCTATTCTGCCTTAACTTTGGCTGTTTTATCTAAAAGTGAATTAATGGTCAATCTATTAATTGCATAACCGAATCTAAATGTTAACCATGTATCAAGGAAGGGATCAGCTTTACATATTGCAGCATAATCAAATTAAATTGCCATTTTGGAATTACTGTTGCAACACCCCAATATCAATTTGAATATATACAATGATCAATTGCAATAGCCCATAGATGTAGCAACAGGAAAGGCTAAAAAGTTGTTATAAAAAGAACTCTAATAGCGTACAGATGTATATCAAGAATAATCAAAATCCTAAATTTCAATAAAGAGTTTAGACAATTGTCAATTAAATGCAATAGATGTAAATTATTTAAATTATTATCCAGACATTCATTGTCAACAAACCAAAGAAGCCACCTGTTTACAAAGGGTACGTCGAGAAGTTGCATTTTTCCCATTTATATTCCTATTAAAGATATATAGTCGTAGATCCAGAGTGTGGAACTTTGGTGAGATTCCAAAATAAAGAAAACTGCCCTTTAAATCCAAAAGAGACAATTCCACTTTAAAATATATATAATCTGTAGATAATTGTTAAGGATAGAGCTTTTCGTAACTATTCAATATAATTGCTGATTGAATACAATGAAAACAAAATATATTTCCTATTTTAAACCAAATAAACTGCATAAATGTGGTATGATTCAATTAAAACAGCAGCAGGATATTCAAAATATGTAAAATATAAAATAGATTAATACTGTTAAAAAAATGAAGGATAAAAAATATTTAATCAAGTCAATAGCTTGTTGTTAGACATGAATAATTAGTCAGTAGAGATTGATTAATAAACTAATGAAGAGTAATAAAAGGAATAGAATATTGAAGTTAAGTAAAAATAAAAAAAACAGTTATTTGATAATCTTAAATTCTCAGATTTTTTTATATTGGAAATTCTTTAGAAAGGATCCTTTGGCACAATTTATAAGGCTAAATATTTTAAGGATGAGAAGATGTATGTTTTAAAGTAATAAAACAAAGATAAACTCAGAAAGTTTTCTTAACTTGAGTATGCGATTAACGAAGTAAAGCTCTTAAGAAAGATAAGTCATCCCTTTATAATTAGTATTAAAGGGCTATTTTAAACTAAAAAAAATTTGTATTATTAAATGAAATATTATGAGAAAGGAGACCTGTCTGAGTATATAGGATAAGGTTGTGTATTATCTGAGAATGTATCTAAGATTTTAATTGCATAAGTAATATTAGCTATTGAATACTTGCATTCATTCAACATCATATATAGAGACCTGAAACCTATGAATATTTTAGTAAGTAAAAATGGGTTCTTAAAGTTGGCTGATTTAGGATTGGCTAAGGAAATAATTAATGATAGGGCTGCCTTATCATTTTGTGGATCTCCTGCTTATTTAGCTCCAGAAATCATAAAAGGAGATGGTGCAACCCAGTCTGTTGATATTTATGGAATAGGAGTCTTGTTATATGAAATGCTGAGTGGATATCCTCCTCATTATGTATAAAATGTAGATTTAATGTTGGAGAGAATTTAACATTGTCCTATTGATTACGATAGAATAAAATCAAAAATGGCAGTCAAAATTTTGAAGGAAATACTTTAGAGAGATCAGACTTAGCGTCCAAATTTGACAGAGATAAAGAATCATATATTTTTTGCTGATATTTCTTGGAATAAACTTCAGGCTAAAAGCATGCTTCTTCCGAAATTGATAAAGAGAAACAAGGAGTAAATTATTAATTAACAAAAATTTTCAGAAGATCTTATTGATGAAGACTATTTGGATGAGGAAGAGAAGCCTAATTATATTGAGAATTGGAGTATATCATGAATGTAAATTTGCTTTAATAAACATAAATCTATGAAATCATTAAGCTTCTTCAAATTAATCAAGGTTAACATCAGAGTCTTCAGTGACAAACCCATCACTATTTTGTTATTCATCCCCTCTATCAAATATATTTTCAATTTCATCAACTTAGGTTTCTAATTTGCTCAGCATTTTTTCTTTTTTTTATTATTTTTTGGATGCAAAATCTTTTTCCTTTTTAATTTCCAATTTCTTTTCCAATCTAACCTTAGCCTATGTTACATATCCTGCATCCTTCCATAATTAAGCTCCTTATATGCAACCTTCTAGAATGATAATTGGTTTTAAAACAAGTCTAGGTCCAATTTCGACAAGTTAATTTTTGACAATTTCCTTTCCTGCTTTTTCATATTGGATTTCGTAATTTCTAATCCAGATGTTATTATTTTCTGGACTTTCCTTTATAAAAGAGAACACTCTATCGCAACAAGGAGCACTTTTTGGATGATGTTTTGGCACATTAATAGCATGGATAAAAAGTTCCTTTTATAAAATCATTAAAGGGTCTTCAGTGAATGACCCATCGAATGAGAGAATTGGTCGACTTCCTTTCATACAATTTCCGGTGAGTTTCAAATCTTAACAATTATGCCCTTATAATATGAATATTGTAAATTACAGTTTTCAATATAATATTTGATGGATGGACCATTGGGAAATCTACCAATCCATAGATACAATTCATGTTTTCTATGCACTTCAAAATAAATAAAACTTCTGCATGAATGTTACATGCATAATTCTTTAATTTATTTGGATGTATCTCCTTTTTCAAGTTTAGTTTCTTTTTTTGAATGAGGAAGCAATTCGTGTAAATCCATAAACAACTATCTGATTCGATCAGAAATGTTTTTGGATGTGACTATCAATGTTCTTTATTTATTCACCCATTTGGTTTCTTTTTAATTTTGGAATATATTGTCAATGTCCATTAATATAAATTTAATTGTATTAATAATAATATTTGTTTGATGCATATTATAATATGTTTGTCAATTCATTAAACTGAATCTATCCATCATTTCAATGAATTCGTTGTAATCAATCTAAAATAATTAAATAATTAATAACTTCTCCGTCTCCATTTTTATCAGCCTCTTTAATCATGTCATCCCAATATTTTTCATTCACTATCTTTTCAGACTCTATATTTATCAATCAATAAGACATACTTCCAAGAACTTATTGCAATTCCTTTTTATCGATCTTACCACTCCCATCCAAATCCAACATCTTAAAGGCCTGATACAACTTCTCCTCTTTCATATACAACTGTTTCTCCATAGTAGCAGCCAAGAATTCTAAATAGACGATTCGTAGAATACCTGTGTAATTGATATTGCCATTTCCATCAGTGTCTATGCTTTTGATAATGTTAGCCAATTCCTTTGATTAATCGTCACTCATCCCTGTCAATCCCTCCCTGATTTCTTCAATGGTCAAGACTCCATCTCCATTTTTATCTAATTGCTTAAACAATCTATATAATTTAAATTAAATAATTACTTTCCCAAGTGAGAAATTTCCTATTCGTTTAATTATGAGGCAATAAATGTCAAAGCTACTTTCTTCAACTTGTTGCTTCCAGTGAAATTTTTTAAGGCTCCGTAATTTAATTTTAATTCTTTGTTTGGCTTGTTCTTCTCTTTCATCCATTTATGTTACAACACTTGTGAGGCTTTGAATCTTTTGTCGGGTGTCGTGATCATATTTGCAATTAAATCTTTTGCAGCGTCACTAACAAATTTAAACTCTGGAATATCAGTTGTATAAACTCCCTTTTAAACAGATTCTAAGATCTCTGGGTCGGTATCCCCATAAAATGGAGGAACACCAGATAATAAAATATATAATATCACACCAGCTGACCAGATGTCACACAATTCATCATAATTACCCTTCAGAACTTCAGGCGATATGTAATATGGAGTTCCTGCTTTGGTCTTCATTGAAACTTTCTGAGCCCCAGGTTTTGAATGGCCATCTTCAAATAAAATACTCAACCCAAAATCAATAACCTTGAGTGGAGAATCGTCTGCTTTTGTTAGGAATAAAAAGTTCTCAGGTTTCAAGTCTCGATGACAGATACCATTTGAATGGCAATAATTTAAAGCCTAAAAATCACAAATCCATATACTTGTATGATTTGCAGAAATATAGCATGAGCCTCAGCCTCATTAAAATATCCCTTATCCATAATTCTGTCGAATAATTCACCGCCCTCACATAACCTATTTCATTACACATATATTTACTCTGTCACTAAATATACATTTCTTTGATCTTCATAAGTTTCATACAATTTTATGATGTTGGGATGGTCCATGGCTCTGAGAATATCGATTTCCCTTTTGAATCGCTCTGGATTCTTCACCTTGCTCTTGGGAATCACCTTAACTGCACGTTGTTGTTTCGTGCCCTTTAATACCGCCTTTACAACGCTACCGTACGTTCCAGACCCAATCACCTTCATCATCAACCAATAGAATTACCTTCTTGAGATTTATATCATAATATTATTCTATCTTTCCTTCGCAAGACTTAATGAACCACTACTTTTTTAAAAATATGTCTTCTTAATTCATGTTTTAATAATATAATTACAAATTTAACTACTAATACAATAATTTGGTATTNCAAGAATTCTAAATAGACGATTCGTAGAATACCTGTGTAATTGATATTGCCATTTCCATCAGTGTCTATGCTTTTGATAATGTTAGCCAATTCCTTTGATTAATCGTCACTCATCCCTGTCAATCCCTCCCTGATTTCTTCAATGGTCAAGACTCCATCTCCATTTTTATCTAATTGCTTAAACAATCTATATAATTTAAATTAAATAATTACTTTCCCAAGTGAGAAATTTCCTATTCGTTTAATTATGAGGCAATAAATGTCAAAGCTACTTTCTTCAACTTGTTGCTTCCAGTGAAATTTTTTAAGGCTCCGTAATTTAATTTTAATTCTTTGTTTGGCTTGTTCTTCTCTTTCATCCATTTATGTTACAACACTTGTGAGGCTTTGAATCTTTTGTCGGGTGTCGTGATCATATTTGCAATTAAATCTTTTGCAGCGTCACTAACAAATTTAAACTCTGGAATATCAGTTGTATAAACTCCCTTTTAAACAGATTCTAAGATCTCTGGGTCGGTATCCCCATAAAATGGAGGAACACCAGATAATAAAATATATAATATCACACCAGCTGACCAGATGTCACACAATTCATCATAATTACCCTTCAGAACTTCAGGCGATATGTAATATGGAGTTCCTGCTTTGGTCTTCATTGAAACTTTCTGAGCCCCAGGTTTTGAATGGCCATCTTCAAATAAAATACTCAACCCAAAATCAATAACCTTGAGTGGAGAATCGTCTGCTTTTGTTAGGAATAAAAAGTTCTCAGGTTTCAAGTCTCGATGACAGATACCATTTGAATGGCAATAATTTAAAGCCTAAAAATCACAAATCCATATACTTGTATGATTTGCAGAAATATAGCATGAGCCTCAGCCTCATTAAAATATCCCTTATCCATAATTCTGTCGAATAATTCACCGCCCTCACATAACCTATTTCATTACACATATATTTACTCTGTCACTAAATATACATTTCTTTGATCTTCATAAGTTTCATACAATTTTATGATGTTGGGATGGTCCATGGCTCTGAGAATATCGATTTCCCTTTTGAATCGCTCTGGATTCTTCACCTTGCTCTTGGGAATCACCTTAACTGCACGTTGTTGTTTCGTGCCCTTTAATACCGCCTTTACAACGCTACCGTACGTTCCAGACCCAATCACCTTCATCATCAACCAATAGAATTACCTTCTTGAGATTTATATCATAATATTATTCTATCTTTCCTTCGCAAGACTTAATGAACCACTACTTTTTTAAAAATATGTCTTCTTAATTCATGTTTTAATAATATAATTACAAATTTAACTACTAATACAATAATTTGGTATTAATAATGTCATTCAGGTATTTATATCCTCAATCGATTTCACACTACCAATATTTTAAAAGCCTAACTTTTTATTTTGATTATAATTTAGTAATCAGTATTGGGAATTTACGTTTTTATCTATTCTAAAATAATGCAAGCAATCTTATGATCTAACAATCATGTAAAATGATAGCTTATTAACCTTACATTCAGAATTATTAATAAAAACATATATATTTTTTAACTTTGATTTCAAATCATATCGTAAAAAATAGAAATACAATAAATTAGTATTACTTAGTCTCAATCATATCATACCCATTTCACTTCTAAGTGTTTTCATTGATAAAATTTATTTTCATTTATTTTAACTTCTAATAAGAATAAATATTAGAATTTATAATATCAAACTGTGCACTTATATTTGTATTCAACAAACCTTTCAATTTATGAATTTTATCTTTGTTCATGATATTGCGATATCATTTATAAAAGCTATTATTATTATATCAGATTATAAACTACACTTAAAGAATATTATTTTTATTTTATAAATGAATTCTTAAATAATAGTATTTATACTATTATAAATTGCTTTTTTGGATAATTGCCTCATTTATGAACCAGATTAACTTATTTTTACATCAGCTTATGATGAGGATTAATTTAAAGATGTTTGGGATATAAGTCTAAATAGAAACCAAGACTTTGACGATGTGCAAACCTATGCTTATGGATTCTGGTTAAAATATTCATTTGTTTATCCAAAATACTTGGAATAACAAAAGGATTGGCATTCGATAAGTAGATTAACTACTCGATAGAATCACACTGATTATTAAAATCCCTTAGATAGAGCTCTGTCAGTCTGGCTGAGTAAGGATTTTTATCATTTCACTACTTACACCACTGAATATCCAGAGAAGTTTTATAATGCTAAATATGAAAGGGAATAATTAGATGGTAAATGGACTTTTATATACTTTGGATACTCCTATTAAGAATGTATAGAAATATAATAAACTAGTTTTGGCTAGAGGATATGTATTGTTTGATGATGGTAAATTTGAAGAAGCACTCATTCCAGCAAAACATTATAGATTGGACTTCCTTAGGTTTTTAATTAAACGAGAATTTAATAATTATGCTTTCAATGGGTTCTATTGCAACATATTCCTTTTAATCAATGAGCAATATCCTATTACAGAAGAAGAATTGAAAATTTATGCATATGAGTAATATCCGTTATTGTTCAATTTAAATGAAATATTTTAATAATAAACATTATTAGAACATCAGGAAGAGACATTTTATGATAAACAATTATTTAAATAGTTTGTGTTTTCGGAGATTGATCCATAATAGTACTCAATTTCAGGATGGTTGAAGTTTAATACTCCAATTGAATTTAAGGATCACAATTTAATTCTGCGATTGAGCCATTCCAAAGTACACGACCAAGGCATTTTTGATAAAATCTTTTATTTAATTTCGAACGACCAAGGATACGAATTCGAAAGTTATAATTGCATAGAAGATTGTAAAATGATCAATTGGAGTATACCAACTGAGGATTAAGAGAAACAATGGCATTTTGTCTATATAGCATACGATGCAAATCGCAATAAGATTTTTCAATTTTGGAAATTCGAGGAGAAGGCTTTTGTAATTCATCATGAGTAGATTCGTCATTTTTAACTTCATGGAATTTATATTAATTTACAAAAGGATGAATACGATCCTGGTTTTAATGGATATCTTAAAAGATGGACATTTAATTATGGTGCTGGAGCTTATCAAGAGAATGGTTATGAGGATGACTAAATACTTCAAGCATAAATTGGATTGATAGATTTCAATTCTCTTAATAAGACTGAGACTTGGAAATTTTAGCAGAGCAATTTGAATATAGATATCAATTTGAATTAGGACTTGTAAGAAAATGAGATTGATCCATCCCATTTCCAAACCAATTCATTTGAATATGGTTATGGATTCTGGATGAGATTTCTTTACAATAGTCCATCCAAAATTGACAGTCTCACTAATTAAACTTTAGGATTGTCAAGATTTGGAACTACTTAGCAGTATAAATAAAATAATAATCTTGGTGAGAGTACTCTGTCAGTTTATATTTAAAATAATCGAATACAATTTGAATCTTATAGTGTCTTAGATAAGCAATAAAAGTAGTTTTACATCAAAACTCATTTAGATAATGAATGGCTATATTTATATACAGGATATAAGAGAATCTATAAAGAACAAGGTGTTTTTCTAGGATGTATATACAATATTAAGGGAGTTAATAAATGCACAAATAGCTAAAATGATATTGTGCATTATTTAATTGACAACTACCTATTCTTCTCTATTGGTTCAATTGGATCAAGATTTTAAGATATCAAACACTTTAACGGAGATATTTAAGATGCAAGTCTATACTTTGGCAAAGATAGTATTATACCAAAGTTTAACAAATAAAAGGCATTTCCAGAGAACATTGCATCTAATAATTGGATTTTCAAATAGGTGGAATAGTTCACTAATGATCGACTTGATAAAATGCCTTCAGAATATAAATTAAACGATGTTGTCTCAGAGTATGGAGTTTAATTATGGTTTAAAAGCATTGGAAAAACAGATAATGAATTTTAGTTTATATTTTTATTGTCAACTGATGAATATCGAGATTAGATTTCAAAGCCAGGAGATATTACTTTGGGAGTGAAGATGGATTAAAATAACAATTTATATTTTTTGAGCTATTCTTACGATAAAGATGATTATATGTAGTAACAAGAAAAGAAAATAGAAGTAGAAAATGAACAAGATAAAAAATAATGGACCTACATATATTATGGGCACAAGAAACATGTATGCCTATATTTCATATAAACAAAAACTAAAAGAGTGAAAAATTCATTTGAATGTCTCCATCATGCTTCTAAATATTTCCTTGTTTATAAAGGGTTTGATGGAAAAACAAATGATTTATTAGGAGACATTGACTATTTTAAAGTAGATTTTGGGTTAGGATCATTTCAATCACAATTCCATCATCTGACTGAAGCATTTAAACAAGGTTTGAAACTCTTTCCAACTTCCTTTGAGTGGAAAGGTCAATTTAATAAAATTATTAGTGTACCATCAATTAAATCGGGATTCCAATAGGTATTTGCTTCAAATTAAAAAATCAGTATGGATGGCTAAAGAAATTATGGATATGGGTTTTGGTCAAGATATTTAAGAGAATATCCAGAATTAGTATAATAGGAAGATAAGGAGTAATACATCTCGATTTCAAATTTATATTGTGAATAGACTCAAAACAAGGAGCTTGAAATCATCTCCTTATATTTGAGCTAAGATAAAAAGCAATATAAAGTGAAGACTTATGATTTAAATACGCACAAGTATCAAATTGGGACATTCCAATTATTGAATTAATAAGAGAATGTTTGGAATTATATTTATTTAAGTTATAATGCAGACAAATAGTAAGTGGTTGGATTTATTCATCACTATAAAGAAAAGAGAGTCATTAGAGTGATTCTTAAGGACATTTCTCATAAGAGCATAAACGGGAAAGTCAACTTCAATTTAGGAAGATTTGTAAATATTCGTATTTATTAATTAGTTAAATTATGAAGGATTCAATGGCCAGATCAGTAATCTTATAATCAGATTTGATGGGAATGCTGTTGTAGATAATATTCAATAATTCTAAACTTTGGTTGACTCATCAAAATAAATAGAGTCCAATGAAAAGTAATAAGTGTTTAAATTCATCACTCTCAATGAAGAAGCATAGTTTAGTCAACATAATGTAGGTTTAAAAGAAAATTATTTCCCTGAAGAATACTCGGTTTATGGCTGGTTTAGACCTAATCCTAGTGAATTAAACAAATAACTAATTTAAGATAATGTAATAAAGGAGTAATATGAATTTGATTAAGTTGTATTACAGTTAAGTTCTTGTTTAGAGTAGAATGAAGAATAAAGGTTTCGTTTTTAAATTAGAATATCTTAAAATGGATATTAATTTGTTACATATTCTATAAATGAAGAGTCACCTGCTATTTCTTGGATTCAAAATATTTTATTGGATGCTAACTTTGGTACTTGGTGTTATTTTTGGATGGGTTATTCTTAAAAACTATAATAAATCAATGTGTACTTTAAGATAATAGATTCGGTTGAAACTAAGGTTTTCAATTATATTCAACATCATTTGACAAATAAATTTATACTACTTTTAAGTTCTTAAGTGTAAGATCGAGCTTTCAATGGAGATCTGGCTTAAATAGGAATGGAAATTGGAAATGGAGCATTTAAGGAGAAAGCCAATCTTCCAGAATTTGAACTTAAGTTAATCTAGAAGGCATATCAATTCAAAGACTATGAAGGGGATTTTGATAAACTAAATAGACTCAATTTGATATAAGGTAAGAACGATCTAATTGGATCTACCTAATATACTGTTTAGTTGTGGACTAGATGGTTGAATGAAATATCAGATGATTCTTTTCTAGATCAAAATAGTATATTTCGATTTTCCAGAAATTAATTATATGAGAATTGTGATGAGAAGGGGGATAGAACTTTAATGGTTATCATTACTACAAAATCTTATGAATTCTCAACTTACAATGTGGTGAGTGAGTAATGCAGCGAGAGTAAAGAAATATCCTATTAGCAATTATTTGAAGGATAATGGAATTTAATTTATTTTGCATATTCCAATACCTAAGATTTCATAGGAGCAAAAGGTTTTGTGTATTTCTCAAAAACTGGGTAGTCTAAAGATTTATAATTCAATGTTGAACATCTACCATTGACCAGTTAGGCTGTACTTACAGTAGGCTAAAGGGAATTTTCTTATGGTAAGTTTTTTGGATAAATGCATGACATTTAAGTGAAGATTGGGTATGGGTTTGAAGATGACATTACAAGCATCTTAGAGACTACTACTATACCTGATTTAGAGACTAACCAATTTAACAAACATAACTTAGTTTAATTTGAAAGCAGAATTGATCAACTTGTCAATAAGAAATTCAAATCAAATCTAAATTTAGAAAGGCAATATTCCTTATATGGATGGTTTAAATATGATGGCATGACTGAATATGGCTAATTCTCTATTTTAGCAAGAGTTAGTACAGAGCCTTTGCTATCAAAAAAACTATCAGATCAAACATTCTTGATACTAGTTAATTAACATACTATTTAATTCAAATCTTATAATTTGTTACCACAATATAGTACATGTGATGAGACATTTGAAATTATTAAGAATTATGACTTTGTACAACAAGAAAAACAATAATGGGTATTTTTTTATTTTGGATACAATTTCGATTCAAACTCATTGCAAATATATTTGAAATACAATGAAGACCTACATGATCAATAAGAATTACTGCAAAACATATATCATTATTTGCCCTTGTAGTTTTATGTTTTCATAGGAGAGGATGATATTTATTCAAAATATTCAGGCTTAATAGATGACATTAATTTATTAACTGGATAATCAAGCTATATCGATTCAAATATCTATTAGCAATTTGGTTCTCTTAATTAAAAGTATATTGAAAATGTTTTGAAATGATATCTAAAATATGAATAGCAATATATATATATATAAATATTTTGATGTCAAATGAGTATTAGGGGTCTAAAAGACTTTTTGATGGATTCGAACTTTTACTGCAACATTTCCAACTCAGGAGTTGTCTCAATCCTATCAGTCTATTGAGGTTTCTTGCTTTGATACTCAACTTATAAAATGAATTGATATTTTACTTTTCTTGAAATACGGATGATAGACAATTATCCCTTCATTTGTTGTCTAAACCCTCTGTATTTAGGAATCATTTTATCTTTGTATTTATTCTGGATTCTAACTAAGATTAGTCAATAAGTTTTGGATCAATGACATAATCTAATTTAATTCATAAGGGATACGCCTTCTTCTGTTTATTCGTTTTTTTATTTTTTTAAAGCTGGTTTTTTGGGTTTTAAAACACAGAATTGAATTTAGAGATCAAAAGTTTATCCATTATCATGTGGATAGATGCAGTCTACCCAATCAGTCGTGAACCCATATTCATACACTAAAATATGATTGTATGACATGCCTTTCTTTTATTCTTATATTTTCTTTTGTTAATACTTCTCCTACTTTTAATCTGATTTCTTGCTTGATGGTTTTTATTCTTTGATTTCTTATAGCATTTCCTTAAAGTTCTCTGTCATTTTCTTTTGCCTTGATGACTTGCGAACTAATGATTTCTATATTGAAAATACCGTGGTTTGGCTCTTCCTGCTTAGAACTCATTGGCTTCAATTTTTATTATTAATCAACTCAATCAAAAACTAGCTTAAATAGTTATTCTAGTATAAATAACGAAATCTTATAAAACATTATTTAATAACTCATTTCAATCTATCAATTACTATATTAAAGGTGATCTTCATTGTTTAATTGTAGAAATATATTGATATAAATTAATATTTATAATCTATAATAATGAACTTTTCAAAGTTTGAATATCTTAATTGTAAAATAAATGCAAATGTGCAAAAAACTTTCTAAGGGCTTAAATTATTTTTTATTTCTGAAGAATTAATTCTTTTTATACTTTGNATGACTTTGTACAACAAGAAAAACAATAATGGGTATTTTTTTATTTTGGATACAATTTCGATTCAAACTCATTGCAAATATATTTGAAATACAATGAAGACCTACATGATCAATAAGAATTACTGCAAAACATATATCATTATTTGCCCTTGTAGTTTTATGTTTTCATAGGAGAGGATGATATTTATTCAAAATATTCAGGCTTAATAGATGACATTAATTTATTAACTGGATAATCAAGCTATATCGATTCAAATATCTATTAGCAATTTGGTTCTCTTAATTAAAAGTATATTGAAAATGTTTTGAAATGATATCTAAAATATGAATAGCAATATATATATATATAAATATTTTGATGTCAAATGAGTATTAGGGGTCTAAAAGACTTTTTGATGGATTCGAACTTTTACTGCAACATTTCCAACTCAGGAGTTGTCTCAATCCTATCAGTCTATTGAGGTTTCTTGCTTTGATACTCAACTTATAAAATGAATTGATATTTTACTTTTCTTGAAATACGGATGATAGACAATTATCCCTTCATTTGTTGTCTAAACCCTCTGTATTTAGGAATCATTTTATCTTTGTATTTATTCTGGATTCTAACTAAGATTAGTCAATAAGTTTTGGATCAATGACATAATCTAATTTAATTCATAAGGGATACGCCTTCTTCTGTTTATTCGTTTTTTTATTTTTTTAAAGCTGGTTTTTTGGGTTTTAAAACACAGAATTGAATTTAGAGATCAAAAGTTTATCCATTATCATGTGGATAGATGCAGTCTACCCAATCAGTCGTGAACCCATATTCATACACTAAAATATGATTGTATGACATGCCTTTCTTTTATTCTTATATTTTCTTTTGTTAATACTTCTCCTACTTTTAATCTGATTTCTTGCTTGATGGTTTTTATTCTTTGATTTCTTATAGCATTTCCTTAAAGTTCTCTGTCATTTTCTTTTGCCTTGATGACTTGCGAACTAATGATTTCTATATTGAAAATACCGTGGTTTGGCTCTTCCTGCTTAGAACTCATTGGCTTCAATTTTTATTATTAATCAACTCAATCAAAAACTAGCTTAAATAGTTATTCTAGTATAAATAACGAAATCTTATAAAACATTATTTAATAACTCATTTCAATCTATCAATTACTATATTAAAGGTGATCTTCATTGTTTAATTGTAGAAATATATTGATATAAATTAATATTTATAATCTATAATAATGAACTTTTCAAAGTTTGAATATCTTAATTGTAAAATAAATGCAAATGTGCAAAAAACTTTCTAAGGGCTTAAATTATTTTTTATTTCTGAAGAATTAATTCTTTTTATACTTTGTTATAATATTTGAAAAACAGAAAGTTAATATGTTATATCTATCTATTATATTTATGGATAATTTTAAATTATAGGAACACTTTAAATTAAATAAGGAAAATAATACCATCTAAATTATTAAAATAAAATATAGAATGAAATATTAAGTTTTCAAAGGACGTTATCGATTAAAATCCTAAAATTAAATCACACTGGTCATAATATAATATTCTTTTTATAAAAATGTATCACTTCATAGTTTTTCCTCGCATTTTATTAATTATTAAGTTCAAGGATTGCTGAAATATTATATATGTTAATTAATGATTTTTCTTTATATTTAGTAAATTAAATATTTAAATTTACATTAATTTATATTAATGAATGCTTTGTTTATTTTCAAAATGTTTGCATTAATATTTTATAAACGTTAACATTTCACCAATAAGAATATTCTGCTAATTTAGACAAAATTCTTAAAATGATTAAGATTTTAAGATCTGACAGAAAAACTATTTCTAACTATATTTTATTAATAGTATGATAAGTTTCTTCAGGATTTAAATATTTTAAAATATAAATAAGTATTTAGAATTTCATCAGTTTTTTTTCTTACATTATGATGAAACATCAATTTCTGGTTTATTATTGGTGTCTCTCGATAAATCAAGACATATTATAAATATGACTTAAGTTAAATATTGATCACATGTAAATTGCAAAGACTAATTCAAATTAACTTATTTAATTCAAGTGAAATTAGTATTGAATTAATATTTTAAATATCTCCCTTTGGATTCTTTTTAATTAACCTCATGAACTAACTAACAACTCTCTATATCAGTGTTGCTATACTCATAACTAAGGCCAACAATTTAATTGAGGTAAGTTTGATCCGTAGAAATCAATAAGAATAAGGTGACAATTCATAGGCAAACAAATGCTAACCGCATTAGATAAAGATAGATGAAATTTGTTAGAGTAAGAGTATTATTTTTGATTAGATTGCCATTTCAGTTGTGGATAATGTTTTGGTTTGGGACAGAACAAATGCATTTCTTGTAATAGTGTTTCCAATAGAATATTATGGAATGATTAATGTATTTGCAAGACATAATACTATGAAGATGAACAACAATCAGTTTGTTAAGGTAAATTTATAAAGGAAAATTAGAATGCCATAAATCATGTTAAAGTTGTTTGGGATCAACTGGCAACGACTGTTTAAGTTGCTATGATGATTATGAATTACTTAATGGAAACTGTGTATGCAAGTTAGGTTACTTTTATGATTATAACAATATGGAATGCAGATGTATTAAATTAAATTAAAAATGAGAATGTCACTTTAGTTGCGAAATTTGCAATGACTCTCAAAATAATAATTGTTTAAAATGTCCATTTGATTCCTAAAGAGCATTAATAGACAATAAATGCAAATGTCCAGAGGGTTACTATGAAGTTGAAGGTAATCCGATTTGTAAAAGTAAGGAGTTAAATTATGAAAGAATGCCATGTTAAATGTAAGACTTGTAATGGATATGAGAATTGCTTAAGTTGTTCAAGTGAAAAGTTACTAGTAAATAATGAGTGCGTTTGTTAACCGAATTTCTTTTTATATAAATCAAATATCATTTATACTTGCAAACGTAATAAATATTATTAAATTTAGCTTGTAGTAATGAATGTTTAACCTGTTTTGGATAATTAGGGTTTGAATGCCTAAGTTGTGTAGCACAAAGCAATTTATAGGCAAATAACACTTGTTCATGTAATATAGGTTATTTTTTAATAAATGGTCAATGTTAAATCTGTAATTCGAATTGTCTGACTTGTGCCTATAGTAGTACGCATTGTTTGAGTTGTTAAACGAATTACATCGTATAAACCAATAATATTTGCTGTCACAACTCAAATATCTTGGTTAACAATCAATGTGGTTGTATTAGTTCAAAATACATGGATTCAAATGGCATTTGTTAATGTAATAATTAATACTAATTTTTTGAGAATGTGCATCTGCATGTTTAACTTGTAGCAGTACCTCTTGCACTGAATGCTAAAATAAGCTTTATTATGGACCATCTTGTACCACAACCGCCTCATTGCCCTAATATTGTTCATCTTTTGATATCAATGGAATTTGTGCATAATGTTAAACTAATTTTACTTAAAATTCCGAAAAAGTTTGTTAATGCAATCTTCCTTAATTTGTCCTATCAGGAAGTTCTTGTATAAGTAAGAAATTAGCAATATCTATTTAGGTTGTTAATCATTTAGAAGTAATTGTTAAACCTGCGATAATTCAGGATGTACACTTTGTAATTCTCAATATTATTTATCATCAGGAAATTGCTATCCATGTCATTAAAGTTGTATGACTTGTCTCAATAGTGATGTTAATTCTTGTTATCTATGCAAAAGTAATACCTATTAAAATACAAGCGGCTCAATATTTGGTTGTTCATGTAATCAACATTTCTACATGGATAACAATTATAATTGTCTATTATGTGATCCTACTTGTGAATAATGTTGGACATCAAGCACTTCATGTACATCCTGCAACTTCAACACTTACAAGAGGGTTTACAGTAATGGTAGTTGTGTTTGTGATACTGGATATTCAGATCTCGGAGCTGTCTAATGTTATAAACTTGGTTGTGGATATGGATGTGCAGATTGTGTATCTGGAATTTGCAATTCCTGTATGGGAAATGAAACATTCAGAAAGAATGACCCTCTGACAAATTGTCCTTGTTTGGATGGCTATTATGATAACAATTCAAGAATTTGTTAATGTATAATTTAACTTACTGATTTAGAATGTCCATTGATATGTTCTACATGCTAACTTAATACAACTCTTCATATCCCAGTATGCATAAAGTGCTAAGTTAATAGAGATCAAAATAACTCCTGTAAATGTGCAAAAGGGTTTTATGAAAGTGGGACAGATTGTCTTGTCTGTCCTCCTAATTGTTCTAGTTGTCTGGATTAAGATCGATGTACCTAATGTAAGAATAGTACTTTTGATCATGATAAAATAAATGGATAATGCTTATGCAGTCTACTAAATTTTAGTGATAAGTCAAATTGTTCATGTTTACATGGGTATTATCTTAACAGTATAAATAAAAAGTGTTTACGTAATTTAAATCACTTAATTTATATAGCATGTCATTATAATTGCCGCACTTGCGTGTATTCTGGCACTAATTGTATAACATGTAATGATAATCATGCCTATCCACCAAATTGTGAATGTTCTCCTGGATTTTATTTATAAGATACCATATGCTTGCCATGTACTAATAATTGTTTTAAATGCAAATCTTAATCAGAATGTTTGGACTGTTCTAATTAAATGCAATTGATCAATAATAAATGCTATTGTTAAAACGGGTATTTCAATATACTTAATTCCTATGAATGCTAACCTTGTGCTAGTCAATGTTAAAATTGTAGATACTCAAAAGATAATTGCACATCTTGTAAATTCAATAGAATTTCTCCTTACAAATGCATATGTCCTGATGGAACTTACGAAGTTGATGTGTCCACTCCATGTAATCAATGCGATAATAAATGTAAGCTTTGTGAGGTGACTTCGACTAATTGTTTGGAATGCTCTCTTAATAGAATAAATCCTCCGAATTGCAATTGTAAAATTGGATATTTTGAAAATGATTAATAAACCTGTCAATAATGTAATAGCAGATGCAAATCATGTTAAAATACTTCTGATACATGTATTGAATGTAAAATGAGTATTACTACTCTTCCATCTTGCACTTGTCCAGATGGTTATTTTTCTGAATCAGAATAAGGTTGTGTTTAATGTCATCCAAGATGCAAAACTTGTATTGGATCTAATGAATATAATTGTACTTCTTGTGATGAATCTAAAAACTTCGAATTACTCTATAACAAATGTGTTTGCAAGTAAAATTATTATTTTCAAAATGATGTCTGCCTTTATTGTTCTATTGAAATTGAACTTTGTTAAACTGTTTCATGTGGAAATGGTATAATTCAGAGGAATGAATAATGTGATGATTGGAATAACAATGATAGAGACGGTTGCTCTAATAGTTGTAAATATGAAGAAGGGTATTTCTGTGAGCCCATTGCGAATACTAAGATTCATATTTCAATTTTGGTGAGTAAATGTACTAAATGTGTTGAATCTTGCAAGATCTGCGATAGAAATAAATGCTTGATCTGCTAAAGTGGCTACTTTATGACTCCGACTTTTGACTGTTAAAAATGCGAGTAATTTCTTATATCTAATAATTTCATAGTCTACATTGCAAAGAGTGTTCTGGACCATAATAAAAGGATTGCTTATCTTGCATCAAAGGAGTTGATTATGGATTAGGGTAGAAGTGTGCTTTTTGTGAAGAAGTTTAAGGGTTATACACAAGTAAAGATAACTGTGTTTCAAAGTGTGGAGATGGAATGAAAAAGAGTGATGAACAATGTGACGATGGTAATAGTATCAGTAAAGATGGATGCTCAGAAAAATGTAAAATTGAAGAAGACTGGGATTGCTCGTAATAAAATAATACATTAAGTTCCTGTTATAAACTAAATGTACCTATTGCTTCCCTTTCTATTGATAGGGCTAAAGATTTCTATTAATCTCAAAGGTAAGGATCTATTTTATTTAATAAACCTATGGCAATACCAAATACATCGATTATAAACACTTGGTAATACAGTATACTCAACTAAACATCAACTTATTACACTATTAATTTGACGGCCGTTTTGAACATAGATGGATATTTGGAAGAAGTTAAAATTGATTTACTACTACTTTAATCTATGTCATAAATTGTATTTCAAGTAGACTACACTGCTTTCATCATTAAGGATGCTATAGATTCATATCCATTAAAAACCACTAATTCCTCTGTAGAATTGACTAAATACATTAAACTTGGGCAAGATACTTTAAGCACATCAAAGGCATCCAAATAATTTGCTTCTTCTGTGCTATATGTATTAGGAGGTGTTTCAATTATAGGATTGCTAATTGGAAGCTTAGAATTTTATTGGAATGTCCTTGATAACTTATAGATTCTATCATATATAACTTTTATTAATGTTAATTTTCCTTATATGCACAACAAATTTTTAGAAATATTTGAATTTGCAAGATTCGAGTTTACAAATGACTATTTTAATTTTGATCTCATAAAAAATTTAGATTACTAATAAAATAAAGATTATCCTTTGATCATTGAAAGACAAGTTGAATACAATTTGGTTGTCAATTTAAGTTCGATTGCAGTGCTGTGGGTTACTCCAATTCTCTTGTTTTTGGTGGCTAAGATAAATTTATTTATCATTCACGAGGTCTTGATTAATAAGTTTAAAATTATTTAGCTGACTCCTTTGGAATAACTTAATAGTTTGACGTATTTATTTTATAAGTTGGTATACTTTATTCATTTTATGAGCTTTACCTATCATTCCAACTTCTTTTACGGCATTATTCTAAGAATCTACTTATCTAGTCTTTATGACTTAAATTTTTCAATATTCACATCAGCTTATTGTTGGCTTTAGAATTAGAATCCCAATTTAGTAGATTAAATATCATTTGCTGTTGCAATGCTTCTACTTTTGATTCAAATTGTAATTTTATTTATATTATCTTCCTCATTGAAATTATCTAATTATCAGTTGAAGTCCAAATAATTTATTTCTTAATATAGTTCTTTATATGAAGGAGTTAATTTTAACAATTAAATAATTAGGTAAATTTAGTTTTTACAACCATTAAGAAAACTAATGTTCATAGGAGCCTTAATTTTATTTTATGATTAAGCTGTATGTTAAATATCATTCCTAATTTCAATTTAGATATTATCTTCAATTGTTCAAATATCCTTTAATCCTTATTCAAACTTTTTGTAATCAATAAAAGTAATCACTTAAGAAGTCGGATTAAGCATGTCCTTAACCTTGATTTTATTCTACTACGCTCAAGATAAATTTGTTATAGCGGAGCAGGATATTATTGAAAAGTTGTCATATGTTCATGTTGGCATTTATACATTGATGCTTTGTGTAAGTCTTGTAATTGACTTATATCAATAAATCAAGATCATATTTGTTAAATATAAAATGTCAAGGATTTGTGATAAGAAGCCTTAAATAGAAAAAGTTGAAAAATAATAAAATAATGAAAACTAAGAATAATAAGAAAAATAAGAACAAGCTTAACAATTTAATCTATTTATTGATTTAACTTAGTTTTATCAGGCTTAAAAAAATTAATATAGCTTTAGAAATTTAAGAATTAATTGAAGTTGATATATGAAATTAGATATAATACAAATTATTTATATCAAAATATTTACATCAAATATAATAATTTTTATAGTTGAATAAGTAACATATTATAATTTTTATCAATATCATAGAAAATTGCTTTGGAGGCAACTTTAATTTATATTGTATGGTAATATTATAATTTGATAATTTATTATGAATTTCTTAAAATTTTGATTATTATATTATTTAGTGAAATTATCAATGTCGAGATTCTAAAATTTTTAATAGAGTAATTTAAATGCGTTTACAGCCAACAACACATAACATCTAATGCCGTAATTAGCTTTTTTACAATAATAGAGTGAATCAACCTTCTTATCGCCAAAATTTTACTTAATGCAGAGGTCAAACATAAGAGAAAAAAGCATCCGAACAGCCTCTTAAATAAATGAGTCAACCTCAATCTAATCTCACAGAGACGAAACCCAGTCCATTAATAAAGATAGCTGAAAGATCATAAAAAACTTCACCTAATAATTTTGGAAAGAAAAAAAATAATCTTTAGTTATAAAAGGTTGTAACAAGAATGGAAAGAAATAATGATGATGGCGCATCAAATGGTATTAATAACAAGATTTCACATCATCAAAATATGATCCAGAAAATGCGATGCAATAGATATTACATAGATGATTTGATTGCAGCATTTTAGGATGAAACTTTGAGTTTTTCAAGGTTATTTCGAGATAATTTCGCAAATTCCTTTAATTTCATACCAATAATAAAAATGGAGCAATTTTTATAGGCTGAGGACAAGGAAATACAATAAAAAAAAATAAAATTAGAGCCCTACCCTCAAAATCTGAAATGTACAATTTATTTATAGATTGGTATAGTTAAGAAGACAGTCATTTTCGATCTAGATGAAACATTGGTTCATTGTAATGAAGAAGACAACATGTCCTCTTAAATTGTATTGCCCATCACTTTCCCGACTGGAGAGAAAGTTAATGCTGGGATCAACATTAGACCTTTTGCGGAGAAAATGATAAAATTATTAAGCGATGTTTGTGAGGTGATGATTTTTACAGCCTCTCATGAATGTTATGCTAACGAGGTATATAATCTTCCTTTGAAATTAGGTTATTAATTATCTGGATCCTTAATCGAGAGTCAGAAGGAGAATTTTCAGGGATAGTTGTGTGACTGATGAGAATTCCAACTATTATATTAAGAACCTGGAAGTTATTGATCGAGATTTGAAGGATATAGTGATAGTGGATAACGCTTCATATAGTTTTGTGTAAGCTATTAATTAATTTAAGTCATCATATCGATAATGGCATACCCATCATATCGTTTTATGATGATAAACAAGACAATCAATTAATTAAGTTATATAGGTTTTTAATAAATAAGGTTTTGCCTGAAGACGACGTTCGACCTCTGTTGAAAGAATATTTCAAGTTAGATCAAATTGATCAGTTCCAAACAATAGTCGAAGCTGTCGAAAGGATGTATTGTATCGAATGAAGTCAATGTGGATACTATTTGTTTATTTTTATGTTAGTGTCATTTATAATTAATATTACATAATTAACCTACTTTTTTTATCTTATTATTATCTTTAAATTACAGATGTAAGTTGATAGTGAAAATTTCATTGATAGTTCAAATAATCCTCATTTAATAGGAAATAGATATGTAATCCTTTGATTAATAAAAGTCTATGAGGAGTAGAAGAAGAAAGATTTACGATGATGGGGATTTTAGGGAAGTAGTTAAGAATTTTTACGCTTTGATATCTGAAATAAATAAAAGTAGCTTATTTATGTAATAAAACCCCCAAGTTGCCAATAAGAAAATTCAAAAAAATGTTCCTCTAAAAACTAAATAATAATCCAATGTTTAAAATAAAAAACCGCAACAGAAAAAACCAATATCTTAAGATGTAAAGAAAAATGATCTCTACAATTTTAAAAAAGAGCCAATCTATTCTTAAGTTGCCTTTTAAACTCAGCCCTATTTTAATCATCAATAGTACTAATCGTTTTCTCATAATTATATGAATCCATTTTATAATAATTTGCCATCATAATTAGTACTCATTATAGTTATATCTAGCAAATTATTTCTAGAAACTAACTCAACAATGGACAATTAAAAAGAAATTCATATCATATAGCAATTTCATATTTCATTTATATCCAATCAACCGGTTAAGAATAGTATGAAAGTAGAGATCCTACCATGTATGCCAAAAAGAAACTAAAAGAAACCAATTCAGATGTTATAAAGGTATATTATCAAAGATATTTCTATTTTTAGTAATTAGATAATTTAGTTTCAAATGAGAAACAATCTCCTTAATAGCAACGAATTCATAGGCAACTTAATTAAGAAGAATAGAAGGAGGATATTATAGAATAGACTAAATGAATTGTATTTTCTATTTTATAATTATTTGAAATATAAATACTATTAATAAAAAAGCTTCAATAAAATATTCTTTCATATTTCCAGAACCTTCATCTAATTTATATGCCAATCTTTGTTCTAAACTACCATTCCAGTAATAACTACTATGTAATCTTTAGGTTAAAGTAAATTTTTAGCAATCAATCTTGAAATACACTCCTAAATAATTCTTTAATAATCGTAAATTAAATTACTCTTCCTAATTTGCAAATCCACTTACTAATTCTGATTACACATTATTAATGTAATTCAAACATCTGCAAATCTGTTAGTTATCACTTATTGAAATGATTTTGCATGAAGCTCTTAATTTTGATAGTTTCAAAGTAGTTTATATTCTACGAGTTAGCATCAGAATGGCCTTAGCTTATAGACTTATAATACTGAATATTTAATACATATATGCCATTTCAACACATGATTTGGCAATTACAGTTGCAATAGGTTATCCAGTAAAATTTACTTGATATTGATCCCTTTGTTAAGGATGATCAAAAAGTTCCTAAAGTAGTTTTTTCTCTATTTTTCGACATATATTATTGAGAGTTTAAACTATCAAAACTGGAAATTTCCCAAAACTAGTTTCTCCTGATAATAAGATTCCGTCTATATATTATTTAACAATATTTGAAATATCTCCCATATCTGCAAAGGAAGGCTTAAGTTGAACACTCATGGATTCCAATATATATGTTGATACAAAGACCTTTTATGATGAATTCAAGTACAGGTTTAAATAGTTTTCGACAACAGGATATTATTTGAGCTTGATATTTGACAACATCCTCCACTGGCTAAGTCATTGAAATATGAGATCTTGCGATGATACACCCGTCTGCCAAATTAATTATTTCCTCAAATTAGTCTTCCTTTAACATTTCTGCAATCCTTGCAAATATTTAAACATGCGGATATTTTTGTTCCAATCTGTCTTTGACCTTTCATTATAATTTATATTACTTTTATGATATCCAATGCAGTGTTCACCTATGAAAATGTTATACTATCGAAATTGCATTCACAAGCATAATCTATATCTAAGATATCTTTTTCTGTTAGTGATACTTATTCTAATTGTTCTTCTTCCTTTGAAGTCTTATTCTCTACAAATATTGATATTGGTTTAAAAGATTTTAAAGTTCCAGTCTTAGAGCATTTACAGATATATATTTTCACTCCACTCAATAAACATATTTAATCTATCCCTATTTTTTCATTTACTCTAAATATTTTAACTACTCATACTGGTCGAACATTTAAATATCTATCAGTTCTAGTATTATATGACCATAGTCAATTGCTAATTTATCATTTATATTTAATTTCTCCAGAAATTCATTTGAATCTATTGGAATTAATTAATTATTTCCTACTTTATGCTAATCTGAAGTCAAGTATACAATATTTCCTTCCTCAAAATTGATTAATTAATTACTTCTATCAAAGTTTCAGGATCTTGCAATTATCCTACTCTTATAACCTGTCCTCTTAAAATTAAATTCAATGGTATTTTAGTTTTGAATTCAGATTCTAATTAGTATCTATTTTAATTCAATATTTATAAACTCTCTTTATTTTTAATATACGCCATATTAATACTAAAATAATTAGGCTAATTTTCTACGTAAAACCATTGCATCCTGCCTCTACCATGTTCCGCAACAATTCGTAATTAGAACAATTTTCACTTACAGAACAAATGATCCTAGTTCTTTTTGGTTCCTACATGAGAACAGAAATTATAATATTTATTAAATATCTTTAGTTTTTAAGGTTTTGAGTATTAATATTCTCGAGAAGATAATTGAAATCATTGAAGAACCTATAAGATTTATTAATATTAGAGGATTAGACTCGTAATTCTCTATTAAATTAATCCGAGGGATTATTGCAATAATTTGACTTAAAATAATAATTATAAAATTCATTCATTAATACTTCGATAACTTAGTTCTATTTTAATTTTGTGTTTCAATTAATCTTGAGCTATTAATTAATATAAGATTCATACATTTCTTTTTTGTGAGAATATTGATTAACATATGAGAGTTTTTGGGATAAGTTGGGGAACTTTTCTTGTTATTCTATAACTTACGAGGAATTGGTATGTTAAACGATCATATAATTGTTCTAAGGTTATTAATCCCAATCAATCTTTTGTTTTTTTGGTGGAGATTACTTAGCAAACATTTTCTGTATTTCTTAATCAGCCAAAAATTCTTCTTGATCAAATGATACTTGCTTTTCCTTTACAATATTAGGTTATGATGCATACATTTTGTTTTTAAACGAGCTATTAATATTGTTAAATAATATTTACTTTTATTATTGGCTACTACTCCTTTGATTATTTGCTAATAATTTTTGACTAAAAGGAATTGATTATGAAACTGGATTTACTTTATTTTATGCCATTTAAGAATAACCATAAGGCTATTCCTAAATAGACTAAATAATTTTTTGTTGAATTTCTTATTATTATTAAAATTATTTAGACAATATTTTAGGGTCATTATGCTATTATTAATGATTGGCTTCTGGTAATTTAGGTAATTAAATATTATATCTTGAAGGTTTCTAAACTTCAACATATTTAAACCAATAAGATTTGTCGTATTTCTTAGTGGGATGATTAATAATAATTTTATTTTTAGCTTAATCAGGTTCTGGGTCCTTAGGAAAATAATCTTTATACAAAGGATTGCTTTTCTAGATTTTTCTCTCCGCTGAAATCAACCAAAAGTTATTTCCTAGTTCTGATAAATCAGCAGTTGTTTACTTTTCATTTAGAACTTCAAAAATAGTAACATCTTTCTTATCATTTGCATTAGATTTCAAATTCTCATTTTTTTGTAATGAAATAACTGATAGATCTTGAAGATGTAAAGTCTGATTTCCATTTCGGAATTACTCAATATCATTTTCTTTCTCCTTTAGAAGTTTCTCTAGTTCTCCAACCTTTTTAAAAAGTTTTTCTAATTTTTCTTCATATTTTTTTTCCATTGTTTCAATATGCTTTTACTTATCTAGTTAAGACTATTTCAAAACTTAAATCTCATCTTGCATAGTTATAATTAACTCATCCTTCATCTGAAGAGCAGACTATAAAATAGTTATTTTTTCTGATTTTGTAGAGTTATCTGAGTTTTATGACTTTTAGAATGAATGAAAAGATTTTTGAAGTTCACCCTGTTCATTTTAATGGTTTGACTCATTTTGATCTTTCTCTGATTATTTTTAATCTTTGTCTTCATGATGTTCATATTCTTTTATTTAAGTCCCAACAATTTCTTATTCATTAATTTATTCTTTGCTTTATTCAATTTGTTCATCCTACTTCTATTCTGAGCCATCCAATGATTGTCTATCTATTTTTCCAACAGGAGATGTTTCAATTTATGAAGTCCTTGTTGGCGTTGCCACATTCGATACCTCTTTTGGTAGATAAGCTTACTCTTAATTTTCTTCTTAATGTGAGTTCCTCAATTCAAGAGAAGCTGCCTATATTCTTGAATTATCTTAATTTGTCTGATTCAGAAGAGACTAGTTTTGCTAAATGTCTGTTTTATCATCATTCTCATTTTCCTTTTCAACATTTAAATCTTCTTTTTATTGTTCTATTTCGTCTTTTTAACTCATATATCTATAAATTGGAGCAAATCAATAAATTATTTATAATATAATTTACTTGAATGAATATAAACAAAATAGTAAAAATATGTTCATCAATCAAGTTTTTATCTTTCTAAAACTACTGTACACCACTTTCTGCTTTTTATCGAAAGTTACTTTTTTTATAGATCTTTACGAACCAAAATTTTGAGAGTCTTTCATTAGATTTTTTGGACTTTAAGGGTTGGACCCATTGTTTATTTTATTTTTCAGTATCGATTTGTGTTTGGAAATATCATTACTTGAGCCCTTTACTTCATTTTATTGACTATTTCCTTCCTCCTTAGAGTTGTTTTACTGCTCTAATTAATCACTCTCTTAACGAAAGAGAAGTTCTTCTTCTAATGAATTTTTGACATTCTTGATTGGCATTTCCTATTCAGTAATAGCAAACTCTTTTTCTTAAGTTAAAAGTTTTGGTATTGGGATACATAATTCTTTCTCAATTGCAACTTCGTCTGCTTGAAATTACAAAATCTTGATTGGAGAAGGTTTACAAAGCTTAGGCGGACCTTTGATATAGATTTAAGGCAAATTAGACTTATTATTTTCCTATTCTGGAATGTTAATTTACTTCTAACACGTTCCTCCCATTTTGATATTGATGAAATATTATTTTTGATTCAATATTATTAAAGATTAAATTGATTAGGACTAGCAAATAAGAATAATACAATAGATAATTCGAAATATCAAAGAAAAGAATATTTGTAAAAGTTGTTTAAACTGAATTTTTTTAACAATTTTTATTGTAAATGTGAAATTTGAGTTTTGAGAAACCTTCCAAGCTAAAAGTAGAAATCTCTAAATTATTTGTTTGTACTTAATATAATATTTTTAAATAAACCAAAAATTCACACATACTAAACATTTGACATATTATAAGTCAAGATACTTTAATAAAATTTTTATAATTCAGAATTTTATTAAAATTAAGGTTCTAGATTTACCTTGGGTAGGTTGAAACAAGGTGTTATAATCATAAAAAAGTGAGTTAATTAATAATTTATCTATAATAACTAAATTTGATATAAATAGTATTATGATTAATAATATCTAAATTGTCAAATACAATTAATTCTATAAGCCAATTCTTGATCTGAAAGTATGTCTATTTGAGCAATATCTATTAGTTAAAACAAATGTTTATTCGGATATTCATTTTCATACTTTATCATCTCAATAATATATTTTGACATTAGAATAAAACACAATTTTGCATGATTCATCTAGGCTGATTGTGTAGTTATTTAAATGATTGCATATTCCAAAAACTTTTGTAATTCATTTAAATCAATTTGATTAACCGAAGAATTAAGCAGTTATATATTTTTTTCAAAGATCATTTACTTCAAAAATTGAAGCTACTGAAGGCAATATTATCCTTTTTCTGTTAATATAAATTTATCGAATTCCTTAAATAACATAGATTGATCAATAAGATTGAGATGAAAAAATGCACAACTTTGAAGATACTAAGCTAATTGCTAAGCATATTAATATTATCGTTATTATGCACTTACAAAAATGCTAAAATTATAAAGACTTCTTGTTGTATTAATGATGTTTAAATACAACTTTTAGTTATTTTCAAATTCAATTTCAAGATAGTTTCTTATCATAAGTCTTTAATATTCAAATAAATTTTGATTGCTTATCACTTAAGATTCACTCAATTGTTAACCCTTTTCCTCTTCGATATTTTGTATTTATTGCATATAATAATCGTTTTTACAAAGCAACTCGTGATTATAAATTTCATCCCAATTGATTCGCTCGTCTTCATTAACTTAAAGACACTTTTGTATTAAATCTTAGAGAAGTGCATTGTCAATTTTAGGTACTACGATTGGCAATTTGATTTACTCTTGTAATTCTAATACATTCTAGGCTTTGATGGGGGGCTTTTGGAAAATGAGTTCATAAAGAATCATCCCAAGAGACCAAATATCACATTTAGAAGAATAAGGCTGTCTTAGCACTGTTTATGGTGCCATGTACAATGGTGTTCCTGCTACGCTATTCATTAGATCATTTTCGAAGTTGATTCGTTTAGAAAACCCAAAATCTGCAATTTTAATAACGTTCTAATGAATCAGGATATTGGCTGGCTTTAAATCTCTATGGATTATAGATTTATTTTACAACTCTCGGTATCTAACAATAATGTTAGACTTTACCCATTTAAAATTTGCTACAATATGCTTATTACTAAGTTGTCATCTTATTTACCTCTTTTAATCAAATCTCTTAAGTCTCCACCATCACAAAATTCGGATATGATGTATATATTATTTTGTGTTTCGTAATAATCTAAAAATTTCACAATATTAGGATGATTTAAAGTCCTCATAGATTCAACTTCATTTTTTAAGTGTTTTTCATTCTCCTTAAAATAATCAATTTTATTCAAATTACTTTATTAATCATTCTTTTGTCTATCACTTTGACTGCCACTGGTTATCCTTATTAGGTTTTACCTTTGAAAACAGAGCCATAAGCTCCCCTACCAATAAGATGATTCATATTAAATCTATAATGACCAATCAATTTATCCATTGATATTTAAAAAATAATATAAAATATTCTCTTTTTTTATTTAATATTCATGAATTCCATTTTGCAGTGTTTCGTTATCTAATTCAATATAATCCCCACTTCTATTTTAAAGATTTTTGATGCAATTTAAAGTCAAATAAAAATGTCATACACTTTTTATAAGTGCTATTAAAAGAGCATTGATACCCCAATTAGAATTCTTTGAGATTTGTCTGACTTTGAAGGATATGATGTATAAAAAGATATATATCACAATATTGATATACAAAAATTAACTATAAATTATATTATGTAATAGTTTTCAACTTAAATTGAATTTTAGGAAGACTTTGATTTTAAGAATTCTGTATTGCTTGGTTAAGGAACATTCGGAAAGGTCTTCAAGGCTAAGGCTCTAAAGTCTTTGCCTCAAGGATATTATGCTTTGAAAATAATTGAAACATAAAGGTATCCAATTTTATAGCTTAGCGAATAGGCTTATGAGTTGGCTATTTAAGAATTAAATTTGTATTCAGCAATAACGTATCACTAGAACGTTATTAAGGTTTACAAAGTATATTCTTGGAAAGATGAAATGCCGTTCAGAAAATTTTTATTAGTGTTTGCAATGGAATTAGGAATAAATAGCCTTAGATAGGATATAGAGGATAGGAGGAAAAATCATAAAGAATATGGAGGTTCATAATACATAATTAAATAATAGACATGTTGATAATAGATATAATGAATTAATGTTTGAGAGCATTTTACTATTTAGCCAAGAATAAGCATTTATTCCATAGGGATATAAAGCCAGAAAATATCTTAGTTACAAGTTTATAACCATACACTGTTAAACTAGTTGATTTTGGGGCTGGAAAGGAGAATTTTCATGGATAAGCAATGTTAAATACTTTAGTAGGAACACCTTTATTTTTGTCACCCAAGTTATACGTTGCGTATTCAATGAACTAACCAGGAAAAGTGAAGTATAATATATTCTATTAAAGACATGACTTAGAAAAGAGCGATGTATTTTCTTTGGGTATAACTTTCTTGCAAATGATCCTACTACTTCATGATAGGGATTTGTCGAAGTTGAATGATCCCATCATTTATGATGATAAAACTGGGGAACCTATTGATACAAGTGAATAATTTGCTTAGAGAAAAGACTGTCAAGGGTGGAAGAAACTATAGAATCACATCAATATTATTAAGCATCCTTCTATTAAAGCTTGTATCTACGGAATGACAGAATTTAGTGAAAGGAATCGATTCACTTGGTTCTAAGCTTTAACAACATTAGATCCAGACTTCAAAGATGAGTAAATTAACGAATAAATTTAGTGAGAAACCATAGATCCAGAAACCAATATAAGCTAATGAATAGAAGTAATAGGTTATTTAATCTTACTCCAATGAAAACACAACACTCAAATTTCTAGGAACTCTGAATGATGAAAATTATCATGATAAGATCATTTCAGCTGGAAATTAAATTCTGTCTCATTCAAAAGAAGGTGTAAGACTTATCTCAATTGGAGGTACAGTAGAATGGATTTTCAATCAAAGTACTAGAATGTTATAATTATAGATGTTAGCTTTTTATCATATCTTCCTTCACTTGAGATTTGTGTAGGATTAACAATGTTCGGGGAAATATTTGGAATTAATCTAAAAAATAAATCATTTATTTGTGAAAGAATTATTCACTTTCAACATGATGCAATTAGTGTATGAATCACTTTCAAGCCTTAGGTTATGAAATATATGAGGAAGGATCTCTGTATATTGGGAACAAAGTTTGGGGAAATTATGATATTAGCCTTTGATACTTAACCTCCTTCTGTAATTAAAAAATACAAGGAACTTGATAGGGCAGTTGTAGATCTAATATATGATGATGAAGTAAAATATATAATATCAACACATGAAAATTCAGCTATCTTTTGTAAGTATTTAGCGTATGAATAAACGTAATTTTACAACTCTAATAATATAGTGCTAAATATATTTATGAAACTTAATTGAATAATTTAATCTTGATCTCGTCTCAATATTTCGCAGGTACAACAAAAGACTAACCAGAAATTCCTATTTTTTAAATTCGAGATGGTATTTAAAATTCATTCATCTTAGGTGTAATAAACTTAGTTTAAATATATTAAATACATAATAAAACAGTACCCTTAGCTCTAGCGATGTCAGATATTTACCTTGTGTGGGTGAGTTAAAAATTCATAGGGTCAGTTTAAGTGGATGGTGATCTTAGCAAATTAAATGAAGAAAAAGGTAAAGAGTTAATTGTTAATGCCTCAAAGCCAGCTCATTTAATAACAACAGTATAGACTGGAAAAATAATTGCTGCTAGTGATGGAAATAAATTACATTTATACTAAATAGGTATTCATAAAAGTTCATTATGATTAGTTTCTCAAAATTGTGAAATATTTTGATGTAGTCTTAATTAAATTTATAAGGAATGAATAGATTAATAATATTTATTACATAATGTTAAAATTTCACTCTTATCAAAAATTTAAAATTTGATACAAATGATGATTTAGCAAGTTTTATCTCTTTTTAATTATGGTTCATCTAAAATTATATAGTTTTTGAGAATTTAATATGAATTTATTATTACATTATTTCAATTAATAATGAATCCTAATTTTTTTATACTACCACTTGAAGTAAATTTCTTAAATTAATCATTTGCCATAATTCTGGCATAATTTAAATCAGAACTGATTTCTTCATTTTATAAATAAATAGGTAGCCATCTTCTAAAACAGTATAACTTGAATATTGATCTGAAATATATTCATTTGAAAAAAATAAATTAATTTCTTATCCTATAGGATAGAATTAAAAGTCAGGCATTTAAACAATTTCGAATTTAATGTAACCATTCGAATGTACTTATATTAAATTTTGTCCATACTTATTAATTTTTTAAAAAAAATGTAATCGAAATTATGAACTGATATTTCGGACTTATATTGAGGACTTAGTAATTATTTTTGAAAAAGGATAATAAAAGTTTTATACATTGCATTTATAAAACCAGATAAACTTTATCATCAAAAATTATTGTGTATAGTTTTTAAATCGCTGAAAAAGGAATTTATAATTTCTTAATAAGTAGTGTTCTTTATTAATTAATAAAAGTTTTTAATTTGTTATTCAAATAAAATTAATGACTTTGAAAATAGAATCTCATTAACTAATTTTTTAATACTTAACCATTTATTTATTTGCATTTATTGTAATCTTAAAATTTAAAAACTAAGAAATCCGACATCATGAACAGTAACTGGTAGAATGTATTTAATTGGATTCATGTTTCTGGAGCTTTGATAAGTTAAGACAACGAGAATATTTAGATTGATCTTGTACCTTAACGAATAGCTGTTTCCAATGAATTGCCAATGGAAATCAACACTTCTGTAGTCATTAAGAAATAACTAAATTACGATGACGAAGTTGGTTGGAGTTGGCACAAATCATGGAATTTACCTGAAATCGAATATAATATTAATGTACATATGCATTCAAAGGTTTAATAGTGGGTGCCTAACCAAAGTCAGTTGTATAAAGGAACTTTATTTGCATAAATCTTTGTGGTTAAAGCCTTGGAAAAGCAAAGCCACTATAAAAATTTAGGTATAAAAGGAGAATCAAAAAAATAAATAATAGACCAACAGGCCAACTTCAGATGTTTAAAATTTACTACAACCTCCTATAATAATGAAGTATAAACTTATATAGTAATGTTAGCATAAGAAATTCCATTTGATGATTGTTTTGTTTTATTCCCCAGTAAATGGCGAAAAGGTGGTTCTCAGCTCTATAATATCTCCAGAAATTTATGTGGATTCTAGAAAATTTGCTAGATTTCACAATATCCCTGTTCATTAGCCTTCTTTTACAGAATTATTTCCTTATGACTTACTTTATTCAATAATAACAAAAAGAGACACGAAAAATAGGTCTGTCAAGATGATTAAAATAGAAAACTCAATTGAGGGATTTATTAATTATTTTACTGCACCGAATATCAGAAATAAAATTAAACATCCGATATTTTTGGCATTAAGATTCTCAAGTTTAATTAAATTATTTGTTGATTAATAAATATTTTATTAATAAACTAATATTGTGACTTCGATTTAAATTCATTTAAACAATATCATAAATAAAGTGGAAAGCCAAAAGAAAATAAAGCTATTAATTTAAACTTAGAGTGAAAATAATGTACTCTAAAAAAAAGTAAAATACACCATTATTCTAGGCTATGGAACTAATTTAATAATTAGAAAATGGTTGCTATGAGATTTATACACAATCATGTTACTTACCCAATAATATTGTCTTAATAGAAGATCTGCAATAGCTTCTTGTGTAATATGGAGAGCTATTCTAAAAATCTTTGTAATCGAATTCAAAAAATGAGAATTCTACCCTAATCAAAACATAATCCATATCCTAGATTGAGGACAATGTTGTTCAAAAAGTGAAGATTGAGTAGTTTCCTAACACACCCAATAATAATCCTTCATTAACATTTAGAGAGATAATTCCAACACCAAAATGTGAATTTCAAAATTCAATCAAGAAAGAAGAGAATTTAAAAATTTAGGATTAAATCCAATACAACATTTATTAACAATACAATATTAATTAGTCGCAATTGTATTTATAATCGTATCTCAATCAATCCTATTAAAATTATGTGACACTTCAAAATTAAAACTATTTAAACTAGTATTATCATCCATATCCATATACTAGTCCGTAATATGTTGTTTGGAAAAATATTTGAAAAATAAAAACTATATATTGAATTATTAATTAAATATTAATTTCAATGTGGAAGTTTTCAGTGTGACCTAAAAAATTTATATGAAAAAAACAAAAATAAAAGCAATGAATCAATAAATTTCGGCATTTTTGAAACATGAATGTGTATGTTTGACTCGTTTTCTTGAGTCTTTTTTGACTGGCATTTCACAGTTTTTACAATCGTCACATTTGCATAATTCAGAACATTTGACTCCCATTTAATAGCATTCACAATATTTTTTTAGACAATTTGACTTCTTACAATTGCATCCCTTAAAATGTCTAGGCTTATGATCAATTTCATCTTCAGAATTACTCTACAATTAAGGATTTATAATACCCTGGAATCAACCTTAGGTCGAAATGCTTATGGGTTCCTTTCCATAATCTATTGGATTATGTTTTCCCTTTCTTTAGTGTGATCGTCATTATTGTGACAAGAACAACAATTACAATCTTTTCCACAAGGGACTCCAGCAGCAAAGCAATCACAATACAATTTTAGACATTTGGATTTCTTACAATTACATACGATAATTTTAGGTTTCTATTCTGTTAATGGTTTTCTTCTTTTGGAGCTGGTCCTCTTTCTATTGTTAACTTAGTCACTTGTAAATTTGAGAGGTTTCTTGAGCGTAACAAAATTAATGAATTTTAATTTAGTGGCTCTTTCCAATTTTCTATGAGGGGATTTGGGGGGACTTCTAAATTAAGAGTGAATATCTTAGTCATCAGATAAAATTTCTTCTTCCTCGCATAATAGATCATCTGGAACTTTAAGAGAACTAAGAGGTGAACTGATATTGACGAGTCGTTGTTCTGTCTTGGTATGATCGAAATTTATCTATCTTGCTGGTGATATCACAAATATATTAGCCTTTTTGGTTGTTTAATGATTTAATGGAGAATAAGGTTGGAATCTAGAATTAATTGAGAAAATAGAGTACTAATTGGGAGACTTTAAGCAGGGGGTAAACTCCAATTTCTTACATACTTATTCAGGGGACTAGTCCTTTATATATATTTCATCTTGGTTGTGGACACATTCGGCATTAAAAACTGGGGATTTGTGAATTTTTTCTAATCTTTAAAACAATTTAGTAAATGGAGTTCCATCCTATATAAATTCTGAGCTCATTTGTTATAAGAATTTTCCCTCTGAATTTAAATTCAAATTTTTATATATAAAATACCAAACAATTATTCCCCGCATTTAGAGTAAAGAATCTAATAGAAAGCACCGCCATTTATAGATAGCTTTGATTTGAATTGCTGAATTTAAATTATTTAAGTTTTTATAAGGACTTGATCATGATTGGTTAAAGCAGTTGTTGGATAAAGCCATAATCATTTCCCGCATTAATTTAGGCAATTGTCGCATTATTAATTTGGTTATAATTTATTTCTAATTAAAATTATATCAAACATAAATAAAATTTAACAACTTTATTTTCTTTGGTATTTAATATTGCAAAAGTAAGCAGAATCTTCTTATTTCCTTAGTAATAATTGCTTTAGTGTGAATAGCTGAATTCTCTTCATTCTCATTTGAAAATAGGACAATGTTCGAGTGGAGTGAAGCAGAGAACTCGAATTTTTAATAATATATAGGCTCTGTATTGGTTAGTTATCAAATAAATTTATTTTAAATAATTTAAATAACCGAAGATATGGGTCATCTTTTTAGACATTAAGAAGGAGATGCAGGTAATTATGTAGTCGAAGATGTAGCTCCCCCTCCTGCGGTAGGCAATATTCCAGCACCTCAAGCATCAACTATTGATTATGATTGGATTCTAATTTCAGGGTTCATAATAGTGTTGACATAAGTGGGATTTGCATTTATTGAAGCAGGATCAGTGAGATATAAGAATTCCTAATCAATAGTGATAAAAGTGATATTGGGTTTGTTCTTGACAATTTTAATATGGTGGTTGGTAATAAATGTAGTTAATAAATATAGTTTGGATATGGATTTTCATTTGGTTATGATTTCTAAACAAACTTTATGGGAGGCACAAAATTAGGAGGATACAATTGGGAAGCAACTCAATTCGGAAATGATTATACAAACTTTGGTATTTCTGTTAATATTCAAATTTGTTTAGTTTTCAGAGCATCCGGTGCAGCAATAGCCGTATCAGTGTTATCTGGAGCAGCAGCAGAAAGAATGACATTCTTGGCATGGTCAATTTTAGCTATCGTATACGCAGGATTCATTTATGCTGGATTAGCACATTGGACCTTAGCATCAGGATGGTATTGATTGAATGAGAGTATTAATAGGTTGACAACTTTGGGATACAAGGATTTCTCAGGAGCTGGCGTAGTATTTTTCGCTGCAGGTGTTGCTGGATTAGTTGTGACAGTATTGTTGAAACCAAGAAGATTCAGATTTGATCCCAACACAACCTTATAATTCTAAAGACATTCTCCCATCTACATTGCTTTCGGATCAATTTTGGTCTTCGCAGGATGGTTATTCTACAACGGAGGTATCGTGGCCTAAGGAGCTAATTCCAAATACACTTAAGGATTGGTCGCAGTCAATACTTTGGTTGCTGGAGCTACTGGAGGATTCTTTGCCTTCATCATCAGATATTTCTAATATGAAACTACAAGTTTGGTTGCCTTGTCTAGAGGCATTGTCAGTGCTTTGGTGGCTGTGAGTGCTGCTACTGATGACATGAAACCATGGACTGCATTCATTTATGGTCTGTTGGCTGCTGTCTTCTACAGTGTTTTGGCTAAAGTCATTCCAAAGGTACACATTGATGATCCCGTTGAAGTTGTACCTGTGTTTTTGGTATAAGTTTCAATTAACTCAAATAGGGCAATGGCTTTTTGGGAATCTTCTTGTCAGCCTTCTTTGACACTAAGGCAGGTATCATCTACGGATTTGGTGGCAAATTATTAGGAATGTAATTGTTGGGATTATTGATCATATTTGTATGGGTTGCCTTCTTCGTTTTGATTACATTACTGATTTTAAAGGGATTCGGAGTTCTTAGAATTGATTCAGAAACTGAGAGTGTTGGTATCGATAAGGCACAATGTAATTAAATAAGGCTAATCATTAGGTTTGGGTGAAGCCATTGTTTTTGCTAACTAAGTTGATGAGGCTCCACTTATTTAAAAGACCGAATTGGTTTAATTAGGAAATAGCCAAATTGGATCAGGATTTAGACCTGGTTTCAGATGATATTAAAATCATTCATATATATGAGCAGTTTTTATCAAAAACCTTTAATTTCTTTTTTGATATCATATAAAGTATATTTATATCCTAAAACACCAACTCCATAAATAATATGTATAATTAAAGAATTTGGAACAAGGTAGACTAAAACTATTCGAATTGTACTCATGGTTTACGTTTAAAGCTCTTGAAATCAGGTAAGAATTGCCACATTGTCTACATACTCTGCACAGAAAAACAGATAATGCTATTTAAAGTAACAAAAAGTTTATATAATTAGGATGATGATTTAACTAAACCTTACAAATATTTACCTATAAACTTTGAATATAAGTTTCAGGTTGTAAGAACTCCTCCGGTATTAATAAACCCGTCTCTTTCTGAAAACAAGGGTGAAAATGTTGTATCCCTGGGTGAAATACTAGCTATACGATTTATCCGGGAAGGTGTTGAAAAGTGGAGTGAATTCAGAGGGTCAGTGAGTGATTTGGAGTATTTGAGACAGTTTTTGGGAAAGAAGATGAACTAAACTGGGTTTCATTAGTATTTTAAGGTGTACAAAAAAATAGGGAAAGGGAGCTTTGCTTCGGTGTATTTGGCCTAGAGGATAGAGGATGGAACAAAGATGGCTGTGAAAGCGTTCTGTAAGAATGCTGTTTATAAGGAGGAGAATGGAAAGGTAAGTATGAAAATAAACAAGTTAGGAAGGGTTAATTAATGAAATTCAAATCATGAGAATTCTAGATCACCCTAACTTAATGAAACTGTATGAGGTTTACGAAACCAAAAATTCTATCTACATGTGTTTGGAGTTATTAGAAGGAGATCAATTATACGGGTTATTCAAGATGAAAAGATCATTTAGTGCTCAGCAAATACACTCAATTATGAAAGGATTGTTGGAAGGTTTGAATTACATTCACAGTATGGGAATAATGCACAGAGATCTTAAACTCGAAAATATCTTATTCAAAGAGCCAGAGTATGATAATCATATAAAGTTTAGTAATTACGATTCCGTGGTGATAGCCGATTTCGGATTGGCAACCAAGGTTGATTAAAAGCCATTTCTGTATACTAAATGCGGAACTCCTGGATTTGTTGCTCCGGAAGTTATCAATTTGAAGGATGAATAATTATGTTATGGCTCAGTTTGTGACATGTATTCGTTAGGAGTGATCTTATATATTTTGATTACAGGGCAACCGGTGTTCAAGGGCAAGAGTTATAATACCATAGTGAGGAGGAATCGAGAAGCCATTGTAGATTTTCAAACTGAAAAACTTAATTAAGTATCGGATAATTAGAGAAGCTTATTGATTAAGATGCTCCAGGCAGACCCAGAGTTAAGGATCACTTCCAAGTAGGCCTTGATGCATGAATACTTTTGTGCTTACTACGAAGAGGAGTTCGCTCAGATGTATACTGATGATGATCCACACTTGGGGGAAATGCTCGTTAAATTGAATGCCGAGTATATTCGATTGGACATGGAAAGGTTGAAGAGATCCAATGATGAGAATGACATTTGCAAGACTGAGGATCTGAAGGTCGACTAGAGTTAGGAAAAGAATGATTTCCTCAAAATCATCATGAGAACTCCAGTCATTACTGGAAGAACCAGATCCATTGAGAGTACTTTTATCATCCATATTTAGATTCTCCCTTCAATGGGTTCTAATCGCCCAACCAGGATACTCATTTCCCTCCCACCCAATAAATTTAAGCCAAATGGATCAATCCCTTGGTTTTATAGCAGTGAGAAAAGGTCATTTATAATTGAATTTAGATTGTACTAATATTCATTATATAAATATATAAATTATTTTCTCTCAAAAGGCCATGCAGAACATCTTATCTTAATAATAACAATTTTTTGATTTGTTAGACAAATAAGTGGATGCCTATAAGACATTGCTTGATCAGTTGAGTTAGAGTTAAGACAAATTCAATAATCTGCTTTAGGACTATTTGCAAAGATTTCAAACCATCAATAATAAACTAGTCCAAGGCCGTCAAGACGTTTCCTGCTCATAAATTCAAATTAAAAGAAATGATGAATTGTACACGCATTCTTAATTACATATATAATTCAATTTAAGATCTGTAATTCTAATGTTTTAATGTTTTAGTTACTGGAGAAGCAATATAAATACAAACTTACCTTAGCAGACGCCCTCGAAACTCCACTTTATCGAGATCGCATTTTCTAATTAAGAGTCGAACTGAAAAACAAGAGTGGAGATCTTGTTAAAAACCCCAATAAAATCGAGCTTGTTGTTGCTATCTATTCACAAGAACAGTACCCCAAGGAAATCAAAGTTAATAACAAAGGAGAATAGATACTCAAAGGTCATTTGTGTGTGCCTCTTATCAAAGGAACCGCCTTCTTTACAAGAGTTCAAATTAGGGAAGTATCTTCCCATTATTAAAATGGCTCCATCATCTTGGCTATCCTCCCCTAATTCAAGTCTAATGATGAACCCATCAATAGTAGGGATGTACAACCACTCATTGTCGAGAATATTAAAGTTAAAGCAAAAAAGTTTTCAGAACGACACATTCCTGTGTATGTAAATTAATGATTAATTATAATGTTTGGGAAAATCATAATTTCTACAGTTATTATTGTGATTCTATCTTCCTTTGTCTTTATTTACCAGAGCATCCCCGATTATCAAGGAGAGTGGACATCCCAACATATTGACAATGATGTTAAGTAATAAATAGAAATGAACTCATTCTAGGATATTTAGAGATTAAACCTATGGCATTCCCCATATTCATGCAAAATCCTTAAAAGATGGATATTATGGATTAGGATTTGTACATGCTTAAGATAGATTGTGGTAATTACATATAAGAAGGTAATCTGTGAATTTCAATGATTTAGAATGTCATCATAAGGTAGACTGAGTGAAGTCTTTGGATATCGCTAAGAAGTCTTGAATATCGACAAATATATTAGGAATCTAGGATATCTTGAATCATGTAAGAGAATAGTTCAAAAACTAAGTGAAGAAGCAAGAATCCATTTACAATCATATGCTGATGGAATAAATGACGGAGTGAAATCATTATAAATTCTACCAATTGAATTTAAAATATTAGGAGCAGAATTTTAAGATTGGTAAATACTTGACACCGTTGCATTCATTAAGCTAATGTCCTTATTGAACGTAAATGATATGTTTCATGAATTTATGAGAACAAAATTTGACGAATTATATGGAAGAGAACTAGCAAATATACTCGGTTCGGTTGGACCACATAACTAATTTGATTCAAGTGTTACAGAGGTTCAAGAAAAAGAATGGATTCAATTTATGAAAATCCATAATGTGTCATATAATTCAAAATCTGAGTGGTAGGCTAACAATAGTAAGAATAATGAAAATAAAACTAACACTAAATACAATTTAACAGAAATTTTAGAATCAATACCAGAATATTATTCCAATTATATATTCCCAACTCTGAAAGCTTCGAATGCTTGGGTCATTAGTGGTAATCATACAATAAGTGGAAAGCCTCATTTGGCAAATGATCCACATTTAGATAACAATATACCATCTTAATGGTATTAGGCAGAAATATACTATTAGATGGACAACCAAGAATATAATTTTATCATAGGCGGAACACTACCTGGATTGCCAATTAGTATGAGTGGAAGAAGTAAGTATTTGGGTTGGGGATTAACTACCTTGTATTCTGATGGAGGTGACATATATGAGGAAGAGATAATTAAAAAGGAGGACGGAAATTTATTCTACAAATTCAATAATTAATGGATACCATGTAATAAAACAGTTGAAACTATTAAAATTAAAGGACAAGAAGATTAATTTATAACCATTTTCCACACTCATCATGGTCCAATAATGTAATACTATATTGAGAACAATAAATTAAGAGACCATAAAGGACATTTTTATTCATTATAATCCATAGTCCATATAGATGACTATGAATCCTTTGATGGGTTTATTAAATTCGCTTAAGGAAAGGATTTAAAGGAAAGCATGGAACTATTGAAGCATATCTGTTATCCAAATAATGGAATGGTATTCATTAGTCATGACAACCATATTGGGTATCTATCAACTGGAAGATTAGTCATAAAAGAGGGACATCCAGATGAAAATGCATATGTTAAGAAAAACAATAAAGAATGGATTAGATATGTGCCATATAAAGAAATCCCTATGATTATTGATCCTGAAAAAGGATACATTGTGGTTGCAAATAATAAATTTATTCCTGATAATGAATTAAGTTGGAATTCACAACCAACAAGTAGAGGAAGAAGAATCAATGATTTGATTAATCAAAAGATTACTAAAGGAGAGAAGTTTTCTATTTTAGATCATATAAACCTTTAATCAGACACTTATGATAGTTATGCTTGTAATACTAAAAATGAATTAATTTCATTGCTTAGAGAATATGATAAAAAGAAAGAATTATCAAATGAAATCCTGATATTAGAAAATTGGTCATGTAAGTGGGACTCAGATTCTTCAGGTGCCTTATTATATGGAGTATTTGAATATTTTTATTCATTCAAATTTCACTCCCAATTAGACTAAGCTGTAATCAAATAATGGAATAATTTTTACATTTTTGATTCATTCCATTTTAAAAATCTAATTGACATGTATCTTGCATAGCCTAATGACTAAATTTTGAATTAGCCATATTGCAATGGTTCAGGTCAAGATAAATGTGCTTAAAATTTGGTTGAGGCTTTAAGAGAAGCCAGATAATATATACATGGAAAATTTGGAAATCAAACTACTGATTGGAAATGGGGATCATTGCATAATTAGTTGTTCCCTCATGCATTTTCAAATACACCTTTCGGATTTATTTTTGAAAGAAGAATACCTTATCACTCAAACAGAAGATCCGTGGCAGTGTCATCTTATGAACTAGATGGATCTTTTGATGGAAAAACCGGATCAAATTATAAATAAATTATATCTATGGATTCTGAAGAACCCAATTTCTTTGTAATTGATACAGGAATAAGTGGCAATCCTTTTAGTAAATTGTACACTAATCAAATGGATATCTGGAAATAAAATTAGTATGTAAAGATGCAGTTTGGCAATACAACAGATTATGATTTATTGTATGTTATACATCCAAATTGAGTTAAATCGAGAAATATATACATAGATACTTTGATGTAGATAATAATATATTAATATTACTTCACTCTTTTTTCTCTCCTTATTATGCTACTTATCTCTCAGCCTTTTTCTCAGCCTTCTTCTTCTCAGCTTCTAATTTCTTTTATTATTTTTTGCTTTCTGGATTTGGTTATTCTTATTATTTTTATTATTTTGGTTATTCTTATTATTATTATTATTACTACTATTCCTTCTTTTATTCATCTACGGTTCCAGTTTGAACTGATTTCAAGTCTAATTTGGTTTAAATGCTGGCTGCTNGTATCTATCAACTGGAAGATTAGTCATAAAAGAGGGACATCCAGATGAAAATGCATATGTTAAGAAAAACAATAAAGAATGGATTAGATATGTGCCATATAAAGAAATCCCTATGATTATTGATCCTGAAAAAGGATACATTGTGGTTGCAAATAATAAATTTATTCCTGATAATGAATTAAGTTGGAATTCACAACCAACAAGTAGAGGAAGAAGAATCAATGATTTGATTAATCAAAAGATTACTAAAGGAGAGAAGTTTTCTATTTTAGATCATATAAACCTTTAATCAGACACTTATGATAGTTATGCTTGTAATACTAAAAATGAATTAATTTCATTGCTTAGAGAATATGATAAAAAGAAAGAATTATCAAATGAAATCCTGATATTAGAAAATTGGTCATGTAAGTGGGACTCAGATTCTTCAGGTGCCTTATTATATGGAGTATTTGAATATTTTTATTCATTCAAATTTCACTCCCAATTAGACTAAGCTGTAATCAAATAATGGAATAATTTTTACATTTTTGATTCATTCCATTTTAAAAATCTAATTGACATGTATCTTGCATAGCCTAATGACTAAATTTTGAATTAGCCATATTGCAATGGTTCAGGTCAAGATAAATGTGCTTAAAATTTGGTTGAGGCTTTAAGAGAAGCCAGATAATATATACATGGAAAATTTGGAAATCAAACTACTGATTGGAAATGGGGATCATTGCATAATTAGTTGTTCCCTCATGCATTTTCAAATACACCTTTCGGATTTATTTTTGAAAGAAGAATACCTTATCACTCAAACAGAAGATCCGTGGCAGTGTCATCTTATGAACTAGATGGATCTTTTGATGGAAAAACCGGATCAAATTATAAATAAATTATATCTATGGATTCTGAAGAACCCAATTTCTTTGTAATTGATACAGGAATAAGTGGCAATCCTTTTAGTAAATTGTACACTAATCAAATGGATATCTGGAAATAAAATTAGTATGTAAAGATGCAGTTTGGCAATACAACAGATTATGATTTATTGTATGTTATACATCCAAATTGAGTTAAATCGAGAAATATATACATAGATACTTTGATGTAGATAATAATATATTAATATTACTTCACTCTTTTTTCTCTCCTTATTATGCTACTTATCTCTCAGCCTTTTTCTCAGCCTTCTTCTTCTCAGCTTCTAATTTCTTTTATTATTTTTTGCTTTCTGGATTTGGTTATTCTTATTATTTTTATTATTTTGGTTATTCTTATTATTATTATTATTACTACTATTCCTTCTTTTATTCATCTACGGTTCCAGTTTGAACTGATTTCAAGTCTAATTTGGTTTAAATGCTGGCTGCTTTAGTTTTACCATCTGGAATATAAATCAATTCATATTTATCTCCAACAATTTTATCTATTCTGAAAAAGCCTCTTCTCTCGAATTGCAATACGGATCCTACATAATAATTTATATTTTACCAACTTAGAGTGTCTTAATTCCAGCATCGGCCAATGCTTCAGTAACATACTTACTATTTGTATTGTAATAGTCCTCAAATTTGTGATGATCTTCAATAGTTTTAACTTTAATGAGATGATCATATTCGACCAAATCTACATTGACAATAGGAGTGTCCTTAGCAAGCCAAGTATATTTATTGGTTGTTTTGAAATCCTTATCATCTGGTAAGTTCTCACCAGTCAATAAGATTTATCCATCAACTTCTTTTTTTTCTGTTATTTTAATGTTACCCCACTTCATCAATGTGATTTTCTCATCTACTTTAATATCTTTGGCATCCTAAGCCTCTAAGTACAATTGGCTGCTTCTGAATAATGGTCTTGTACCTAATTCATTATTTTTAGGATGTTATGGCACAGAGACTACATTAATGCCTTAATCTTCAAAATTAGAAATAGTCAAAATAGCAATTCCTTCTTTTCCTACAGCTGTGTATCTTGGAGCAATTGGGTCAATCTTTGTGAAATTGATTGCCCAAAGCTTATCCCAAGTTTAAAGATTAGCATTCTTTGATGGCCCTTATTCCAACATAAAATCATGTAAGGCCTCGACTGTAATTCCTCTTCTTATAATACCTCTAAGAGTTGGGAAACGAGGATCTTACCATCCTTCTACAACCTTTTTATCTACAAATTCTTAAAGTTTTCTCTTGCTCAAACAAGTATTAACAAAGTTCAATCTTGAAAATTCATAGATTTCAACTGGTCTTAGTTCCAATGCTTATTATACCCATTGATATTATATTATTCTATCAGAGTATTCATTTGTTCTCATTGCATGAGTAACTCCTTCAACGCTATCCAAAATTGGGCATACAAAATCGTAGGTTGGGTATGCCTTATATTTAGTACCTGTTCTATGATGTGGTGTTTAATTTGTTCTGTAGAGAACTGGATCTCTCATACACTTATTTAAAGCCTTCATATCAATCTTAGCTCTCAAACAATAATCAAAAGTTTTTCCAGCTAACATTTAATCAAATATTTCGAGATTCTCTTCAACAGATTTATTTCTATTAACACTCTCAATACCATCAAATCTTTCCTTCTTCATAGTTTCTTTATCTGTATTATCACAATAAGCCAATCCTTTTTTAATTAAGAATCTAGCTTTTTCTTCTGCAAGGTCGAAGTAATCACTTGAGTGTGACAAGTTTGCCCACTCTATTTATAGAGTTTTCAAGTCTTCTAAGATGGCCTCTTGATATTCAGCCTTCTCTTTTGATGGATTTGTATCGTCAAAACGTACCAACATTTTGCCTTCATACATTTTGGAATATCTATAATTCAGTACAGATGCTTTTATATGACCAATATGTAAATAACCAGATGGCTCAGGTGGAAATCTTGTACACACTTATCCTAAAATGAAGAAATAAAAAAGATAACTACCTTTAATTGCCCCTTTCAATACATCATATTGTGCTTGTCCTTATTGTTTGCCTTGTTTCATTTTAAAATTTTTAAAAATAATTTTAAATAAATTCATAAGCAATTCTTTCATAATTTAAACACATGTATTAATTAATCATCTTATTAACAACACATAAGCACCCATAATAAAACATAAGCCTGATACTAGTGGCGACAATCTATCCTAAAAATTATGATATTTTTCATATACTCCAATGACAGCGCTTCTTCTAAAGAATCCTCTGAATCCATGTCTATGTGAATTTATTAAATCAGGTTTCATCTGTCTGATATAAGTTGAAGTGCAAATAACAAGCAATAAAATCACTATCATTGTTGAGAAGTTGAAAATTCCAAACTAATTATCATGCATTAATTTACCATGCTTTTCTTTGATTCTCTGCTTATTTAATTATAATTTATATAATATGATCATAAAATACTTTAGATTAGATTGTCTAATAGTATGTGTGCAAATGAATAAGTGAATTTTTGATACAATCTTGAATTAGTTGATACAATTATAGATTTATTTCATAATCATTAAAATTCATCTCCTCTTCTTTTGATGTAATGTTTGAGTTCCTTAACATTCTCTAAACATAACGATAAAATCCTTTGAATAGTTTCCCTTTCTCTTTAGCTATAACATAATGCAAATTCCAATTACTTTTCTTATAACTTGAATTGATAGACATTGTCTTCCTACTCGCACTCTACTGCCCTGTCTCCTCTTTGTTTTAGTTTATTGTCCTATTTTTAGACAGCTTCATCCCTATCCATGGTGAGCACTTTGATTTAGGCTTCCAAGACATTTACATCTGAATCCAGTTCCTCTATAATTGCATTAACATCTCTTAGATCTTGATTTAAGTTTTTGTATAATCTTTGGAAGTAGGCCTCTCTGATATCATCCACTGATCTTAATAGACTTCTGGCTATATCGATATAGTTTTCTAAATCATTGCAGGTCTCTACTAATTATCTTACAGTTTCTTCGTGCTTAGAAATTTGACCCGCTTTCAACTATTCCATCACTGCAAACAATGAACTATAGCCCTGTAAATGTTTGAAATCGCCTTGGGATAGAGATCATAGAATACCTGCTTTGAGACTTGCATAGCCTAATAAATTAGTAACTTTATCAACATCGTCTTCTTGGAGTTAAATAAACGCTGTCTCTCCTTTGTCGTTTTCATACAAAGCAGACTCGAATATCTCTCTCACTGCAACAACAGCAGATATGGCAGTTTAATGTTCTCTTTGATATACATGTATATACTTACTCAAGTCTAGAATCGAAGATGCACTTTTGTTTCTCTCTATTTTATTAGATCTCATCTATTCTGTTAATTAACAGGGTCTTTTCTTTCTTTTTGTTTTGAAGAGTGTTGACTTTTTTGGTTTTATCGGGTATTTTATCATCCAAGGCTTATTACATATCCATGATGCGAGCTTTCAATAAGGCTGCATAGTTATCAAAATCTCCCAGATCCTTAGTGCATTTAGAAGAGAATGCCTTATGTTTTTCATCGATAGATAGGAATTCTGTTTCGTAAGACTATGCTTAATCTCTCAAAATTTGGAAGACTCTATCTAATGGCTCTTTGCTTCTCACAGCAATTTAGACTGTATCCAAGAATGTTTTGCCTAATTAAGTTTGCTCCAATTTAGTAATTTCCTCTTCAAATTTAAGTTCGATATTTACACTCAGACCTAAAAGTAGAAATAATATTAGCATGTTAATCGTTTTTATTTATATAATAATGTTAATATTTATTTAATTGATAGCAGGAGTAGTTTCAAATGAGAAAGTAATCACATAACAGGTAGCATTACAAATGGCTTCACTAAGTTTGGTGGGAACAGACTCATCACCAGCCTTTTTGGAATTTATCAGTCTTCCTCATTCAACATCTCGCATAACAATAGATCGAGCTGTGAAATGGACATTCAATGAAGACATAGTATTATCTATATCACCCTTGGAATTCTATACATCTGCAGAAAAGGCCTCCTTTCATTCGTTGAGAATACAAGGTAACTTTTACTATAAGAATCAACCATAATGGATGCTTTGGTGGTAAGAAAACTATTGGTAATAGCCAGTAGATTGGAGTGATAACTCAATATCCACATGTGGAGGTATCAGTATGTTGGGTGGTTATGGCAAATTTGCAGGAGGGGAGGTTCAGAAAACCTTTGTTGAATTGCCTCAACACAGTAAAGTTAGGATTGTAGCCAATTTTCATTTTATAGATGGGTGGGGAGGAGAAACTGGGTTCTTAAGAGCAAGCATAGGCAGAATGGATGGAATGGAATATGTTTGGACAGAGAAGTACGATTACTCTAAAGTCAAGAATGGCATTTCTGTGTGTGGCAGTAGGTATCCTGAAGGAAAGCTGACTTCAGTAATTGATGTCTCATTCCCACATACGAAGGATACTATTAAGTTGGGTTTTGGAAGCACCTTAGACAATGATCCACTTGAGAATTCATTCGGAATATCCAATTTGTAGATTTACCTGATCTGATCTGATAATTAATTTATTTATTTTGTGACATTTTCACAAATGATAATTAGAAGATGTTCAATTTCTAATTATGCATCTCAAAGATCATAGTCTTAAAAGTAATAACTCAGTATAATACTTTTGTAGAATGTCAGAAAATGAATAATGCAGTAGTAATTCTCACTTCTCAACATGCTGTAGCAATACTTCATCAGAAATCGATGAGATTGATGATCCTTTGAATTATGCTTCCTTTAAGGATTTCCAAGCTGTCTTGCCACTTGTGATCAATGGTGTCAGAATCCAGAAGGTGACTTGGGATCTCTTCTCTGCTCCTCCAAATTTGTATTCCCAATGGAAAGCGCATTGCTATTGGACTGTTGGCTATACATATGAGATTACAATGAAAAAAATGAAGCAAAGCAATAAAATGCGATATCGATTAACTGTTAATGCTTGGTGTTGTTTAAATAGCAAATCGTGGGTTAAGAATAAATGGGATCGCTTGTTGGAACATGAAACTGGGCATTATCTCATTGGGTGTTTGTGTGCTTTAGAATTCAAAGCGAGGTAAAGTAGTCAAATCTTATTGTAGAGTTGATAAAACTAAATTTACTAGGAACTATCGCCTTGAATCTACATAAATCTTCTAAGATACATTCTAGGAATACCTCTCCCTAGAAAGAAGGTACGACGAAGAGACCAATCACAGTCAAAATATTAGCAGATAAAAGGAGTGGAATGAATTCATCATTAAGGAATTACAAAAATACTGATTTTATTATTATTAATAATATATCTCAAATATTAATGGGCTGTTGTGGAAGCAAGAAAGGTATGCATTTCTTAATTTTAGAAAAGCTCACAAACTAGGTTTCAGAAAATTAGCCATTGGCCTAAATTAAATCATAAGAAGTAATAATATAATTAGCTATTAAAGGACAAAGTACAGACAAACAAAGTTGGAACAAAAAGAGACTATAAAAAAGGAGATTTGATAGGCACAGGTGCTTTCTCAGAAGTCTATCAGGCTTTGGATAATAAAACTGGCAAATTATTAGCCATTAAAACAGTGAAACTCTAAGGAGGAAAAGACGAAGTACAATCTTATTTCAAAATATAGATTCTCAGAACTATTATTGCATTAAAAGCAGAAATTAAACTCTTAAAAAAGTTATAGCACAAAAATATTATTAAATACTATTTTACAGAGATCAGCCCCAATCATAGTTATGTTGACATCGCCCTAGAGTATATTGCTTAAGGATCACTTAGAAAGGTTATCAATAAAGTTAGGCTCGATGAGGCCAATGTTAGAATTTATGCACGATAAATCTTAGAGGGAATTTAATACCTTCATCAAAATAAAGTTATTCATAGAGATATTAAGGCTGCCAATATTTTAGTTGACAGTGATGGAACTATTAAATTATCCGATTTTGGAACATCCAAAGCACTAGAGTCTGAGGAAACACTAATTATACAAAACAAATCCCTCAAAGGAACTCCCTATTGGATGGCTCCTGAAGTGTGTTAATTGAAGGCCGCGTCCTTTGAATCTGACATCTGGTCTTTTGGAGGAGTAGTCATAGAGATGATTGGAGGGTTGCCTCCTTATGCTGACAAATATGGTGCAGATATTGATGCTTAAGAATTAATGAAGAAAATTGCTTAAGAGGAGAAACCAAATTATCCTCAACAAACATCAACATTAGCAACAGAATTTTTAGACTCTATCTTTGTTGCTGCTCACCTTAGACCATCAGCTAGCAAATTACTCCAGCATCCATATGTACAAATTTCTGATCCTTAGATTGATAGTGAAGAAGTGGGATTCAAATAATCCCTTGATCCAGTTCCTTCTAAGAGCAAAATTGCTGGGCCTACTGCTGGGGATATTTAAGATTAACCTATCAATTCACCTTAAACATAACTACAACCAATATAATAATAACAAAGACTAGACGAATAAAGGCTTTAAAAGTACACACTTTGTTTAATTATGTAGACAGAGAGAATGGGAATTAGCCCTCCAAGAAGAATTAAAAAGAAAGTCAAAATAAAATTCATGAGTATAATATTTTCTAATTTAAATCACTACTTTGTTAAAGTATACATCTTAGTTGTAAATTATTCATATATAGAATAAATGTTAATTATAATACTTTACAATTTATATTATGAATACCATTTTGCACAATTTGATATTGAAAAAGTCTTTATTTTTGTGTTATTTCCATCAATTCTAAATTATTTTAATAATTTCATTATGTAATTTTAATTTTTTCAATAAATATGATTAATATATTATCTTTGAAATTTAAGATTGTACAAAAATTAAAGATTTAATGGCCTATTTATTTCTACCATTATGTTTGCCTCATTATCATTTCTTCTGCCTCTATTTATAAGTGTATCAATAAATATTCTTACACTTATTTTTTGGAAACTATATTTTGTATAAATGATCTTGGATGATATTCTGACAATATTAGTTATCAAAAATGAGTTTAAATTGATATCATCATTCAATCTGTTGTTTTAGAATAATATTTTAATAACCTTAATTTTGTATAAAAAATTGATTTTTTTATCTTTTCTATAGCAATATAAATATGATTAAGATATATTAATAAGTACAAGCTCTATTATTTATCTAATTCATTTTTATTAGCCATTATTCTGATTGTATCATGGTTATTTTTAAGTCATTCTAATATAACTATAATGCTCATTATATTTATGATTGTTCTTAAATATGTCAAAGAGGTGTATAAATTGTGATCATCAAGCAATACATCATAAGTGGCTTGTTAGTATATCGGTAGTACGCTTGCTTTGGGTGCAAGTAGGTCGGGTTCAATTCCCGAACGAGCCCAAATTTTTTTATTACTTAATTAATTTCGGATTTGATCAGAATTAATAGATTATACTAATTCTTTAATAATTATACATTAGATTGAAGTAATAAAAAAGATAATGAACAAATTGATCCTCAACATTCAGTTCTCACAGCAGGTTAAGTTCAAAATTGCTTTTGATGCTTCGAATTAGAAGACATTTGAGTAATTAAAGCAAATATGCGTTCAAAGATTAGAATCCTTCTATAAAGTAAATATAACATTTAAAATAGATATCTCCTGATAATGTTAAGGATACATTGCCAAATACTTTTGATCCTTCATAATATCATCTAACAGATTAAACTAGCTTTATTCTAAGCGATCAAGATGTTGTTGAAGATTTATGTTCAAACAATGAATTAATACATCTTGTGTTCAATTAATCATTATCAGCCTCTATTTTGGATCCACTTAAAATGTCTAGTTCATTTGGGAGTCAACAAAATACTCAAGCAACCTAATAAACATAATAACAATAGTAAAGTTCTTCTATACCTCCTCCGCAACAGATTTAACCCCCTCCATAGTAATAATAAGTCCCAATCCCTGTTTAAGCTCAAATTAAGCCTTAGTAAGTAGATGATGGCATGTTAGATGAAATAGGAAAGAGTGAACTAAAAAGGAAATTCTATTTAGATACATCAAAATGGAATTTAGTTTAATAAATCCAAAGTGATGTAGAGATAAGCATTAAATTTTTATAAGCAGAAAACTAGACAACTTAATACAACATTGGATGTTCTTTAGAAGATACTCTATACAATTTATCAATAAAGATTTGCAATTAACTTTAATTGCCCCAAGAATAAAATCATGCCATTTTGTATAGTTTAAGTGGATTGCCTTTGGTTAACAATTTGAATTAGCTTCATCAAAAGACTGTAGAGGATACAATCAACAAACTTAAAAGCAAGGTCTTTTATGCCATAATTACTAAATGTTCAGCAGGAGATAAGTCATTTCCTAAAATTGATTCAGATGAAGGAAAAGATTAGATTTTCATTATTCACCAAGGGCCAAAGGTCATTAAAGTAGATATTGAAAACACCACTGTAATATAATTAAAATAAAAAATATACCATAAACTCAACATACCAACAAATGTCCAGACTTTAAATTACGGAGGTAAATTATTAACAGATTCTTTACTCCTTAAGGATTACAATGTATAGAACAATTCAAATTTGAATCTTACATTTAAATTAAATTAAGTGGTTAGTCATGCTGATAGTTACAATTATAACTTTTTTATGCCTTGGCTTAATCATTTCGTAAAGTAGAGTGAAAATGGAATTAGACAATTTAGATGCAATATGCTCGTTCTGTTTGCTAAGGAAGATCACCTCAAATGGTCTCATGTCATTAGATAATATTCAAATAATAATCCTGCAGTTACTTTGGCTTCTGTTTCTTTGATCAAAAAATATAGACTTAATTAGAATGCTCGTATAGCTTTTGAGGAAGGGTTTCTTAGATTGTTTTTTGATTTGATTATCCAAAGTCCTTAGGTACCTGCTGCATTTGATATTGGCTCAATCTTTGAGTATACAAGATAGTGGATTCAATTTTTAAATCAAGAAGCTGCTAAGTACAAGGAGGCTGAAATTAAATTGATCGAATACTATAGAAATCTTGAATATACTTGTTAGGTCACCTTAAGTCCCATAGAAACTCCAGCCTTTCTATCCTAAAATTAAGATGATGATGTAACAGCTTACTAAGTAGTCGATTACAATATCCTAAAAGCAAAATAAGAAACACAAGAAAAGCATTCTAATGGCAAATTATTGTCAGAATTGAATTTAATTTAGGATCCTAGATTAGAAGAGCAATTCAAAATAATCAAATTCTTAGAAAAAGAAGATCTCGCATGGTTACCTCAAGTCGAGTTTAAAGACAGCAGAGATCCTAATTCAATACCTGCTGAGTGGCATAAGAATGAAGATTTAAAAATCAATATTCTAAAGATTCATAGTTCAGTCGAATTGAAATAACACCCCACTGCTCCTGTTCTTACTAAGAACTCTTAAAAACATTTAGTCATCTACACATCCATGAACAAAGATGTAGCCAAACCAGTTAATTTGTTTGATCCAATAAGTGGCATTGAATAACCTGAAAATCCAGATTAAATTGCCTATAATTAGGTCCTACCAAATGCAAAGATTAATGCTGGAAAAGTTGATGATGATGATGATGATGATTCTTCAATCTAATTGGTCACTCAAATAACTGTTGAACCAGAGGAAGCTATTATTGTATTAATTGATATTTCTGGTTCCATGGACGAGGAATTCTATAACAGTGAAGATCTGACAAGATTGGGTGTAGTTAAAGCTTTCTTCAATGCCTTTGCAGACAGAACTATGGCATACAATCTCAAAAATGTTATTTCACTAGCGTATTTTGATGATAGATACATTTTAAAATGTGGTTATACCGAACTGTTCATGTAATTTAAGGATTTGGTAAATAAGGCTAAACCTTAAGGTATGACAGCTTTATATGTGGCTCTCAAGAATGCTATTGATTCCCTTTTATAATTTAAAAAGAAATATCCAAATTGTATATTGAGAATTATTGCACTCACTGATGGGGAAGATAACAAAGGAAGATATAGTCCTGAATTTATTGCATAAACAATTGTTCAAAATTAGATTATCCTTGATTCCTTTGTTGTATATGATAAGTGTGATGGCTTAAAATAAATCACCAAGGCTGCAGGTGGACAATGTTTCTGCCCTAAAACTATATAAGAAGGTTTGAAATTATTTGAGTATGAAACCATATTGTCAGCTAAAATAAGAAGATCATCAGAATCTTTAACACCAGCTAAGGTTACTGCAATCTTCCAATAAGATCCAAAAACAATCTAATTTGATGTTTAACCAAGAGATTTTGAATTACCTTTGGAATTAAAAAAACAATCTATCAACCCAAAACAATTAGTTAGTAAAATTAGTTCTGATTCATAATAACTTAACTTAATTGCTCCTCATAATTATCTAAAAAGAGTGATGAAAGAATTGATGATTTATGAATAAAAACCTCATCCTTTTGTCAAAGTGTTCCCATGCTCTCATGATGTGTCCTTCTGGAAGATTATTATGGTTGGTCCTGAGTAAACCCCATATTCAAACGGAATTTATATTTTGTATATGAAGTTCCCTTAAGAATTCCCATTACAACCACCTGATCTTAGATTTTTGACTTCCATTTACCACTGCAACATCAATAGCCAAGGAAGAATATGTCATAGTATCTTAGGCAGAAATTATACACCTGATACAAAAGTCATCTAGATCTTTGAGGCAGTTTATGGTATTTGTTAATATTGACATTATTAGGTCTTCTCATGACTCCTGAGCCTGATGATCCTTTAGATACTACTATTGCCTCTGAGTACATGCAAGATTTGAAGTTGTACCAACAAAAGGCAACTAATCACACTCTTAAATTCGCCAAGAGACCTATGGATGAAGTGTTGAAAGAAATCCTTGGTTAGGTTGGGGAGGAAAAAGAGTTAAGCGATGTCGAGTTATAAGAGAAGACTAACGAAATCCTGAATTGGGTAAGCAGTGCCAGTAAACCATAGTGATTTATGTAGTTCATTTAATATAATTAATATTATATATTGATATACAAATAAAATTGAGAAATCTCAATTTAAGGTTGGATTAAAGGCTAAAATATAATTAAAATATATATTTGCCATCCATCTTGAAATAATAAATTATTATTAATAACCCAAAAATATTAAATTATTATATGGGAGTAGTATAAACTTGTATAAAGTAAAGGAACTCTGCTCCCTAAATAGAGTACAAAGTTCCTACAATTCTAAGAAGAAAGCAAATTGTAAAACACCCACACAAGTAAAATATTTTGATTCCTCCACTTTCTTAATTGGGTGAATATCATGAATCCCTTGAACAATTAGAACTAGCATTATAAGAAAATAACATTAATCTTAGCATCCATAAAACAGCTACTTTTAACAGCAGTAGCGCAAATCGTTAATCTATTTCAATCAACCCTAGCTTAAATCTATCTCTTAATACTACCATTCCCAATATGATTTAACCATAAATCAATTAGAATTTATCCATTTAAGAGTAACCATAACCGTAGCAAAAAAATGAATAACTGGTTTAAAGGAGATAAACCTATAAGGATTCCTAATTTAAGATTCGCGCAGAGGTCTAATGTGACAAAAATAGCAGTTATGCTCGAAGTCTCAGTAGCAACTCCAGAGCTTAAAAAGCACAAAATGCTAATAATGATGAATAATCGGTCTCATTAAAAAGAGACTCAGAAACCAACACCAAAAAAAGCATTTTGAAAAACAAACAGCAAATTATTACGAACTAACTAAAAAGAGGAATAAGTCTAAGGCAATAGTAATAAATAATCAATGATGATACTCAATCTTAAAGAACCTCAAAGAGCTAAAAAAGAGTTAAATTCGATCCTAAAATATTTAGACCCAAAAACACTCATTTCTTCTAATGAAATTAAAATCTTGTTTTTGTTATTTTTTTATTTATGTTTTTAAGTTTATAAATAAATATTGATATTATAAAATTTTATGAGTAAAACTACCTAATATAGTCGCAACAGTAAATACAAAATGAAAGAAGCTATGTATTTCATGGTTTTAATATGATAGCTAATAAATATCTTAATGTATCAGCACTAAGAGTTACTAATCTGCCAATAAATTGTATTCGAATTTATTATTATAGATTGGAAGAAAAGAAGAGAAGTGCATCCTTAGCCAACCATTCATACTAAAACATTCCTAAATCTGCTACAAAGGAGAATAAAAAGTGTTTTTCAGTTAGCTTGGATTTTCTAGAAACTTTAACGATAGAAAATCCAACTGTTTAGGAATTATTAAAATAACTTAACATAGATGATTAAAATATTGATATCAAACAAATAATTAGGGAGAATCAAGATTATTTTCACCATCTCTAATGTAATCTTTCATCTTATTAAGAAAATTGCGCTTGTTTCAGATGCTCATGTTGTAATTGTAAATGCAATTATGCAAACAATGCGAAATTGGTTTACAAATCAGGATATAACACTTCCTATAAGAAGAGCTATAAGTTCGGCTTAAGCACCTCCTCCTTTTACACGCCAGAACTGAATTTACGATATTATGAATAAAGGCCCATCCAGACCCCATTTCTTGAAATGCAAACCTAATAACGCAAGGCTTTTACTGCCCACCCCGTTCAGTAAAGATACAAACGATAATACAAAAAGAATTCAGCATCAAGATAGTTTTTGTCTACCACCACATATCAAGTATTAAGACAGAACAAGAATTATAGAAAATGTATCCTGATTGGAAAGATCATGATCCAAATAGGAAGATTGATGCTCCTCAACATATAAGCACCCATTCAGGAATCCCTATCTTGACGGTTACCAGTTATAATAAAGATTATACAAAGGCTCGCCCCAAGACCTCCATTACCTCAGCTTCGGATGTTAAACAAATGCAACATCAGTAACCCTTCATAATTTAAATAGTTAAACATATGCTCACATCACTCCAAACTATTTTGAAACAACCTACAATTCTGATTTTTAAAAGCATCATCAGAATACTTACATTAATTCGAAAACTGAACCCAACATCGAAGTCTACGTTCCGTTAAGAGGTTTGTCTTACGATACTGTCAATAAAAAGGCATTTTAGAATGGCCATATCATAACAGAATGCTAGGGAACTAAAATGAAAAAAATCTTAAAGTTAAGAAATCAAAGTGCTTCCGTCCTCAATGCTTATCTCAATGAAATATATCAGAAACAATGAAAATTATTGAAGTGAAGAGATTCATTATTTATTGCTTATATTAAATATAAATGTTTTTTTCTCTATAAATTTTTAATCAAATATATTTTAATACAGGATAATATATAGAATTATTAGCATTTCATTAAAAAATTTATCAAAATTTTGAGATCATTTACTCGCTTATTTAACGAAATGTTTCCAAATGAGGTTCTTCAGTTGGATAATATTTTTATTTTTCTATTTTATTAACATTTGACGATTTCTTAAAAAGTTTTTAATTTGTTATCAAATTGTCTGAAGGGTGCAATGATATTATTGGAATTAAATGAAAATCTTCAAGAGATCTAAATACATAAAATGATAGCATATTTTATTTCTAAACTGCATTCTATTTAAATTAAATCTACTTATAAGGTCCAATTTATCTGATTATCATTAAAGCAATAGGAATTTCTAAATGTAATTGCTAATAACTATTATGTCTCAATTCTTCTAAGCTTTAGGGGTTTAAAATTGGTAATTTGCTTATCTTTTCAGCAGTAAAAATTGACCCAGAGTAAATAATTTCAAATTTTATGAATTTTTAATTTAAATCATCATTACTTTCCTCATCCTTTAGTTCAATTGTAATCTGTTCTGTATTTTAGAATATGAAGAACAAGCAATTAAAAAGTAACTGCTTAAGTTTCTTTTAATCAGTATATATACGATTGTCAGTCAAATGGGAAATAAATTTGATTTTTTTTTCATGATTTTTAGGGAAAAGCACATTGAAGATTGATATACATTCTTAAATACAATTTGATAAATCAAAATGATTTAGAACAACTTTGGTGAATTTAGAATTCAAGTTTGCAAAATCTTATATATTATTAATGTCAGTGTAGGTTTTAGTAATTTAACTATTCAAAAATAATATAATTTTTTTATTATCAGACATTAATTGTGTATTATTCTTCAACATCTCTGATGATAAAATTTATTTGAGGTAAATTAAGCATATCCTGATTCTAGATTAAATGCTTTCTTGAACCTAATTCAACAATTTATTGGATATTTTCAATTTATACTTTAATGACTTGTTTTATGATTCCTTTCTATTTTCTTTGATTAAAATTATCAAGCATGGTTTGGTATCTTGAGTGCGAATTATTTTAATATGATGCACATCTAATCCAATTAATCCAATTAGCTCATAAGTTTAATTATCTACGGTGCAATTCTTTGTTATTTCTTACATCTTCTCATGATTCATAAACAAATAAAACAGGAATTATTCTAGATTAAGTTTATTAGTTGGGTTAAGCATTTAGGAAGATTGTATAATAGACTTTCTTCTTCTTTAGCTGAATAAAATCACTTTCATATTCCGAATTAAATTAATGAAATTTTGTTGTTTATTTTCAGTAATTTAGGAGGCTCTATTTTACCTGATTAAATCAAACTGATTTTGTCTCAAATTGTAATGGATAATATATGATTAAATTTCAATCTATTTATATAGGTTTTCTTCAATTATGTCTTTATTGTTCATTATAATAAAGGAAATTCTTGTTTACTATTCATTAATGTAAAAGCTGTATATTGCTATGATGCTAGACAAAGTAAATATTAAGACTTGTCTCCAATGGTCAGAATCTAAGCAAATACTCGTGATATTCAGGATCAGTATAACGATTGTAATAAAGGTTTTCATTAAATAACTCCATTAGGAAATTATTCTAAAATATTTCATAATTATACCCTAGAGTCCCTAAACAAATGAAATAGCCTTGTAGTACTTCCTTGTCGCTGGATTGTTTTAAGAATCCATATTTAATTGGATGTTGAATGTTATAAATTAATATGGCTATTAAGGTTAAAGTATTATTTAGGGAAGCCAATTATTATTTAAAAATATAGCTAAGCAGCATAATCAAAAGGGCAAACACATTCAAAATAGTTTCAAACCACAATTTTTATACAATATTCCCAAGGATTTCTAATGATATTAAAATTATGAGAAAGAGCCTATAAACAGTTTAGCTTTATTTTTAAAGACTTTTTCTTTATGAGGAATATCGATGCTCAAAGTCCGAATTATTGAATCTTAAAGTGATAAAATTCATTATTAAATTTAATTTATACAAAAAAAATGATCAGTGATTACTTTATTTCAAGTATTTTGAGTGTAAGCCTTCTCAAATTCTTAAACAAATGTATCAATTTCTTGCTTTGTCAAACCTATCGCGCATGCAACTGTGATATAAGGAGTAAAATAATTATCTAAAATAATATAAGTATTACTCCTTACCACAATGACTTCCGTAATTTTTGAATTCAATACCACAAACTACCTTGTTTTTTTTATTTGTTATCACCCTGGATCCCATCACTTTTTTTGAATATAATATGGCTCCTAATTTAGTAATTTAATTTTTTTCTTCTGAATTATTCTGATCAATTTTTAAGTTCTACAAGCTTATACCAATAGATATGCTATTTTTAGGAGTATTAAGTATTTGTTCAGATATTTTCTATGTCATGATTTAAAGTTTCTCTTTAAAATATGCATAATTTTCTACTCTTTCCTTTTGCAATTGCAAATAGCCTGATTTACCCATAGACAAAAAGGTAATAAATAAATCTAAAATTGGAGCAGCACTGGCTCTGCCTGGATACAATTCGCTAATTTATTTGATGAGTTTCTTATCATTACCATATATCAAAGCTCCTCCAACAGGAACCATAAAGTTTTTATCAGTGCTTGAAACAATCAAGCTGACTGTTCCTTAAGCTAACCCTAAATTAATGGAGTTGGCTATTTTATTACATTAAATGCCATAAGCATTGTTAACAACATGATATATTTAGAATTACTTACAGATTTTAGCAATTTCTCCAATATTATCGGGAATTCTGGGTGCAAAACAGCTTGTAGTGCTTAATACACATGCGATATTGTCTGGCCCGATTTCATTAATTTTCTAGATTAACATATCTAAATTAGTTGTTATAACATGGTCTTGGATCACAGTGTCAATTACAATGGGAATAAGATTGGCTGTTTAAATGCACTTCAAGCATGTTTTTTAATCTATTCTTAGCCAAAGAACATATTTTGCCTATGGCTTTAAAGATTTCAATGCCAATAAACAAAGTGATATTGCCATTCCTGTAGCAACAGGTACAATGAGCAATTCATTAATTTGATAATTGCTCAACTTTAAAGCATCTTTAGCTAAATGCTTAGTTAATTTGGCTATTAAAGAGGATCCTGCAGCTTTGGGTTGGCTGGCAATAAGGTCTCCTGATCTTCCAATACCATGTCCCATATAATAATTTCTCTTTTGTACAAGTGCTGAGAAAATTCTGCTTTCTCTTTCTCCTACTCCCACTTTGTTAACAAAATTGTTGGTATCCATAGTTGCAAATATGTTGAGCAAATATTCAATTGTAAGATCATCAAAACCTTCTTCTGGCAATTGTCTTTAGGATAGCAATAATTTAAACAACTTCTCTTTAGCATTGAGAGAATTTGAAGCTATTTTGACGTATTTATCATCAATTATTTCAGAGCATAGTTTAAGATTTTACTAATTCATTAGTTATTAAAAATAATTCGCGGTATAATGAAGTAAACAACACTTTAAAGGTTCTTGACTTCTTCTTAGAAAAAGAATCAACCTACAGGTTTAAATGACAATAAAGTCTCAAATGA